TACAAAGCATGCTTACAATCACATAAATAAGAGGCATATATAAAAAGATGTGCAATAAAAGTAGAAAAGGGGGACTAGGGGCTCACGTTCGGCAATAAACAAGCCGTAGAACAAAATGAGATATCATATCTTTATTTACAACTTCAGATGCCTGTTGATGCCTCATATGTGCTTTCAAGAGATTGACTACCTGCATAGAGGAATTCCATGGTAATGACCGGTATGATTGGAAAACCGAATAGTAAAATGATGATAAATACGAGATTTTACTAATTGTTCCATTTCTTCTGGTTTCTTTCCCCGAGATAAACCATCTGAAATCCCCTTGAGAACTGCAACACACAAGAATAACCATCAACCACACAATTTTTACCAGACTAAACTCTTGTTTCTGGAGAAAAAACACTTCACACTCTTGCTAAGTACTGATGAAAATGTCGACGATTTGATGCTTGTTCAGTACACTGTTTCAAAACAATTTAGTCGCTAGCGAATTTTAATACCGCGTCCTTGAATTAGGCTCAAGAGCTTCTTCCACTTCACCACTGAACTCAATTATCTTATGCCAACAAACCAGTTCGCTTGTTCTTTAATAGTTCATTTCTGATATTTGATCATGAAACCGCAATCGCAGCACCTAAAATCAGTTGAAGACGTTGTAGATCGGCAATGCTATCCAAATGCAAAAGCCTAGACACTAAACTCGCCGGCATTCCAAAGAGAACATATGCGCATCGGTAGATCACTGGGATTCAAAGAAGAGAAAAAAACAAAATAAAAGTAGACGGAGAGAACTTACCTCGAAGACGATCCATGGCGTATAGCTCGAAATCCTCGAGCCTGACTTCAAGCGGCGGGGCAGAACGATAGAGTGGAAGGGTGTTAACAGCATCGTTAGTGGAGATATTCCGATGGACGTGAGATCGAACAATTTCCATATTTTCTGTCAAACAGTAAAGCAACTCTTGCCGGACGGTGCTTCACTCTTCCCAACCGAAGCGCCAAAGGATAGACTGAGGGACAAAATGGCGGGAGAGCTCGTCTGTACGGTCATTTTAAGGCGGGAGAACTTGCAAATAATAACAACAATAACAAAAGAGTTCTCTTTTTTCTTTTTTTTGCCGAACAAAAAGGCGTTCTAGAGACTTTAGACTTTGGTTTAGCCTGAATACACTCACTATTTTTCATGTGATATAAAAATTCATGGAACGCCAATTATTCTTGAATCAGCTACATTAAATTTGGAAATCATCTTATTATAATATTTTTTGTTACATTTCGTTGGTCAAAGATATGTTTCAAATGTTTTATTTTATTTCATTTTATAATTATTCACAATCATCATATAAATACATGCATATTGTAAGAATTAATAAGTTAGTGGTGACATTAATGATATTGAGGTAACATTAGTTTTTTTCCCCTGATTCAAAAGGCAAGCGTAAGCGTTTACAGCTTAGCAAATAATTATAATTGTTGCAGGATCATTCATCTTGTCGTGCTTAATTTGAGGACACATTAAGTTTTATTCTAGTTGATTGTTTACTCTTCCTATTTAAAATTATCCAACCCTAAACTTTGCCCAATTCATAATTTAATGCTGAATTCAACAAACAAAAGAAACTTAAAGACGTTAAATCTGTACTTTTACTGCCAGGTGCGACAGTTGCTCACCTCACATAGTTCTTTCAATTGTTTGTAATTCCAAATATAGAGTTAGACTTTATCGTTGGGTTTTTATAATTTAAAAAAAAATGGAAAACCAATATCTTTTTGTGGCATTAAATTCTGTTTCATTTGAAATAGAAAATATGATTAAAAAAATGATTGCGGAAATGCAATAAAATCTTGCTCTTAATGTAATTACTTATTTTTAGTATAAATTACACACATTTAGATGCAGAAAAATATTAAATATAAAATATTTGAATACTCTCATTATTGACAAACTCAGCATGTCATGCACAACAATGCCAAGTACATGTGAGATTACGAAAATTAAACTTGCCTAGATGTTTTCCCTAACATTAAAGGAGGAACATTTAGATGTTCAAATTCATTGAGCCTAAATTAAAAATTATTTTAAATAATTTAATTTCAATTCTCAAAAACACCTCGATAAAAAAAAATCTATATTATTGACAGTACACATTCATCAACCATCACAAAATGTTAAAATAAAAAAATCCCCACTAGTTCTGAGGAATGAGGACAAAATCGATTACCATATACAAGAATCAAAGTTTCAGTCCCCCCCCCCCCCCCAAAAAAATCTCATTCGATTTTATTTGACAGACTTCGATTTAACCTACTTAGTTCGATTCTAGAGACTCCTATCTCAAACATCTGAGCCGACCATCAATGAACTAGAACTCAGAGTGAGCGACTCAAAAAGGATATAGATGCTGTTAGAAGTATGATGCTCTTAAAGCAACATCTAATAAAATGCAGGTAACAAAAACCATCAAAGCACAAATAAGTAGCTGGAGACAAATGATCAGATGATATGTAATAAAAGCGGAAGGGCGAAAATAAAACAAAATGGCAGAAAAGGCACAACATGTAGGAACCATTGACACAATTCAGACCCACAACTTGATACAACAAAATCAAGTGTTCATTTACAAATTGAAGAATATCATCTCTATATTATACAACAGAACTACAGTTTTACAATTTCAAGCATCCATGCTTTATAGGGCATAACCAATAATGGATCAAATGAACAACAAAACTGTTAACAATGCATGCCCAGACGACCTTGCTGATCAAGCCCTGCTTTGAGATGGAAAAAAGGGGCGAGGGTTGAGGGAGATAAAATGGCAAATGGCATTGATGCCTGAGCGCTGCATATGCACCAGCAAAGAACTTACCCAAGGTACAAGCGCAGGATATCCCAATAAAAGGAGCTAACACACATTTCATTGAAATCAGAAGTAAGGTCTATAAATCCTTCCGAAGCATATTGTGCAATATAATAGTGTGGCATTAACCGAAAGGGGGAGCCTAAAAAGAGGTGCCTCAACTGCATTCCAGTTTAAATGCGCTATTTTAACATTGAGCAAGGTCTTCCTTGTGCATGCCAAATCATGTCCTACGCAATCACAAGGTAGTAATAAATAAAAAAAACAGAGTGGGCTTCTCTCCCCACCTCTCTCTGAGAGTTTCTTCCGTTTCCTCCTTGTGGAAGTTTCTCAGTGCTACTCCCTCTCTCCAATGTAAGTTGAGAAAGTGGTTGTTTAGTGTGGACATGTGTTTAGGAGGGACAGGGTTTCTTTTTCTATTCATCATGGGTCTTGGTGATGTGTGGCTACAATCAAGATGGAGCAATCCCTGCTGACTAGAAGATGGCAATAGTGCAAAGGAAGAGAGAGCATAAACCTATAAGTAAATTATGGAACCCCAGAGCTCTCTTCAATGTCGCAGAGAAGGCATGTGCTTTTATTCCATCTTGATTTGAAATTATTGTTGGTGGACATGGTTGGTATTGAGAAGGCATGTACTTTCATCCTATCTCAATTGATTTGAAATGATTGTTGATGGACTTGGTTGGTGCTGCCTAAATCTAGTTGAGTAGGTTGGGATTGTTTAAAGGTCCTCATCAGACTCTCGTGGTTGATGTATCATCATTGCTTGTGATGGTGACTTTATATAGGCTGCTTTTATTGCATGGAATTCATGAGTTTGCTCTTCCATTAGTAGTAGTGTTACTTATCGAGATGGAATCATTGAGGTAGCTTTGTGAGCCCTCATCCTTATCTTTTGGTAAGGTTGCCAAAATCTGAATGTTCTCTCCAATAATGGCATGACTGGCTATCTACAACTTCCTCAGGGTTAGGGTTCGCTTAGAGCCTTTGCTCTTGAGGGTTGGACTGTTGTCCTTGTAAACTTAAGTTTCTCATGATAGTATATTAATGGGTTAAAGTGCAATCCACCTTTAAAGTATCCAAACAAGTGCAACTGTAATCCTTACATTTCTCTTAGGTGCAATTTCTTCCCCGATGTATCTTATTTTGGTGCACACCATCTTTGACAATTTTATCAAACAACATTGCATTGGCTCACAAACCATATCACATGTAAGATATGGCTGGAGATGTTCGAGGCTTTGACTGAGATATTCATGAATTGAGAGGCCTATCAAACCCTATTAAATTTGTGATTATGAGAATCTCCTCTGGCAAGAAGGAAGTGAGACAAGGTAGGTAGAGCACAATAGTAGAATCCTCATCATTCTTATCAGCAAGCATGAGAAGAGGAGTGATTATATTAAAGGTGGTGCGAAGTCAGGGTCCAAAGATACTTAAAGGTTTTACCACCGCAATCTTTTGAATCCTCGATGAGCCTCATGAAGCGAAAGCAATCCCCGGAGAAGATTCTATAGGTGCTATAACTATTAGGGGGTATGTGTTTAATGAGCAATCTTTTATACCTTTTATACACTCCAGCTCTAAGCATAATCACCCTTCTTCTAATTCTTGTCACCGACAACGATGAGGATTATGTTGCTCCACTTACCAGGTGTTCAACTTCCTTCTTGTCAGAATGAACTCCCACAATTGCAAGTTCAATAGGATTTGGTTAGGCTTTTAACTCAAATATTTTAGTCAAAGCTTCCAACATCTCCATTCAACGTGTCTTCAACCAGATCTTATGTGCAACAAGGTTCCTATGCTAATAGAACATTCTTAACACTATTTGGCAAAACAGCTAGTGATTGTGCAAATTGCATCAAGATAAAACACGTTAAGGGATAAATTGCATCCAAAAGAACGTAGAGAATTACAATTGCACATGTTTGAATACTTCATAGGGGGATTGCACTTTAACCCTATATTAACTATTCCAAGCAAACATGGTTTCACAATGTTCTCACTATGAGAGCAAACTCGCCCTAAGCATGGAAATAAGTATTGTCAAGGACAAGTTAATCCTAACACGCTAAAGAATGTTATCTATCACATTCCAATAAATGTGAACAAGTAACAGGGGAGCTTATATAGAAATGACAATAAGTTGACAATCATACACTGATTATCAATTCTCGAGGCAACTTTAGCAGTTGCCTTAAGTATGCTCACATTCATGATCACAATGTTGTGAGAACAAAACCCCAATCACTTCCATGCAAAACAAATCAACTACATTTCATAAACATCCCTATCTGGAAGGTCATCTCATTCTCAAGTAGCAAAGTGATGCCAGCTTCAGAAACCTTCACTCTCAAGCAAAAAGCAACTGACACTTAAAACCAGAATATTTACATTTATGCAGGAGTTCATTAGGAAAAAGAATCAACAGGAAAAGAATATGAAAGGACCAGGTGTTCGTGGAAGTGAAACAGGATGGACATATGGAGCTTGTAGAACACTCTTTTAAAGATGGATCCAAGATGGCCAAGAATAAGAAGGCCATCATGCCTTCAAAAATGATTCCCCATGAACAAAAAACTAAACGTAAAGAAAATATAGTGAGGTATAGTGTTATATATTACACTAACATACGAGCTCTCCGCCTCTGATAGAGAAGATCATATCTGTCTCGTCCACTTCTACCTTCTCTATAGAAAGCATCTTTCAACCTCCTCATAGTTGATTCATATATATTAACGTTTCTGTCCAACATGTCTTCTGCAGACCTTCTCAACTCTGGTAACCTATCTAAGCTACACAGACCCAAAAGCAACGCATTAGCACTTTCATCAAGTGGCTTGACATGATTATCAACCATGTAACTCCAAATCTCGTTCGCTGCTTCAGGGTCATCACAATCAAAAAACATTGTGATGGCTGCCGCACAATTAGAATGCGTTGGCGGGCATTCATTCTTGATCATCTCAGTAAAGAACCTTTCAGTTTGACGAACCTTTTTGTTCTTCACCAAGCATTCAAAAATCATGTTATAAGTTAAAGAGTCAGGAAAAGCGCCATGGAAGACCATCTCATCGAGTAGCTGAAATGCATGACCAATCTCATTGTTGATGCAGACCAAGCCAATCATGGCATTGTACATTGTCAAGGTGGGCATCAACCCACCATCCACCATTATTTTCCAAATAAGGATAGCACGAGCAGCATCATTTTGCTTTGTGAGAATATCAAGAGCATCAGTAAAGAATTTCAAACTTGGTAAGCAGTCATGTTCCTTCATAACTCTAAGAAATTTGATGGCCTCATCAATCTGCAGCCCGCGAACAAGAGTTGTCAGGAATGTATCATAAGCAGACACATTTGTTGGGCTCCATCCAACGCGAACAATCATCTCGCCAAAAGCACTCTTAGCTTTTGCTACATTCCCTTCTTTCTCCCACCCTTCCAATAAAATACAGAACGTGTCCCCGTCAGGAGGTGTCTTTTCCTTTATTTTTCCAAAGAATTCCATGGCTCTTGAAGTTTGATTATCTTCACGACACATCGCACTCAATAACGAATTCACCGCTACGACATCTTGCTGAATCCCATATCTGTCCATAACTTCAAAGCTCATCACAGCCTCATTAAACCTACTAGCCATGCAATAACTCTCAAAAGCAGACACAAATGTGGACAAAGAAAGCGCCCCTTCTTGCTTCATTGATCGAATTGCATCCCACATGGGTTCAAATAGTTGGTTCTTCCCCAACAGATCGACCATTACGTTCCACGCACGTGCCGTATGCTTCTTTAGCTGCCCCGCCCAGCGGAAGAACTTCACCGCAGAAGAAGGGTAGTTGTAGGAAAGTTTGAGAACTTCATGGACAGTATCCGCAGAAGGTTTGATTCCGGCGGAGGAAAGCGCTGATTCAATATCATTAGGCGATGCTCGAGTGAGAATATCGCAGATGGTTCTGGCTGACGATGAAACTTCCGGTGCGTCAAAGTAGGATGGAAACTGATAAGCCTTATGCGATTTTGGAATCGGCGATGAATGCCTAGGAGTTTTCGATGAAATACTTTTGGGTGGATATCTTAGTCTACTGTTTCTAGGGTTACCAGCCATGGCCTCCATGTTATGTTTGGAGGAAGAGGCAATAGAACCCTAAAATTCGAAGCCTGAAACTTCAAAATAACGAGTATTCTGGAGGTAGGGCATCAGGGCATGCATTCAAGCAAGAATCAAAGCTATTAAAAGCTGTAATATTTGAATCGCGCAAAAGAAATTAAGAAATGAAATTAAATGAAATCTCGAAACAGAAGAATTGCGAAGACAAGGGGCTTTACTTCGAAATTTTTCCCAGAATGGGACGCACGCTGTGAGGATGAGGACTGAGAAGTGAGAACGCAGGAAACAAGACTACAAAGGGATTCAACCTCCCCGTACTACTTCAATACTTATTCAAATGATACATGGGCTTGGCTAAAAGCCCGGCCTAAATCAATAGGTTAGGTTGTGCAGATGAATATCAATGTCCGTATTTTTTTTTGGGTACAATCAATATACATAATTAGATATAATAATATAATTCTATCAAAAATCATAGAATTGATAACCTTTTTTTTGGTGGATAGTACGAGGCATTTAGCCTATCTTATTGCATCAAAATTGAACGTGAGAAGGCAACACCCACAAAGTCATTGTACAAGCAACCTAATACCTGTTGGGGAGGCTCGTCAAAAACCTTCAACACCCCGTCAATACTAAAACTAAACTTAGCTAGACAGTCAGCACTATAGTTTGCTTCTCTACTCCTTCAATATCAATTTTGGTCTTTAATTTGATTTTATTTTGGTTTGTTCAAAGATTTTTGGTTTTTGAGATAGTGTTTAAAGTAGGATTTGAAGGACCAAAACAACCAACTTTAAATTTTAAAAACTAAAATCAAAATGAGGTTAAATTTTAAGGATTTAAAAATAATTCAACCAAAAATTATAATATTACTGAAACATTCAAAATTTTGGTGAACATATAAAAATATATTTTATTATTAAAAAATTATTTTTCTCTTCGAATTGTATAGAATCAAGCAATATAAATCTTAGTTTTTAGCTCATCTCATCTAAATGTTCAGCGATCAAGATCTAAAATTTTTAATTGATTATTTTTAAATAAAAAATATTCTTTAAAAAACTGACGATTAAAAGATAATCTTTATTTTAAATTATATATAAACTATTAAAATATAAAAATAAACTCATGTTGAATTTAGATCGTTCAATTTTAACGTGTACCGTCTAAATTTAATGCTCATAGTTAAATCCATTCTTGTGTTTCGGCACAGAGCATATTTAAATGGTAAATTGTTCAATTCCTTTCGCATGCACGCACATGAGAGGCACATATATGTATTTGACGTTAAGATAAATTGGGATATTTTACCCACGCATATATAGACACACACATTGTGCATATAAATTGCGCGTTGCGACCGTACGCGTAAGAGTACCATTTGTTTGAACAATATCACGTCCTGCTACAAATACTACGTATTCTAGGAAACTAGAATCTTCTTAGATCTTAAGGCGGTCTTCAAGCCTCCATTACATAGAATAATTGCACAGGTCTGGAAATAAATCATTTTAATTATGATCCTTATTCACTGACAATTGAATTCAAATTGATAAACTTTCCATTCGAGACACAATTAATAACGTAATGGATGGATGATAACATTATCTTAGCCTGCTACACAATTTTCAAACCAATATTAAAAACAAATGTTCTCGTTTAGATTAAGATAATTTCCCCCTTTTCAGCCACAAAAACTAACCCTGTACTTGGCATGCCAAAATCATCAATATCAATATCAATAAATTAGTAAATTAATACAAGATCTGTTTTGGGGCTCAAACTTCGGAAGTTAGAACGAGTCCTTTCGCACCACTACTTTTTCTCTTCATTTAATCACTACTTCTATCTTTACCAAACATACAAAACTCTAATCATATAATGGAATAGCGAGGCATGGGAAGTAGGCAAGTAGCAAGCCCTATATGTATCTTGAAGCCTATAGACATTACAAGAATATATTACAGACAACCATATTCCTGGCTGCCATGAGAGGGTCAGTTACACCCGTTATACGAGGGCAAGTATGCCCCCCAAAATTGCCTACAATTATAAATTAAAACTTGAGCCATTACAGGTCCCCCGTAATGTCACCTGCAAGGGAAGTTGGCAAAGCCAACATCAAATGGATATTTTTCTATTAAAAAGAGAAACAAGTTTCAACTAAATTATAGTTGTTGAATACCACGGGACAAAAAGGGAATTCCAGTTACCATCCTCCTAGCCAAAAAGTTTATGTGAGAGCAAAAGTGCCTCTATAGTTGAAGTTACTTTGCAGCGCAAGCAGGAACGGAACCACATTTTCCATAGTTTTTTTAACCAAATACTTATAAAATTTTTATACACAGGAAAACTAGTAGTTTTTAAAATTTCTTCAATACACCAAACCCCCCCCCCCCCAAAAAAACAAAGAAATTTTTTTTTTAGCTCTATCCCTCCTAAACTTAAAGCACAACGCTCTGGTTCAGGCAATGAAATTCCCTAAACTTAAGTGTGATTAGAGTTCCCACTCTTCTCTTACTGGAAAGGGAAGAGGTTGGCCAATAACGAGAGAGAAATTCCTTTTTTATATCAATCTTGTCATTTCTTTCCTTCTTCAGGTTCCGTATGGCGCACAAGTTCATGTATAATAATGATAGGAAATCAGGGCATTATATTTAACAATTCAAGAAAAATTGTCGTAACAGCTCAAACTGGGGTGGCAAATAGGTAGATTGGAGCCAACCTGATTTTGACCTCTTTAGAGTCGAGTAAGAAACTTTCAAAATTAATCCATCGTTCATGACCTGTTTTCTGGGCAGTTAATCTATCCATTAACCCATATACTACCTCGGGCCCTAATTATAAGATATCGTTTGTAGTCCAGAGGTAGTATTTCGTTGCTTATCCAATCTCTCCGATCCATCCACTACATAAATAATCTATTCATATCAGAATGCATTGTCATAAAACTTACCATGCATGCATTTGATGAAGTGATCCAACTCCTGTAAGCAAATATTCCCCTGAACCATGGAAGGTTGCTGGTATGCAAAAAATGAAAAGTGGTGGCGATCAGGATCATTTCTTGGCTTCGCTATATCAACTAGTCTTTTGAACCCTTCTCTCTCATAACATGGTAGTGCATTCTCTCCAGCTACTATCAACCCCCGATCCCAGGATGAGCTCAATACCTATACAACATATAACTGGTCATCACTCATGCCAATTACATAAATTTATCCAGGGGTGGGATGAACATGATGACCAAAATCAGTTATGCAAATTTCAAAAACATTATAAAAAATAAATGCTGCCTTTAAGCAAGACCACTTCAAATGCTCAGGCCTTAAAAAGCTGGGTTCAGACCGCGATGCCTGGTAGAAGAAAATGAAAACTACCTGCCAAGTTAAGCCTTCTGGGTCAGCCAACGACTCGTCAGCTTCCTGACTAGAAAGCTGAAATCCTAAGCAGACAAACTTCATCGTCACACCATGTTTTTTCAGAACCTCAAAAACAGGAGAGTATCCATCCTGGTTCGTAGGGTTGTGATATCCTGCTGTCAACTCTGCTGCATGACTAGCAGTCTTGTACCACCAGTATACAGTAGGAACCTGCACACCAGCATCTTTTCAGGCAACCCTCCGTTCATTTCAATAATATGATAAAATTTCAGTCTCAAATGTTTAGTTCCAAGGGTCCACTTAATGATAGTAAACGTAACGATCAGTCGTACAGAGGTTAATAAGCTATGGTAATAAATAACACCGAAATGAAAGCTCAAGTCCAAAAATAACTTCTTTTTATCTTGTCATTTCAATTGAATTAATGATGGTAGATGTAACGATCAGTCTTCCAAAGGTTCATAAGCTATGGTAATAAATAACACCCGAATGAAAGCTCAGGTCAAAAAATAACTTCTTTTTTAATCTTGTCAACTCAATTGAATACCAAGCTCATGGCTTTTCAAGAATCGACAAATTTCTGACAGAAACAAACAATTACAATTATCATAGAATAAAGCGGGTATAAAAGAGATATAAATTACTTAAGGGAATCATTCCAAAGTTCATCAATTAAAATGTTTATAATTTGATTCATAAACAACCAATAAAAACAAGGCAAAAAAATTTTCTACAACCAACATCATCTATTGATTGCTCCACAAAACATTTTCAACGTCATAATTCTATTGGGGAACCTCATAGCAAACAACTTATAATTATACCCAAGCAAACTAGCGCCTCTGATTCACTCTTGGGTTCCCAGAAAATTTTCCTAACCAAAAGCCATACGTTCTCTCTCCTCTAACACATGATTCCAGTCAAAGTTACTTGTACCAAAATCTTTATTTTACTGCAGCTGAGTAAATTTCGTTACTTTTCTTTCCCCTGGAATATATCTGAACATGGATCGCATCCATCAGCACTTAATGCTGCAATTGAAATAAACCAACCAAATTTCGTTGCACAGCTTGAAGATAAAACAAATGTTGACAAAACTATGGCGTAGCAGAAACATACCTTGACAATTAGTCTTGTTTCCTCAAAAGCGAGGCTCGCAAGGGACAAAACATTATCTGCATGATCTATTAATGACTGGGCATACCAATGCAAGAAGAAGCGCCCATAATAATTGTCATAATCACCCCGTTCACAAAAGAATCCAGTTTCATGTGGCATAGAGTTGTATTGTCCAGCATTATCAGGTCCTCTCGCCCAAAAAGAGTGGCCACGTAATTTGGCTGCTCTGCGTAGACTTTGTAGCAGATATTTATCATAACACTGATCACAAAAATGTATCAAGAAAAGAAGGCAAAATATGGATTTCAGTATCAGAATATAGAATATGGTATGAAATAAATGCACTGCAACGTTTATAATCCAGGTCATGAAACTAATTTGAAACAGGGACACAAATTAGGTACCTGAAACTCACCAATACCAGGATACCTCCATCCCATCTTTACTGAAAACGAAGGATATTTCAGCTCCCCAGATGCCCCAAGTCCAATTTCTACAGCAGAAATGAGGCCTTCCACAAACAAGTCATTAAACTCCGTCCGAAAGCTTCTCATGAAATCAAAATAGACCTGCACATATCAGACAAGGCTAGTAAGAGACAAACAAACAAAAACGGCCGTTCTTAATAAATGAAAAGCACAACTACATTGGCAATCAGCATGTAATGCAATTAACAGTCATTCGATGATGCCGAGAGAATACTTCATCTTCAAACAATGGAATATGAAATTAAAAGATGTAGTGGGTATTTCACACCTCAATTCCAGTTCTTCCTTTCAGAACTCTCTCTTTGTCAATGCCCCAAGAAAGACATTCAGTATTCCTCCGTCCTTCACGATCTGTGAAAAAAATATCCCGGTTGTCTTTTCCAATGTCCAAAATCCATTGTGGGAGGGCAATCAATGGATCACTGGAATCATTCCCTCCATACTCATGAAAAGCCATAACAACCTTCGAAATTTGAAATGAGAATCAGGTAAGTGACTCAAAAAATGTTAATTCAACTAGGACAAACATCCAAACTTAAGAATCAGAATCCTGATTCAAGATAAGAATTAAATGCTAATCCTACTAGCGAATAACAATATATGATCCTAAGGCCCAATGAATTCTGTAATTCCATATTAAATAATGAATAATCCCTACATCTCTGATAACAAACCATTTATGACATCAATAGTTCCCCAAAAAGGGATTAGTATTGGATCCGATCCATATCCTACAAATCCACACATATCAAATATGACACAACACACGTCAAATTGCCCCTTAACATCAGGTGCTTATTAGCAAACGCTAAATCTCAAAAAATAGAATCATAATTTATAACTATTAATCAATCAAACATCACTCCCTTATATCACGCTAACGTTCCCTGTTGTTTTGCCCTTCACTATTTTTCACCCAAGTTCTTAGCACTAGTAAGCAGAATTTCCAACAACAGTCAATACAAGAAAAAGCAACTCTATCGCAGAAAAGAACTGGCTTGCCCTATTACCAAACCAAAGATGATGATGGAGATGCACTCATATGCAGAAACATGAATATGTGATAAATATAAGAACAAAGGCTTTTGTTTAGGGAATAAGATGCATGTCCTGGAGCAATTAAAAATACCTGCAACTTCAACTTGATTTCTCTAACAATGTCAAAAAGTTCCCTATAGCCAGACCACACATATTTCTGTGGGCTCCAGCCTTCAACAATGCCCCACCAACAGTCCACAATGACACCATCAAAATTTAAAGACTTTATGTGAATTAGCTCCCGTCTAATTCCTTCAGGATCAATCAACTGGCAAAATTTGTTAATAATACCAGCCTGCAGTAAAATCCATATTTTAGAAATAGAAATCCTATAAGCAAATGAAAAGTCTAAAACAGTCAACGACTTAAAAACAGAACCTCAGAATGTGTTGTTTGTTGTTTTCAGGGGAAAAAAATTGGACAGTTATTAAAATGCTGGTTTAACACAAAAAAAAAAAGAAAAGAAAAGAAAAGAAAAAGGGTTACAGCAGCAAATAGGAGATACGTACTGGAAGTTTCACATAAACAGGAACATAAGGTGTGCCCATGAAATCATTCTCATGCACCCCAGAATGAATATCCTGCATAAGCTGCATAAATAAATTACATCATTAGTGGTTCTGGATAACATCTGTTTGTAACAAGTAATAGTTTACAGAAATAAAGCAATATTCATCAGTCGTCAGCCTAAAACTGCAATATAGAATTTAGACTTCTTGCTTATAAGGAATCAAGACAAAACCCTTCAAAGTTCAGGTGCAATATACAATTTATTTAAAGCATGTCAGCGTTAGAATTGTCAAATGTGTGCTTGACAACGAAGCTCATAAATTAAAAAACAGAGAAGTCATGGAAGAAGAATTTAAGAAGCAATATAAAATTAATGACTATGGCCATAGTTATACCAAACACTAGAGTGCAAAATTAGATGATAAGTATGCGATTTTCAAGCGAAGCTAACAAAACTGATGAAGAAGAATGAAGACAACCAATAAGATTACTCATATAGAGCTAAATCTACATCAATAATAACTTAAGACACTTGAATTATACACCAAAATTACCTGATCAGCCTCCAAGCAGTCAACCGGATTGATAGGGCTTGCACTTGGATATTTCTCATTCTTTGAATCCCTCTCTGCAATTACAACAGAATCAATGGATGCAGGTGACAAGCTTTCATCAATTCTAAGTGTTGGGGGTTGATTCTCTAGTGTTTCTCGAGCAGTGCAAGCTCTTAAAGACCCTGCAGAGAGTGGGGTTTCAACTGACCTTGCAGCAAATGATGCCTGCACAGTATTATAAGTTTTGTGAGGTTTTAAACTAAAGAACTTCCAGATTATTTTATTGCCGAATCAATCATCTGTCATAATTCTATCTTCTTTTCTTCTCCTGGTTCTGGTCAACAACGATCCGGAAAATAATTGCCAGGTAGGCTTTTCTTCTGATGGACCTACTAAAGCAACAACGTCTTCATACTGTGAGTTTAAGTTAGTGGAAGATAAATAGCATATCCATTCTGGAGTCTTCCCTTATAACCAGTAGGAAGCATCCTTTGATCTGCAATAAGGGACGTTACAAAAGGGAGGAAATTATTGGAATAACTCCCATTCCTGACTTTGAAATCCTACTCAAACATGTTTTAGCGTGTTTGGTTTCATGTTGGAAAGCCTCTTTCCATCAACTATGGTTTTGGTGGTAGGGACTCGCGGAGCCAGGCATGCACTTAATCAAGTTACCAAAACATAAAACCAACCTACACTGATTTCTACATTAGAGAATAAGATTTTATCTTTGCCTATATCCCCCTCAGTCAGCCGATATTCTAGTAAACACCATTAATAAACTTGAAGTCAATCGCCCTCACATAGATTTCGTTGGCTGACCTATGCCAACTTTTCACTAAGATGCTACATTTGCTTAGTTCCGAGTTCCGACCTTCTAAGCAAAAAAAATAAAAATAAAAAAAATAACGGATAAAGTTGCTCTGTTATCTTAAATAGGAATATGGCTTCCGCATAAATAAAACTACTCAAAATTCAATGATCAATTTCCATGAATGTCAAAACTCAGGAAGCGAATAGCAAGCACCCCATCGATTAAGCATGACTATCAAAAGCAAGAGATGAATTAAATATAAATTTTAGCAAATTCAAGAAGAGGTTACTGGACTATTGCGGACATGAGCACAGAATTTTGAAGCGTATCACACGAACCATTTGCGAAGAAGGCTGGCACTGACGGTAGGTGGTGCCATCTGCCTCAACAACCCAACCAGCCTCGCGGGCAAGCGCAGCAAGCACATCATTCATGTCAGCACGAGCCGGGAGAGGGAAATTACCATACTGACGGAGGCCGGCGAGCATACGGCTAGTGATTGCTCGACGGTGACGCTCTCGGAGCTTGGTGCGCTCCTTCTCTTTTTCTCTCTCTTTCTTTCCCTTTCCAGCGGAATTAGGGGCAGTGGTAGCCGCCGCCGTGGCGGCAAAGCCACGAGGGCGGCGAGGCTGAGGCTGAGTCTGAGTCTGGAGAGGAAGAGAGTGAGCTAAATAGTCAGAACTGTGGTCACTTTGAGGGTCGAGATCTTGTCTGGAATTGTCGTCGTTGATGCTATTCATCTTTCAGATCCTTCTCCTTCATTACTGTTTTCACTGTAATTCCATTACTCTACATCTCTACTCATTCCCAGTTCATTCATTCATACTGCCCTGTTCTCTCGATTGATTGTCGAATACTGCACAGTGCCGAAGTCTACTTTCAATCCAATGATCCATTGCTTCCCTTTCCACGCCTCTTTTTGTGACTCAGCTCATTTGTAATTGTTTGGCAAGACAAAATAAAATAATATATAAACAATAATCAGTTATAATCAGTCCGGTATCAGTTATAATCAGTAATTTTTTTTTTTGCCAACAGTCATTTCTCAATATCATCGTTAATATAAAAAATTATAATTAAACATAGTATTAATAATTAATGGGTTTTTACTAAATATTACAACTCATTTTTATCTAGTTTTGTAAATATAAAACTTATTTTTGCCTTTTAAAGTGTAGATTCCTTTGCTATTTTTAAAATAAATTATTTATGACTTACATTATATATATTGTAAAGTTTATAAAATATTAATATATTTTTTTAATACAATTACTCTGTGAATTCTTGTTAATCTTGTTGAAAAGCATTCACGAGGACGTACTGAAATATATATTTCAAGAGGGACACTTAAAAAACACTTAAAAACGCTGTGCTTTATAAATTGCATGAATAGTTTTCTAATACTCCTTCACTCCTTAATATAGGATCTAATTAGAGAGTTGATGTTGGTCTTATATATAAAACTTATTTCATATGTTTAACAATTTTTTTAAATTAACCCTATTAATATTCCCTAATAATAATCAAGTAAGAAAGAATGAAGGAAATTAAGAAAATACTTAAAGTGTTTTAGAAAAAATATACAACATTAACTACTTTAACTAATATATTTAATTTATTCAAATTAATTAATTAAATATTATATTAAAGAGTAGTTTTCTTTTAAAGGGGAAAATCCATTGAAACTATTGTTCCTGGATTCCAATAGAAGCATCTATGCATCTCTCTTGCCGTTCTTGTTCATTTAAAAAAAAAAAATGCTATGTGATTGTTCATTTTTGGTGTTATTTCCTCTTTTTTTGGGGTGAATGGTGTTATTTCTTTTGGTGCGTATCAACGACGCGTGATTCGAATCCTATGACCTATCCTGGTGATTTCTCCACCAAAAACAAAAAATCCTATCCTGGACTCCTGGTGAGCCTGTGACATTACTTGTAAAATGTCATGTGGGCCGAACCTAGCCCAACCAATCTGTCCAGCCCATTGAACCCAAGATCTTCCCCCCATAGGCACTGGATTGGTAGCCAAACCCACCCAACACGCCCGTGTTTAGTCCTATTACTGTTGTTATTATAATTACCACTATGATTATGATAATCATTTTAACTCTTTTTTTTCCCCCCAACCTCTCGTGAGATACTAGTAATTCTAATTCTAATTACTGAAGTGACATGAAAAGTGAGGAGGAAAAAGAAAGAAAGAGCCCAACTCTTTGAAATCACAAAAACGAAAGCGAAGTTCATTTCTAGGGTAACCGCCCCAACTCGTAGTTCCCTTTTCCATTCTCCCTGGAAATGTATGGTTTAAACTCAGGGATCTATCAGTTCGGTAGGAGACAGTCAGGCAAATTATCGGTGCTTGTCTCACCCTTATAAACTTTATCAAAATACTTCCTATAATTGTGCTGCAACAAACATGCTTTGCTTCCCCCTTTTTGCTTTCCTTTTTATCCCTTTTCTCCGGAAAAGTGAAAGAGCAAATTATACATATGCAAAACTGATCATTGCTTTCATGCACGCACTCCTCTAAAGTTGCAGTCAAACATGGGGAACCAAAAGCATCAAATTTGACTGACTTTTCTTCTTTTGGTAGTATAATCAATGCCTAAAAGGAGCATATCAATAATTGCTTTCAGAACCCGGAGTGGGTTTTGAAAAAAGTGCGCATATTTAGTTGCAAGTGAAGGAAAATACAAGGGGGAAGGAAGACTCTTCAAAATGGCATAAATATCCGCGACCAGCATAAGATTTTGATCCCTTTTTCAGAAACGTATTCACAATGTTCCTCCTCAAAAAACATCATCCCATCTCTCACTCTTTTCTGAGTTTTATCTGGTGATGAAGGCACAGAAAGCAGTAGTTCAGTCCATTTCTGCCATATGTTGAAGTTACATTGAGCAATGACAGTAAATAATCCTTGGGCAAAAATGAAAATACTGGCAGAAAAGGAATGAACTACCTAAATTTTTGTCTTTCGGTTGCACAACAATGAGCTTCTGGGGTCCGTGGGAGATTTTGAATAACAAGTGGCCCCTTAGTTCTCCATTGACAGTGAATCAGATATGCAGATGTCCCTCCGACATAGTGGACATACCCTGTGTGTACAAGCTAAATTTTTTAGCATCCCTGCTACTGACATAATCATTAAAATAAGCAGAGAAAATAAGAAGGTGCATTTTGACCATCAAAGAACTGGCAGTTTTTGAAGACTATTATATGTTCGAAAGAAATTTATAGCAGTAAGTTTGCCACAGAGGAACTTGAGTTGTCCCAAATCCTGCTCAACATCAGCAAAAATATATTTGTTTTGGCTAGAATAGCACAGATAGAAATGTCCACAGAAACTATGCTAGTATAAGAGATAATGAAAGATCAAATCTTTTTTTCCTAATGTAAACTACTCGCATTTAGCACTTAGGAGCGGGCCTAGATTCCCTTTAGTGACGGGGGGAAAAGTAAAGAGACAGAAAGAGAAAGGGCAGGATTTTGTGGAGGGAAAAGTGAAGACAGTGGTCTCACCCCTATCCCTCTTTCTCTCCTCACTTTCTCCCCCAGTGACTCACTTCAATAATACAAGGGGGACTGCAGGTTAATAGTTCCTAGAAGGTAAGGTAGGCAGACCATAAGATTTGCTCAGTATTCACACAACTCAGATGATGCTGACACAGTATTCCACTATCAGGTTATGTTATGACTGAGAAAAATAGAGAAGGGAAATAGAGAAGGGAAGCTTTAATTGAGACCTTCCTTCTGACTTAAATATAACCTAATCCTTTCATCTCCTCAATCCAAACATGCACTTAAGGTGCCTCCAATACAGAAGAAAAAGAACTCATCCATGTTTTACACTCGCCTATGAATTTCCTTGAGCACTTGTCTACGCAAAGATATAAAGTTCAGCGGGTTAAAAAGAAGGAAACAGCAAAACCTCCATACCTGTGAATTTCCTTAAGCCACTTGTCTATGCATGTTCTATGAAATTGGTGATGGCAAGGCAGCTCACGGATGCTGTCTCCATCCTCATACTCCACCAGGCATATGTAGCATCTGTAAATTAAGGAATGACAAAGACATAGGCAAAACCCCATCATTAAATCTCTCTATTAGTGAAATTCAAATGGTGATCTCAGCAAGATTTAATAACAGTTTAACTTGCAAAAAGGCATATTGAGATGTAAGTCAGGCTCCCAAAACATGATTAAAGGATTTAGGTAAAATTTTTGCATCTTCATTAGTGATATCTTTGCTTTCAAGAAAGTTGCATGCTAAGTAAATTTTATCTAATACGTTACTCATAAAAATGAAGTATAACATTATAAAGAAAAGGAAATAAAAGCAACAAAAGAACAAGAAAAAAAAAATCCATTACATGCATTTGATAAACTGAACAACAAATGGTGGTCGAATTCGAACACTTACTGGGCAGCATCCTCTTGATGTTTATGCAACTTTGTGTATGTTTTGACCGGCAAAGACTCCACAACATCATTAGGCGCAGGAACAGATCCAATGGAAGACACAGAAGGGCGGGAAGATAAAACCGCAGATTGCTGGTGAATTTCATCCAGAACCTAATTAAAATATGTATAGAGGATTCACTTTGTATAAACAGATAATGGAAGGTCATCTTGATAGCCACCGTCATATAAACATACCTCAAATAAGGCTTCAGCTAGCATTACAATTCTTGATATGCTAGCTCTAGTACCGGTATCATCAATTGAACTAGTATCACGACTACCAATTCGGCATGTACAATGACCATTTCTATGTTGACCAGACAAGATACAAGATCTGTCATGTCCAGATAGATTTTCAAACCGGCTACCCAACCGCTGAAGAGCACGAACCTGCACCAGTTTATACATAGGTCAATAAAATTGCCTGTACTCTTGCAGAATGATCCCAAGCATCAACGGTTCTTTCTTTACATTAAAATCTCATAATTGAATTATGCTTAACATCAATGTCATTACCTTTCTATATCCTCCGGGTATGCCACAATTATGTTCTCATAAGAATGACATTTTGGTTATGCTTTCAGGTTTTCCCCCTTTTACCAAGTTTTATTAGCCGAAGTAATATAAAGGCATCAGTATCTATTCACAAACCTGGGATCTTATTCTTCTTCTCCGTTCAAGGAAGTTGGATCTGTGTTCCAGCAGATCTTGGTACCTAGTTTCTCTTGACCGCGAATTCTCAACCTCATAGTCTTGGATGTTGAATAAGGAGTTAGAAATACTGGATGGAGGATAACCAGACATAGAAGAAGAATTTATAGCATTACTAAAAGATGGTAATACTCTTGAATCTCCCTCCCCCGCTTGTCTTTCATTATCCTCCCTAGTATCCCTTGCTTCTCTCTCTTGTTGCCGGGGGCAAAAGCTGACATCAGAGAAAGCTGATTGGCGAAGAACTCTATTACGAAGCCTCCCAACACTTAGAGTCCGGCTGTACCGAAAATTCCGTTCCACAGGTTCTCGAGCTCCATTTTGTCGACCCTCAATATTTTCAGTCTCAGCATGAATTCTTGAAGAAAACAAGTTTAGATCCAGCCCTTCACATGAACCATTTCCATCTCTAACCGCATTCTGTCTAGAAGAAGATGAGGGATTACCCTGCAAGTTGCCAGATGAATCTGCTGCTGGAAAATTAGAACAAAAACTATAAGTGTCTTCATTATGTTGTATAGAAATTTACCAAAAGAAGGAAGAAACAAGTCATTACATTGTCGAGTTTCATTTCTATTAACCAAGCTGCCAGTGGGTCCTGGATGCAGACTCCGATCATCTTCATTATTGAATATTGACATAGTTGTAGAAGAAGCATGGCAGGACCTTGATGACCCTAAACTGGTTGTTCTGCTAAGTCTGAAGCTTATATTACCAGGAATAAGGCTAAACCGAGAAAGGAATCGACCACCAGTTGAAGAAGCACGTGTAGATCGGCTACGAGTTCTGGAGGAATTACTGGAGATGCTTGTTTGATCCCACTCACTAAGGTCAATGTTGGAAGGCATGCAAGGCATGTCATCAGATGTTTTCCTTTTATCATCTCTAAAAGACTTTGATTTCATCTCATTTGAGCGCGTCCCAGTGTAACAGTTGTATGTAACACCATTGCCATTTGTTTTATTCTGGTCACAAACCCACAGCATGAGATACAAACCGCGAATAATAGATTGAAAGGAATCAGGTCTCATAGTACACATTTCATTAAGGACGAAAGCAATGCATTACTACAATTCAATGTCAGCACCAATTACACTTAAAATCTTATTTTTAGAGATTGTATTTTCAAAATATCTGTTGCTCATTTCAAGAAAATTTGGCCGCGTGATAGATTTTGTATCTATTGGCTTGCACCGTAACGGAACATATCAAATCATCTTCATACTTAAAATTCACGGGTATAAATATGTTTAGTAGTCTATTCGAAGTTGGCAGTTTGAGTATTTAACCATAACTTCTCTCTATTCTTTTAAAATAAAATTATCCAGCCATAATATGTATGAATACCGTTATCAGATGTCCACTTGCTCTTACATTTAATAGAAAGTTGCCTCACTGGTCAAAACTAAAAAAACAGACGGACTAAGGTACAATCTCTTACATATTTGTTACTGGGTTTTCCAACAAAAATGTGTGAAAAAAACACTCAAATAAATCCAATCTAAAAAGAAAATCTAAAACCTATACACTTAGATGCAAAACTCGTATGTTAATGCTAGAGAATGTGATATAATAACTGTACCAAAGTTTTCTCCAGAACAAAAAGACAGACCAAACAAAGGTCATAAAATCATTGCCTATATATAAGATTAGTTTCAACTAACAGTGAACATGACTAGAGCTTGTTTTTCAGAGTCTTCAGCAAAGTGATCGCAGTGACAGCTTTCATCTATTATTATAAACTAGAGTGTGCCCCATGCTTTTTAACAGAATTCGAAATGACACATATTGTTCATCACCTTTAAGCATTGCGGCTTTCATATGATATACGAACTACCCCAAAAGACATCAGTTCACTAATATGAAAGCAAAACAACAAAACAGACACTTAAGCAGGGGGGGAAACAAAGGGGTGAACAAGAGACCAGAAAGCTGAGGACCAGAACAGATCGTCTACGGTACAATGCAAGAACAGAGAAAAACAGTAAAAGCAATGTGATAAAATTGAGAGCAGAATCTGTGAAGAACCGGTTCAAACTGCCCTGAAACTCTCGATGTGCCTTAACCAGAACTTAAGCTCGAATAAGCAACCTTATAGGAGAATCCGAACAAAGTTACAGGGATGGGAGAACGAACTACTAACCTGTGCGTCATGAGATCCAGAGGTTGTTCCCAGACAATACGACTGAAATCCTCTATGTCCTTTCTTAGATCGAACCTTCCGGAAACTGCCGGAAGATGACGACGAACTGCAAGAGGAAGTGCCTTTGCTACCACTAGATCCCATGGACGCATCAATGCCTCCAGAAATCTCCAAGCAGCAACGCTTCTCTAAGTATTTAACGCCACAGGAAACAACTAAAACCCAGAAATCAAAATGCTTCAGAATTCAGATCCACATTGATGCCAAAGTAAAGTCGCAATATTTACTTGGTCAAGCATTGTCGTTGTCGTTTGAGTGAAATGTAAAGTCACACAGGCAAAATGGGACCAAAGAAAGAGAAGCATGTGAAGATAAAGCGTTGGGAAAGAGAGAGAAGGGGGTGATGGCAGAAGCTCAGTGAATCAGACAGAGTAAAGCGCAGTGAGAGCAAAAGGCCATTCCCCACCTAAGAAGTGAGAACGTGGATATTCCAGACTTCAGGTTAGGAAGACGAGAAAACTGGCCTATACTCTGCCAACATGCTGGCGATTCATGGTAGATTGTGGTTGGATTCATCACTCTTTAATGTCCAAGACTGGTGAATAGTGCTTACAGTTTTTACCCTCTGTTTTTCTTTTTGGGCAACATGAAAACAGTTATTTATCTATGTACTTCAATGGTGGTAAAATTAACTGACTCGCGAGTTAACTGTATTAACTGACTCGTGTAAAAATGATTTTAAGCAAATAACGACTTAACTCATCAAATTAGTGAGTCAAACAAGCAAAACCACTAGATTAAACCTATTTTAATGGCTCTGCTTATAATATCAGCAGAATATATTTACAGCGAGAGAAAAACATTTTAATTGATAAAATGTGACCCATATTTCAACAATATTTTTTTATGCAAACGGAAAAACATATTTCAACAACATATTATGGCCTGATTGCCTGAATAAGCGAGCACATGGTTTACAAAATGCACACTACATCACGGGAATGACTATGTAAAAAGGATGTTGACAAAGATAATAGCTCTCTGGTACAAAAAAAAAAAAGAAAAAACGTGTGCCTTCTCTGTCTTTTGATGGTGCGCTGGGTTAACGCTAATACATCATTCACAAGTCCCTGTGGTACTTCAAGGAGGCATTAACAAAGAACCTCTCCTGTTCGTAGCTTCCCAAATCTTACAACACGGTAAACTAAAAGTAATTCTCCAAAGCTGACTCATTCAGTGACAACTTAAGATTTGTTAGAAGTTACGATTTATAAGTACTTATAAGTATATTTACGTGAGTTGAGACAAAATTCTCTTATATCTAATTCGTATTTAGTAAATTATAATTAAAAACTAATTATAAATCATTTCAAACAAACCCTTAGATTTGCAGCCAACAATTACTTAAGAGGGGGTTCTAGAAGTCATCCATTAGACAAGGTGTACTACCTCCGGTCTTAATTATAAGAGTTAGTTGACTAATTTGAGAAGATTAAGAAAATAAGTTAAGTGAGTTATTTGTAATAAATATGTGTTGTCTTTCCTAAAATATCCTTACTAATCAAGTTATTGGCTAGAACTACCATTATTAGAAGGACTACCTTAGAAAAAAAAATATAAATATGAGAGATAAAGTGAATTGGTGTCTTATAATTATGACTAAAATAAAAATGAAACAAGATCTTGTATTAAGGACCGAGTAGTATTATTTTAATTTGAAGGAAGCCTGCAAGACGGTTGAGACACTTATTATTGCAACCAACCCCGTGCTTTGATATCCATGGAAGATTGGTCCAAGGGGATTTTCGTTTTTGGTACATAAAGGTTTAGATGAGATTGATGGGTTGACTTAATCAGATTAACACGTCTCAGAATTAAAAAAATACTTATAAATATATCATCCATTCATAAATTTTTATATTGACACCGACGTTCAGATCCACATTAAAAGAAAGAGTTATATTCTTATTAATAGGGTCATTTTTTTATTGATAAGTGAATAACAAATACTTGAATGTTTGACGAGAAAAGAAAACACTTCACATTTAGTATTTTACAGTATCTCGGATAAAAAGATAATTTCACTTATCGGCAAAAAGAGACAGGAAGTCACTTTAGAGGGAGAAATCGATATATGCATATATATACATGGTAATGCGCACACATAATTATCTACATATTGATATTCAATCATGTGTCGGGTGATGCATAGTCTTATTGATATGATTCAACAAGAGCAGTGGATATATTTTCTGTGTTTTTGTTTCCGGGGGCCAACAAAGTAGATATGTTTCCTTGGCATGTTAAATTTACATGTTTTCACACGCTTGATTATTTTTTAAGTAATTGTTATATGCTACTCCTGGTTTTTAATTCAGAGATAGATAACTGATTTGAGAATATTAAAAAAAGTAGTTATGTTGGTTATTTGTCATAAATATATGTGTTTTTTTTAAAACTATCATCTTCAATTATATGCTTTGGATAATTAAAATTATTTTTTAATGAAAACCTGTTATAATTAATAAAAATATTTTGACAAAAAAATATGAGACAAAATAAATTAAGATTTTATATTTATTGGCCAAATTCAATCATCGATTAACACTTACATTAAAGGTGGGAGATAGATGGGACAATAAAAATATGTGCTTCCTCCGTGATTTTATAAAAACGTGTGATGTTATAGAAACCCTTTTTTAAGTTCGAGAATTATCCCGCAAACACAATTACCATCATAGTTATAATTATATTCCTGCTATAATATCATAGTGCTATTACGTAGCGAACAAACTTTTTGGCACTATAATTTTACTCTAGATTGTAAATCGATTTTAGTCGTGATTCATAAACTGCACCTAATGAACGTTTTCTTAAGGTTGATATAATTGTTAAAAAAAAAAAAGGAGGAAAAATCACAATTAAAAACCGTGAAAACTATAAAAATTTAAATAAGGATTGTTACAATATTTTAACAGATTTTTAAAATAATTGATTTGCAAATAATAACATATCTGTGTGAAAATACCTAACTCAAGATTTTATAATTTTTATGATTTTTTTTATCATTTTTCCCCCAAAAAAATCAAATAACATGTACTACATCCGGTCCTAATTATAAGAGTTAGTTGACTAATTTGAGGAGATTAATAAAAGAAGTTAAGTTAGTTATTTGTAATAAATAAACGTTATCTTTCCTAAAATATCCTTACTAATCAAGTTTATTGGTTAGAACTATCATTGTTAAAAAGTCTATTTTGAAAAAAATACATAAATATGAGAGACAAAATAGATTAGAGTCTTATACTTAAAATCAAAATAAAAATTAAATAAGGTTTTATATTAAGAACAGGAGTTGGTGTAATTTAACTTCATATCTTACAAAGATTTATCACGTGTCACGCTCAAACATCTTTTATAACCGCAATTTTCTCCTTTTTCTTGTCTTTTTTTTTGGGGGGGGGGGGGGGGTTCTAACGGCGGCAAGAGCTTGAGGTGTTTAAATTTTAACGGCAAAACGGATATTTCAGATGGATTTCCATCTCCCAAAACCAAGCGGGACGGTGCCAACATTGGGCTTTTGGCGAAACTTAATTTTGCGGTGTTTAGCAGGTGTTTCAACAACAAACACCTTGCCTGCAAGCCAAATTTATACACACCTCGACGGCCCCAGATATGTTAAAGGCTTTTCCTGCGCCTCCTCGTCTTCTTTCCATCCCCTCCTTCACGAGGTATGCCCCATCCTCCGACTGATTTTGTAAACCTGGTTTTGTCTCATACAACTGGGGTCTATTTACTGTCGCATTCTTGGAAGATGGTTATAGGAAGTGGGAACTTATGCATGTCTAGAGTTTTCTGTTTGTTGTTTGGTTTCATTTCGCTGGTGATTATTGAGTAGCTTGGCGGGTGAATGAGAAATCATGTGTTGAATCCGTAATTATCAAATTGTTGCAGAGTATATTTGAGCAAAATGAGCTCAGTGCCATCACCGCCCAAAATTCCAAAGTTCTTTTCTGTCGAAGGAAGTGATATACATTTAAGAAGTAAAACAGGTGGTAATGCGATGTTCTTAGCTGTTTGGTTTACCCATTTAAGTTTTACTTATACGTGATTATAATTTGGTCCACTGTGTTTTTTTTTTTTTTTTCATTCTGCGGTGGTTGTTTGACTTCCGTGTTCTCCATATGACAATTTTTAGCGTGATTGGCTTGACTTTGAAGTGCAAGAATTTAACTGTAAAGCACGATGTATTCCAATTGAGCAATTCGAATGCTGTTAACATGGGGTAGTATGATAGAGAATGAAACCACAGAGTAGCCAAATATTCTATCTCCGGTCTCCTTCTCTCTGTTTTCTTGTAGTTTCTTTATCTCCTTCGTTTTTTAACTTTAATGGGGTGGGAAACAAAAAGGAGGAGGCGATGGAAATGGGAAGAATGAAAGTTGAACAAGGATCCAGAAATGATGCACGATTCATTTCCTTCTCTCTTTTTATCTTTTAAACCAAGCCAAGCATCAACGGCAGCTCTAGATGATGTCAACTGAACCCAAAGGGCATGTCATTATAAAACAACATAAAAAATGGCTTCAGTCCTTGGATCCAGGTTCCACAGCTAAGCCGCAAAAACAGCCGTCACTTCTTCTGGTCTTGTGTGTTGGTCTTTATTATGTAGACATTTAAGCAAAACTAGTGGAATGGTGGTGACAGGTTATCATGTCATTCAATTTCTAAGTACCTTAATTTATCATTCCGACTAATTCAGGCTGTCTCTTTTCAGCCTCAGTTAATATTGTATATTCATCGATTAAAATAAGCATGATTTTCACAGGGTTCAGATTCAGCCTTGTCTCATATAATATATTGGCTCAGGTATGGCATTTAATGTTTTCATCCAATTTCTAAAAGGATTTTTTTACGTTCTAAATGCTGGCACAAACTATGAAATGTAATTAGTAACTATAGCTATGTTATATTTTGTGAGGACAAAAAGGGGTTAGCAATAAAACGAGTCTTAAGTTATGCATGAGCCCAAGTTATTAAGGATCTCAAACATTTGTTTGCTAAAACCTTATTTATTTTATTTTATTTTTTTATTTGTAATGTAGGTTTATGTGAAGAGCTCTCTATTCCCGCACTCTCCTTCCTCTTCACTGAAGTATATTCCTCTGGATCCTAAGTTACAAATAATGATAGCAAAATATGCATCTATGCTTCATTTTAATTTTATCATTGTTGTTTTTGCATATCGTAGGTGGAAAGCTCGTTCAAATGCAATTTTAACGGTTCTCAAGAATTTAGGAGCTGATTTTTTCTGTCTACAGGTTCTTTCTTTATAAATTTTGGGTCTTCTTTTATCTTCTTCTCTATCTAATAATATTGTAAACAAAAGTCTCCTTCTTGATGCCATAAACCTTTTCAGGAAGTTGATGAGTATGATAGCTTTTACAAAGGAAGCATGCTCGATATAGGATATTCTAGTGTTTATATGAAGAGAAGTGGACAAAAACGTGATGGGTGTGGGTTATTTTACAAGCATGATCGGTATGTTGAACCTTTTGTGCAGAATGCAAGCAACTTGTAGTTTTGCTGGCACAAGATTTGTAATTTAAATTTTGCATGAGTTATAGGAATTATAATTACTAATAGCTAATAGATGGATTGACGGATGCAGACATCCTGTCCAATGTTGTGATATGATAATTGAGCTGTTATAAATTGATTACTAATTGGACGAGTACTCTTGTCTATATCCACCATCTTTCACTTCCATATCATCCTTTGTAGTTGAATGACTCTCTTGCAAGCAGCCAAAACTCAAACAAAGTCACTATTTGCATCACATAGGTTTTGGTTAGATTCTTCATATTGCCTCGAAAAAAGAAAAAGAAAGAGTAAGATGTGTTTTCTACATGATTGGTGTTCTTTAAATGGGTTTTATGGGTTGTGACTCGTTAGGGAGAATATTTATCCTGATGATCGTCAATAATTGTAGTTTTAGATTATCCATTGTTTGTGCTATTTAGTGCAGAGCTGGTCTTAGAGGAGAAAATTGAATACAATGATCTGGCAAATGCACTTCAAGATGGGAATTCTTCAAATGATGTTGAACACAACAACGATCAGTCAGGAAACAAAAGGATGCTGCCCCCAGCAATGGTAACTTTTATGTTGTGCTATTGTGCCTACACACATTTCTGGTAGAGATAAACCGGATAACTTTATGATTTTCTGTTGCCTGCATTGGTTCTTTTTTAATATTCAAAATTAGAAAAGCTGCTATTGCACGTTTATTACCTCATAGATTGGACAATAATCTTCATTAATTTTATTTTTCACATCCAGCTCCTAAAAAGAACGCAGAAGATCGTGGAGATCCTAATGATCCCCGTGTGAGACTAAAGCGTGATTGTGTTGGTATTTTGGCTGCGTTCAAATTCAGAGATCTTCCTCATCATGTCGTTATTGTGGCAAATACACATCTTTACTGGTAATGGAATAATTTATATGCATGTATCATGCCGTTTTTCTTTTTAAGTTTCTTTGACTTCACGATAGACTTCTGCCATAACTTGGCTTGGTTCTTACGAATATGAGTTTGCTCAAGGAGTTTGCATTTATGCGCCAGGGATCCTGAATGGGCTGATGTCAAGCTTGCCCAAGCTAAATATCTTCTATCTCGCTTAGCGCGATTCAAAGCACTGGTATCAGAAAGATTTGAATGCGTACCTGAGGTCCTAGTGGCTGGTGACTTCAATTCTACGCCAGGAGATATGGTACACAAGCACTTCTAAATGATTAATTCTCTCTTTTATACTGAGGACTCATTTAATGGAAGATAAAATGAATTCTGTGATTTTGAGGATGGGAAATGACTTTCATGCTCCGAATTTTAAAAATGAAAAAAAAAAAAGTTGAATAGTGATTATAGTGATGTAATTAGCATTTTAAGAAGGATGAAAAGGGATTACATTTCCATTCATGATACTAAACATCGGTGTGAGTTAATCTTTATGTCATGCACTGCACTTATCAAGTAGATGCAAGTCCACGCACACCATCAGCGGAATTCACAAGGTGTGAAGTTCTCGTGGCATTTCAAATTGATAACTTAATGAGAATTTCTCCATGAATGTCTTATCTCTAACATTTTACAGTTTATCTCATGCAATATGTTCACGAGAAAATCACTGTTTTCTTTTAGTGACGTACTTTCAAGACTAGATCTGTATATTTTCTCAACATCCTGCTCACCATTTCTTTCTTTTTATTTTTTATTTTTGCCGGGCATCTTACTTATAATTTCAATCCCCTATCTTTTGCAGGTTTATCAATACCTTGTATCTGGCAACTCTTCATCAACACTAGTGTCTGAATGTTCTGAAGACGTTCCCATTCACTTATGTAGCGTCTATGCTTGTACCAGAGGAGAGCCTCCATTTACCAACTGCACTCCTGGATTCACAGGAACATTGGATTATATATTGTTTCACCCTTCTCACAATATTAAACCAATCAGTTTTCTTGAGCTTCCTGACTCCAGTGCCCCTGACGTTGATGGTGGCCTGCCTAACTTCAGTCATCCAAGTGATCATCTACCGATTGGTGCTGAATTTGAAATTATCAAGGAATAAATAGTCTTCTGAAAAGTTATATTTGATTTCTCTGGAAAATTGTGTTCTTTTTGCTTTCAGGAGAAATTCAAACAAAAAAAGGGGGGGGGGGGCGCAAGAGCAAGTGAATGATGGAGGCCAGCATGAAATAGTTACAGTAAGCCAAGCTTATTCTATATTGAAGAATCCCGACGTTTAGCGGAGAGAATGTGGTGACTTGGCGGTTTCAGCAAATTTATTAATCTCTGATTTTGTTGAATTGGTATCATTTTCTAGGAACATTGTGTTATGTCCTATTTTATTTGAGGGAAAGAAAATATTTTTTTTAAGATATAATGCTTTTGTATTCATTCATGTTAGTGAAATAAGTAATCTGTCAGCTTTCTCTATTGAAGGTGATAAATTTTGCTACTGTAAGGACTTGGATCTCCTACTGCGTGCTGTATCACTGATTTACACATCACGTTTGATGTTATTGACATCAATTCTATCCCCCCCCCCTTCCGTTTCTTATTCATTGAATTATTCATATCAAATTTTAGTTATAACATTTCAATTAAAACGCTTTAAGCCTGGCAACAAATAAGCGACAAAATGGCGCGAGGCAGGAGATGGGTGGGCGTCACTTTGTAGCCTCTTGACGTCGTCATATGAAGTATAAACAAAAGTTTTAAGAGGAGGGTTGGGGTGGAACATAAGTTGAGGCTGTTATTATTTCATCCTAAAATCACTAAAATCGAGTTTTTCTTTCCTAAGTTGCTCCTAAACTCTTATTAAAGCAACAACTTGTGTTTATCTCTTCTAAGTTGATTCTAAACTCTTATTAAAGCAACAACTTATCTATTCTAAATAAAATAAGATGAGTCGAGTATACAAATCATATTAGTTATCTTTTCTAATTATAAGTTCAACGCTAGCTAAAAGACTAATATAACCAACACAAAGTACCGAATTCGAGTTTGAGTTAGTATAAATATAAAGGACATTTCTTTGAAAAAAAAAATCTTTTAAATTAGACCTGATAATATTCAAATTTAATTTAGTTTTATATATACAAGGACGACTTAGTATAGCCGCTAAATGTGGGTGTTAAAGCAATTTGAGTGGTTGGTTGGGGGGACAAATGATGGTGCCAACGGTGGTCTTTGCTCCCCTCCTTGCCCACTTTTTTAAGTGACAAAAAAGCACTACTAAAGTGAGGTCACATAGTGAAGCCCGTTTGCTTTGGGGAATGAAATTAACTAGAAATAGTTTTTTAAATGTGAAATGTCATATCTATCTCGAGATAAAAACTAATAATGAAAAAAAAGTTGTCACATAATAGTGGTTACAAGAATGTAATAGATATTTCGTAAAATAGCATGACTAAAAATAATATATTTTGAACACATTCATTGGAACCCTAGCAGTTCTCCAGTTGTTACATAATTATGCATATTTTACGAAATTTAAGAGTGAATTGTGGAGTTAAAAGTTTATAGTTTCATGTCCCCCCCTCCTTTTATCTGAACTCAAGTCCCATTTCTGCCCTTAAGTTTGTTTTTGGTATGAATTATTGCGCTGCACGACTTATTTTGGCGAGCTACAAATCTACAATTATGTTGCCTGCCAAATTTGACGATAGACTTTGAGTTTTCTTATGTAACATGGACCACTCGAGTGACTTCTGAGATCAGCTTACAATCATAAGGTCACGACAGTCTCATCAGCCAACATCGCTATGTGCTATTCCCAGTAATACAAATGAAACCAAATTCCACTAACTTGATTCTTGCACACTATATAAGGATATGCTAGGTTCACTTGCATCATAAACATTTTATATTACATCTTTAGGATAGAGAAATATCATCTTGCTTTGGAAAAATGCTAGACATTCTAGAGGATGGGGAATTAATGGTGGGGATTACCAAGAAAAGTGCTGTAAAGGCTATGAATCATCCGCCAGCATCATTTTCAATCACTCTCTCTAATCTTGACCTTCTTTCTGGTCGTTTTCCTGTGACATACCTGTATTTCTTTTGTAGACCCAAAATATTAGTTCTTGACTTTGGAGCACTTGTTGAATCTCTCAAGAGCTCCCTCGCACAAATACTTGATTACTACTATCCCTTTGCAGGCCAAATTGTTCAGAACCCCAAAACTGGTGAGCCTGAAATCATCTGTGACAACAATGGAGCTCTAGTCATTGAAGCTCACGCCAATCTCCCACTGAAGAAACTAAATTTTCATAATCTCAATGAAACCATTCAGAATAAGATAGTGTCTATTCAACCAGGCTTCCCTCTGCAAATTCAGGTAACAGATTACACTTGCGGAAGCATCACTATGGCTTTCACTTTTGACCATGCATTAGGTGATGCAAGTGCCTTTGGCAAATTCATTGCGTCGTGGTCTGAAATAGCTCAAAATAAGCCCGTTTCAATTATCCCAGACCATACTAGACGCCTTCAATCTCGTTTTCCTCCCAAATATCATCCCTCATTGGACCAAACTTTCATCAAGTGCACCATAGAAGAGATACAGAACATGCCATTGAACAACATAATGCTTAAGCGTCTTTATCACATCAATGCATCAAGTATTAATATACTCCAGAGACTTGCATCTGCTGGTGGCACCAAAAGAACAAAGATTGAGGCTTTCTCTGCCTATGTATGGAAGATACTGATTGGAACCATCGATCAGAAGTACGATAAATGCAAGATGGGTTGGTTAGTGGATGGAAGACAAAGCATAGGGGGAAAAGAGAGCAGGAATTGTATGTCAAATTACATAGGAAATGTTTTATCACTGGCTTTTGGGGAGGCAAGGGTTCATGAGTTGAAAGAAGCTTCAATCTCAGAAACTGCCAAGATAGTGCATGAGGCTATTACAGAGGTGAACAATGAGGCTCATTTTTTGGATTTGATTGATTGGGTTGAGTGCCACAGGCCTGGTTTGATGCTAGCCAAGGCAGTGTTGGGTCAGGACGGACCAGTTCTGGTTGTGTCCTCAGGAAGAAGGTTTCCAGTAACTGAAGTAGACTTTGGGTTTGGGAGTCCCTCGTTAGGGACAGTCTATACCTCCATTGAAAGGGTTGGGGTAGGTTACATGAACCAGAGGCAAAGTGGCAGGGGTGATGGCTCATGGACCGTCTCTGCTATCTTATGGCCAGAGCTGGCAGCTGCACTTGAGGCTGACGCTATTTTCCAGCCCATGTCTGCTTCTCATCTTCAATTTTAGTACAGTGCATAATCTAGCTTTCATCTCCATCCTGCAGGTTAAAATGAGCACATATATCCACACACACACACACACACACACTTACTTATAAGTTTAGCGGCGCCCATCACAATCAATGTAAATTTTATCGTATTTGATGCTTTTGATAATTTCATCAGAGTTCCATGATTGCTTTACAAACGGTACCATGAGATGAGGAGTCAAGCATAACTCTACACAAGACCATCAAAATAAATATTCAAGAAAATAAAGTTGTCATATTTATTCAGGGAACAATAACTTATTCTAACCGCAGATGTTAGATGTACTAGGCCTTAGTTAGTTGGACTCTAGACTCTCGGAATTTTAAATTATCATTAAAATATGTTAATATGTCCAAAGTAGAATAAAACATAAACAATCCAAGGGGGGAAGAGAGGTTGCCCCACATTTCACAGGTTCAGGCAAGAAAGTAAGTCCCCTTTTGGCTTCTTCAAGTCTCCAATGCTATATCTAACGGCAGATTCAGGTCATTTGATTACTTTAAAGTCTTTTAGCATCAACTGTAGTTGACAGAAGGCTCCTGTATGGGGAAAATAATTCCATCATGGGACTCTCGCAAGATGAAAGTTAGTAAAACTTAAGACGCTATGAGACACTCACTGGACAAAAATTAGTAAAAATTAGAGTTGTCCATTTGATACTTGGCCATGTCACTTCGTTTCCGAAATGCCTGCACACAAGAAGTAAAACCACAGCAATAAATCTACAAACCATAGAAATACAAACATATTCCAATCAAGGACCAACAGAAGACCACAACCTGGTAACTGGTTAAGGAGCGAGAAAATCATTGCTGTACTGGCAGTCCTCGTATACTCAACAATTTAATTTCCCTGGTTTTCAAACACAAGCAATAGGTCATTAAAAAACAGGAAAAAAGTATAATATAATAGGAATATTTTTAATATTAAAAAGGAATATCATACAATAAGTAAGATCACGTCAATTATTTCCAATTTTTAATAAATATCGTATATGTTCAGAAATATTAGAGTATTCAACATAACACAGCTGGATGACTTCTAGGTCAACAATTATATGGCATAACTGGGTATAGTCAACTAAACCAACTATTTAGAAACAAAGAAGAACACATTATGTAACCATTGTCCTTGCATAGCCTTCAACAGTCAATTTATTTAAACAACAAAGAAAAGATATTTAAAAAAAGAGTTAAGGCGCAAAAATACCCATAAACTTTTCTCAAGAATGCACCTAACACCATATACTTTTTAAGGTGCAAACCTATCCATACAAGTTTAAAATAAGTGCAAAAATATCAGCTCTGTTAAAACAAGCTAACAGTCCTTTATTTTGATGGTGGGGTCAGTGAAATTTTTATGAAAGTACAAAAATACCCTCAATTGAAAAAAAAACCCTCAACCCTTTCCTCTCCCAACCTCTCGAATTCATCTCATACTCATATTTTGGATACCCAGAACAAGTACCACCAACAACCAGATTTCAATCCTTGGGTTTTGTGATAAACTTAAGAGGGTGAAAGATATCCCTTGGGTTTTGCTCAATCCCTGTCATCTTCAAAGGCTATACCTTTTACTGTTAATAATACCATTTTGTTCTTTTCACCGATATATTGTTTGATCTCTACATATATGTGAGCGAAAACTTTGAATTTCGAAAGTGTAGTGCACAAGTTGGATTTTTCTTCCCCCCAACCAAATGTTTTATAATTAAAAGCTCTGCATTGTTTTTTCTGGGCCAGTGCATTGAGAGGTTGGAGAGGAGAGGTTTGTTCCCCCCCCCCCCAACTTTAATTGGGGTATTTTGGTACTTTCATAAAAATATTGTGGGCCCCACCATGAAAATAAATGAGTGTAGCTTGTGTTAAGGGTTTTGATATTTTTGCACCTATTTTAAGCTTGCATTGGTAGAGTTGCACCTAAGAAAACTATAGTGTTGGATGCACCTTTAGGAAAAGTTTGTAGATATTTTTGCACCTTAACCATAAAAAAAACACGAGCAAAACAAGCAACAGTATATTTTTGTCTTGTATGACCAACCTCTAAAGTTCAAAGTTTAGCCTTCAATCAGGAATCTGAGGAAAGAGCATGCTGCCTTAGTTGTTGCCTTTAACCCACATGTCCAGATATCAAGCGTAAACCTTCATCTTCAGTAGATGCTGAGGTTGAACATGATTATGGCAGTATCGACCCCAGGATTCATTGTATCAACCAACTCTGAGAAGCTTCCTAATTACTCTTGAATGTTAAGTTTTGAAGGAGGATGCATCCCGTGAACCAATGTGGTATATGTAATTTCATCTAATGATAATCCACCACCAGACATGTGATCACACAGTTGAAAGGCTTCTTGTAGTTTCCTTTCCTTGCAATGCCCATTTACCAATGCATTATAAGTGACAGTATCTGGTGTTATTCCATTTACTGTCATCGTACCTAAAATCTCATTTGCTTCTTTCATATTGCCCAATTTGCAATACCCATCAATTATAACAGTGTATGTAATTTTATTGGGATGTACATTGTTTGCAGACATTTCAAGCAAAACACTCACCGCTCTATCCATCTGGCCAAGCTTGCAGTAACCACCAATAAGCGCAGTATAACATACAACATCTGGCAACAAGCCAACTTTTCTCATTTCTTCAAAAATTTCTTTTGCCTCGTCAAGACAGCCAATATTGCACATTCCATGTATTAGCAAAGAATATGTGGCACATGTTGGTGAAATACCCCTACTTTTCATGGCATCACGAAGTTTGATGGCTTCTATCACATTACCAATTCGACAATAGGCTGCTATAAGTATGTTAAAAATAACAGAATTTAGTTCTACTTTCTTGTTATTAACTAACTCATTGAATAAGTTTACAGCATCTTCAATTCTGTCAGACTTGCAATATCCTTTAATCATCAATGCATATGTATAGATATTAGGAACCAATCCCTTTTGCTGGCCTTCATGCAAAAGCTTATTAGCATCATCCATTTTACCCACATCAACCAAACTCTTCATTATACAATTGTAGGTTTGTATATCTGGTTGGATTCCTTGCTTAGCCATCTCTTCTTTAAGCTTGAAACCATGTTCGACCATCCCACCTTTGCAACAGCCAAAAATGAGAGTGTTGTATGAGACCCTGTCCAACACCAAACCCCTCTCAAGCATCTTTCGGAGTGTCATGTCAACCTTGTGCATGTTCCCTTGTTCACAAAGTCCATGAAGAAGAGCATTTGAGGTAATAGTATTGGCTGCAAAGCCTTTATCTGCAAGGCTAAACCAAAGCTTAATAGCCTCTAAATGTTTTCCACACTTACAAAGTCCATGGACTAATACGGTAAGCAAGCTATCACTAGGCTTGATATTCCTAAACAACAACTCTCTAACAAATCGGAGGGCAGAATCAAACCTCGCTTTCTTACATAGCCAGTGAATAACAAAAAAACATGCATCCTGGTTAATACATAACCCACTGGATAATATCTCCTCTAATATTTTCTCAGCTTGTTCCATTTGATTAGTTCTACAAAAACCTTGTAAAAGAGTATTAAGAGTAACAGAATTGGGTCTTATGCCCTTAGATAACATGTCATCATTGATCCTTAGTGCCTCACTCATATTTCCCTCCCTGCAGCATCCATCAATTAGCGTGTTATAAATGAATACATTAGCAGTAAAGCCACTTGCAGACATTTCCACCAAAAGGTAATTTGCTTCATCAAATTTCCCCAGCTTCATCAAAGCATTGAGAAGTACACTATATGTTATAAGACTTGGACTCACATTGCTTTTTACCATCCTTTCTTTAAATCGAAATGCCTCTTCTAATCTACCACTCTTGCAGAGCCCATCAATCATGATATTGTAGGTGGCAACATTAGGCGATTGACCAATCTCCTCCATTTTAAAAAACAAACCAATTGCATCCTCTGCCCTGCTTCCTTTAAAAAATGCATTGATTGCAGTAGTATACGTGTAAACATCAGGTAAAACACGTCGGCAATAAGCTTCAAACACTTCGTAACACTTTGGAAGTTCATTAGCCTTCAATAATGCGGTCAACAACAAATTGCAAGTTTTCTGAGATGGAAACCTCCCCTTTCTCCAGAATAAATAAAATATATCAACAGCAGAATGAAGACCCGTATTCTTGAATTGGGTGCAGAAAACATGAATCAACAAATCCAATCCATCGTGATTTTTTTCTGTGACAGCATTTAACTCCAATATGGAAGCAGCTATCTCAATGTGCCTATTATCATGGTCACAAAACAAAGTGGGCAAGTTCCCATCAATCAAACGGATTAAAAGCAACCTTGCGGGCGATAAAAGGTTCGAAGACAGAAGTAAACGAACCAAAAGGCAGTATGACCGAACCATGAACCGAAACTTAAAAGAATCGGCAGCAAAATGAAAGAAGTGAAGAGTTGTTTTGAGGTTCACATTGGATTTAATAGTAAAGAATAAGTGATCAAATTCAAGAGGTGACAAGCGGGGTATCAAAGCTTCACAAGTAGAAGAATCCAGAACCTTGCTGGAGAGAATAGAATGCACCAAATCATGCAGACTCTGCTCAGAAGAAGGTAATGAATGACTCTGAGGCTTTAAAGGCGGAGATGGAGGAAGGCTATTGTCGGTTGATGCTACCCCGCTCAAGGGGCGCGAGATGCGTGACAAGAAAGAAGAACGTATAGTTCTTGAAAGCCTTCTCAAATCCATTGAACAACGCAATGTTCGGAATCTGTGGGTTTCATGAAAATATCCAATGGTTTTATAATGAATCAGAAGCGGAAGCCATGACCTCAGCAGCTTTGCCCTGCCTCAGGAGAAAGGATGTGAAAGAGCTTCTCTTGCCACAGAGCGATGAGGGAGGAGAAATGAGCGTTGATGATCTGGTTTGTTACCGAACACGCGACTGGAGAGTTGGACATGAGAGAAGCCCCGTGTTCTTTTTTTTTAAATTGAAACTTGGGTCTTCCTCCTTTTTTTTTTTCCGGTGAAAAGACTTTACCAATTTAAAATGGGCAGAAACATGGGCCGCCCGATTAACTCTGGGTCATAATTGGGTTATAAATTCGGTGCGAATAGTAGAATGGGTGCGAGGGGCTCGAACTAAGGCCCGTGGTCACCTGCTCGCTCGTGTGGTACGATGGCAGACTCGAGCGTGTGGACACATATCGACGCCTCCGGCTATTTTACTCAAATCAGTTTAAGAAGGGATGATTAATTCGTTAAAATTGTTTGAAAGAAAAAAAAATCAAATTCATCCTTATTTAAAAAATAATTTTAAATAAGAGAAATCTAGAATAAATGTATAAAAAATGCCTTGTAATAGAGACCGGATTGGTATATATACCCTCTTCTCCTTATTGTTTATGAGTTATTTTCAACCAGTCCACCAAAAAAATAGCTGACTCATTAAATTCGTATTAAAGTTTCAAAATTTTCTAACTTTGTCCTATTTGAGATTAAAAAACACAATACTTGAAGAGTGAATATTAAATTGGAATTAAATTCTCTTTTCATAATTTGCAAAACTAATGAAACCAAAAAAATGTTTTTTTGACCAACAAACTTTTTAAAAAAAGTTAATTGCTAGCCTTGTACAACTATAAATTTATTCTAGAAGATGTCATGTAATACATGTCATTTTGGTAAAAAAAAATTATACTACCTCTGATTTTTAATGTAAAAATTAATTGATTAATTTGAGTGAATTAAGAAAATTTATTAAATTAATTATTTAAAATAATAAGTATTATTTTTTAGAATAGTCTTACTAATTATATGTGTTGGCTAAAACTACTATTTAATAGACAAAATATATTAAAATATTATATTTAAAACTAAATTAAATTTCAAATTAATTTTTATATTAAGGATGAAAATATATATAAGAAAGAATATATATAGAAAGAATGAGAGGGTGGGGGCCCCGCCCCTGCTCCCATTTTTACGATAAGTAATGTTGTTGCTACAGCTACGGGGATGTTCTGGCAGAACAAATGCGGAAAATGATTAAATATTTTTAACGTAAGAAACGTATTAAATTATTAATAATAAAGAGTGGATTCACTCTCGTTATTGCGTTGGATAATATTTTCAAAATCTGTGTCAGCTCCAGTGATTCCTGCTTCATTTAGGCGGCTAAAGGTTAATACTTTTCCATTAAATAAACCAATTTGTTTTTTCCACAATAAAAAAACTATTTTGTGTTTATATAAATATAAATAAAAAAAGGTAAGCGCGGGAGCATGATATCACCGAAAACAGAAGCCAATAAACACACACAAATGAGAGGCGTAAAAAAGATGTGAGTGATTATCTCGTCCCATCAAATAAACGGGGCACTCGCTCGCTCACCACTCACCACTCACCACTCACCACTCACCACTCACTCACAACCCACCACTCACACACGCAAACTCACATACGAAGTGGGAGGACAATCCAAACAGTTGGCGGCAATCGGCGGCGATGGCGGGGCAATCTCGGAAGTGGATGATTCTGGTGGCCACAATATGGATTCAGGCGTTCACCGGTACGAATTTCGATTTCTCGGAGTACTCTTCGTTGCTGAAGTCCGTTCTCGGCATCTCTCAGGTTCAATTGAATTACCTCGCCACCGCGAACGACATGGGGAAATTGTTCGGATGGTCGTCGGGATTGGCTCTCGCCCATCTGCCGCTGTGGATTGTGATGTTCATTGCGGCGTTCATGGGCTTAGTCGGTTACGGCCTCCAATGGCTTCTCATCAAGAACATCATCGCTCTGCCTTATTTTGTGGTACCGCTCTCTTTCTCCCCATCCTTTTCTGGTCCGCTATCTGATTTGCTTTTGCTTCAATTCGCTTTCGTTGCTTGAGTTATCGCTAAGTAATTTTAAGGGGTTTAAATTCCATAAATTGTTTAAAATCACTTAGTTAAAAATATTTGCGTTTGCCGACTTGCAGCTCTTAATTGCATCTCTTAATATTTCATCCATCACAATAGTAGGCATTTGGACTTCAGTTCACTCTCACTTTCAATTCAACGGTAGCCGCTGATTTGCTAAATGATATTCCTTCCGGTTTTAAGTATAAGATACATTTTGTAACGTAAATTGCATATAAAATGGGTAGAGTACTTCCTATATTCAATAAGAAAAATTAGTTGAATTAATTATTTATAATAAAAGAATATCATATTCTAAACTGTTTTTATTAATCATATATATTTGAATTACAAATTAAATATAATTTTATAACATATACAGCTGTTATAAAAAATAATTTTAAAAAAATAAATAAATATTAAAGGTAAATTAGATTAAAGTCTTAATTGCAAGTCAAAGTAACTCAAGTACAGAAAGTAGAAGCTGCAAAGTTTTTCTTTCATCGTTCCCTCTCCTTTTATTTTATTTTATGTTTTTTAAGGTTTGGGTGGGCGGTCTGGACAAAACTGATTTTTTTTTTTTGGGTCAAAATGCACAAAACTGATTTGCTCTTTCATTTATCAAATGAAAATTATTATATGTGTTTTTTGGCATGTTCATAATGTTAGTATTTATAACAAATTTGATAAAATAGCAAATACTTCCTCCATTTAAAAATGGTGGGATTTTGTCGTTGAAGTGAGCAGAAAAGCTTCTTAAACATTCTAAAAGAATTTGTGCTATTCTTTAAAGTCTTAAAGCTGAATAATGAATTTTTATGTATTTAAAAGCTTTTAAAATTATTAAATTTTAAATCAGAATTTGTTACCATATTTTAACAAGTCTTGACAATGATTTATAAATATTAACATATTTTTGCAAGAACACCAATTTAAGCTTTTATAATTTTTATGGTCTTTTTTGTTATTTTCTCAACTTTTTTTTATTTTGTCAACAAATTTGATAAATAAAAAAATTTATTTGTATATGAACAAACTAATACTATCTTCAATCCTAATTATAGAATCTTATTCTATAAATAAGATCTTATAATTAAAACAGAGGAAGTATTAACTTATTTGTTTTTGTTATTTTATGGCATTCCTTCGTGGCGAAGATACCCATGAGGTGCCAAGGATACCTATTGCTGTTAGGAATGACTAGACAACAATTCAACATCGGGGGTTCGATCGTATCGAAAGTGGGAACTATTTTCTTTTGATCTTGACATATCAGTGGACCGCGCATCAGGCTAAGAAAGGAAGAATTATAATTAAGTTTCAATAATAAAAAAATAATTATCAATAAGCTCAGAAACTGAGTGACTTGTCATTTTACAGTGTTTAAGTTGTTATTAAAACTTTTAAATAATTATATTTCTATTTTAGGACTTAATTGCAATTTTTTTCTAAAAACTTTAAATTTATTATTCATTTTTAAATTAGTATAATTAAATATAAGTCATATGAATTGGTGAGTTAAATTATAATTAAATGTCATTTTCTGTTCCTTTTTCTTTGTGCTGAGTATAAGTAATAATAGAAAAATGGTTATGGTTGCTAAATAAGCACTAACTTTTTCCCTCTCTTCTAAATTTCAACCTAACAATGAGCTTTATTTGCGTTTTCTGGCTGTCTAGAACTCTACTTAATTTTAAGTGATATTTATTTTAGCTTTCTTTATTAGTTAATTTCATTAGTGGTCCAGTATATTCTCCGGACGTCCGTTCTCCGCGTTTCTATTTCTTTTAATTTGAGATTCTTTAAAAATTAAAAAAAAATGCACAACAGTACCAAGAAAAGAGTTGGGGAGGATGACAGAAAAATGTCTATTAAATTTTAAAATGATAAATAGGTGTTTTTAACAGATTTTGATTTATTAAAATAAATCGTTACAAGAGTAGTCAATATTACTTATTTGTCTTTTTAAAATTCAATAGGTATTTTTCTATCATTATGTCAAAGAGTTGTTTTTTCATGACAAGTAATTTATAAATAATAGGGAAAATTAATGTTTTGGTCGTTATAGTTTTGACATGTTTGTAATTCAATCGTTATATTTTGACTTGATACAATTCAACCCTTCTAACTTTGACACGGTTGTAACTTAGTGCCTGAAATTTGACTCATTTTCACTCAATCTTTATGCTTTTAACTCTTTTATAATTTAGTTTTTTTATTAAATATATAATTTTATTTTTCAAAAACACAATAACTAAATTATCTATATAATAAAAAAGATTAAATTATACTCCTCTTGTTCTAAATATAAGATATTTTTTGACAGTATAATTTATACTATAAAAGGAATTTTATATTTGAGACCTGGAGAGTAAAATAGTCAAAAATATAGGAAACAATTTGTAGTGAGTCAAATTTCAAAAACTAAATTATAACCAAATCAAAACTATAGAAATTAAGTTTTACCAAATAAAAATATAAAATATAACAACCGAGTTATAAACGAGTAAGAATTACGGGGACTAAAAGATCATATTGATTTTCTGGATACTGACGGTTGAAAGACTGTAAAACTGATACGACGACGCGTAGGATACTAGCATATCACGTGATGCGTACAAACTGAAAAGTTGATTGACGCGGAAGAGGAATCTGCAGTTATTCTTGAATTTCAAAACTCTTCAACACTTGAGCGAGAGTAAAATGCCTTTTGTAATGTTTGAACGCCAAAGAGAAGCAGGGAGAAACTGTTCAAAGAGAGCTCAAAGTAGCTTTGCCTCCGATGCTCTCCGCACTTCCAAAATTCCATTTACACTTTCGGCTGATGTAATCTTCCTTTTGCAAAGTTTGAACACCAACTAAGTGGAAGCTATTCGAAGACCGTTGAAAATAGCTTTCCCCATAGCGCTCTCTCCTAAAGGTGGCATGCTATCTCAACCTGCAACTCTGAAAATGAAAGCCCACGAAAAACGGAATTCCATATGATGGATAAAAAAACTACCTTAATTGTTCACTTCTCTAAGGTGGGACTATCTGAATGTATTGCTACTGTAATCCGTATCTTTGAGAACACTTTCTATACCAGAATTATATACTTCTTGTACAGATGAGTGTTAGAGTCATTGTTACAGATTTGTTATGTTTCTTGTAAGTTCATATAGTACAAGAAACTAATAATCATTCGTTATAATGGATGTGTCAATAGATTTTATCACATGCAGTACTCATTTCCCTGCTTTCAACTGCCCGTTGCACCATCTGGTTGGATAAGAAGTATGCCTAAATTTGATAATTTTTGTCTATCACTAGAACATTAGATGTACTTCAGAAAGTTTTGGCTGTAACTCTCACTTTGATGCCTCTTACTGTCTGTTCTATTGAATCATATTGAATAATGACCCTCAACCATTTATGGATGGAGAGGCTTTACTTGGAAAATCATATAGCCACTTTAATTTCTGGCAACTATAATTTCTGATGCTGTCTTCAAATTATGGGACTAATAATCCCTTGTTCAGATATGAAACAATTTATTTTTCTGGAACTGCAAGGTTACGTTTTGTACATGGCCTTTCATTACAGTGATAGAAGCTTTCAATTTGTTTTGTGGGATCAGGTCTTTCTTCTCTGCTTGTTGGCTGGCTGTAGCATCTGTTGGTTCAACACAGTATGCTTTGTTCTGTGCATCAGGAATTTCCCAGTCAATAGAACCCTTGCATTGTCACTAACAGTGAGCTTCAATGGCGTAAGTGCAGCACTATACACCCTTGCTGCCAATTCAGTAAACCCGTCTTCAGATTCAGTATATCTCCTTCTGAATGCTCTCGTTCCCCTTCTCACTTCCATAGCAGCACTTGTCCCAATCCTTCGCCAGCCTGCTTTAAACCCTCTTCCTCCTGATGCAGTTCATAAGGATTCGTTGATATTCCTAATACTAAATGTCTTGGCCATATTCACTGGCCTTTACCTCCTTATCTTCGGTTCATCTACCTCTGATGAAGCAAAAGCTCGCTACTTCTTTGGTTTTGCAATTTTCCTCCTTGTCTTTCCATTATGCATTCCTGGTATTATATATGCTCGAGAGTGGTTTCATCGTACCGTTCATTCTAGCCTTCGGATGGAAGGCTCACACTTCATTCTAGTGCATGTAGACGATCTTGAGCTTCACAAGGAACTCCTTTCCCGCCAGAATAGTGCTATTAACAATGGAGATTCTCTCAGCTTGCTGAGTGACAACAATAATGGGTCTATGTATTCACATCGGAAGGCAAAAAATAGTGATCCCTGTTGTCAGCATTTGATTGAGAAAGATCAGTTGGTAATGCTAGGAGAAGAGCACCCAGCTTCAATGTTGGTTCGTAGGTTGGATTTTTGGCTCTACTATGTTGCTTACTTCTGTGGAGGCACAATCGGCCTGGTCTACAGCAATAATCTAGGACAAATTGCCCAATCCCTAGGCCTGAGTTCAAGTATTTCTTCCCTTGTCACGCTCTATTCTGCCTTCTCCTTCTTTGGCCGCTTGCTTTCAGCTGGACCAGACTACATTCGCAAGTATGTATTCATGTTCTCAACGCTCTCTAATTTCAGTGTGAGTGTGTATTAATTTCTGGGGGAGATGCAGATTCATCTTTCGTCCTTTATTGGCAAACACCTCTTCACGCCCATTTTATTGTCATGTGGCACGCCGCGTAGTTTAAAAGTAAAGATGCAGATTCATCTTTCGTCCTTTATTGGCAAACACCTCTTCACGCCCATTTTATTGTCATGTGGCACGCCGCGTAGTTTAAAAGTAAATAAGAGTCGTTAAGGTATTACGATTTCTTTTGCACAGGAATGAAATGCTCCGACCCTGAATTCCAAAATTCTCAAATGCTAAAGGATGAAAGTTCAGGGGGCATAATTTTCGGCTTTTTATATTGAACAGAGTGATGGCAAATGACCATAAATAGAAGCGATGTGTGCTTTTGGCTAACTACTGTAAAGGGTGATCATGATCTGCTGTATATTGCAGGAAATTCTACTTTGCAAGGACAGGATGGTTAGCCGTTGCTCTTATACCAACCCCAGTTGCTTTCTTCTTGCTAGCTTCGTCAGGAAGTTCTCTGGCGCTTCATGTAGGCACTGCTCTAATTGGGTGGAGCTCTGGGTTTATATTTGCTGCTGCTGTATCTATCACATCCGAGCTTTTTGGGCCTAACAGTGTCGGAGTTAATCACAACATTCTCATTACAAATATCCCGATCGGGTCCCTTCTCTATGGCTTGCTAGCCGCAGAATTTTATGATGCCAATGCCCAGACTTCAACGGTTGGATTAGGAAACTTAGCAGTGTCTGATTCAGCAGTGTGCATGGGAAGGCAGTGCTACTTTTGGACATTTATTACTTGGGCATGCTTATCAGTCCTAGGTGTAGCTTCTAGTATCCTGTTATTCCTAAGGACTAAACCTGCTTATGAAAATTTTGAGAGGCACCGGGTCTCAACCCAAACGGTAATATCCTGATCTCTGGCGGGCCCTGTAGAAAAATGAAAGATCATGGAGGTGACTTGTATACCCATGATTTTTGAAGCATAGACTCAAGCAAGCAGGGATGAGCCTTGATCAATGATCAATATGCAATTTAGCATTATATTGTAGACAAGGAATCTAGTTAGGGTATTCCAAAAAGGATGATGGTTGAGTTAAACCTCCTCACCGCGTCTTCAAAAAGTGGGAAAAAGATACATTAGAAAGCGTAACTGAGATAGGAATTGAAGTTTTGAACGTGTGAAGCTTGAGGAAAGCATCAACGAAGTAGGTTTAAATCTGGAGGTTCAATCAATCTCCACCTATGATTCATGGGGTTGGATCTTGATCAAAAGGTGTAAACTTTGCATTGTTAATTTCCGACGAGTAATATTATTTAGTTTATATTCGGCGATAAAATCAAAAGGTTCATAAAAGACGGGTATTGTCTTCTTTGAGCGGGGTTTAATGCTTTAGCCGGGTTTGCAGAAAGTTCAATCCAATTTGTAAGGTGCTTCGAGATATGCTTTGAGTAACTCTCAAAAACAAAGCCTGTAAGTTCCAAACTTCCTATGTCTAACTGTTGCTGACTTTGCTTGTTGAATGGGGTCGAGTAAAAAATATATACTCCCATATCTCATCTAATGATAGTTTTAAGTAAAATTTTATGTAAATTAGGAACAATTGTAAGCATATATTCACTGCCTTCCCGGATCCCACTCACTGTGTTAGAAACCATGCATGTAAAGTGCACAACACGCTCTCTTTTTACGGTGGGGATTGGAGAACACGTAGCACTCTCTAGCCTCACTGGCCATAGGATCAGTCAAAGGTACACGGCATCATTCCAAGCGGTGTCAATTATGCTCCACGTCATTCTCCAACTCTGGCTGCCACATCGTTTCTCCTTTTCCTTTTTCATATGTACTACTGAAGTAATACTTTTCTGGTCCCAGACATAATATTTCTTGTGTAGTGTAAACTACATTATAAAAAGAATTTTATATTTAGGATTGGAGGAGTAGTTTTTTTTATTCGTTTTTGAAATAATAGTTTGAACACTTTGTTTTTTTAACTTTGATTACCCTCCACTTTTTTCTGGGAAAAGACGGAGGGTGATGAGAGTTTGTCCCGTTTCACTTGTTTTATTTGTTGTTTTTGTAATGAGTATAGTTTTAATTTTAAAAAAGTGTTAAATAACAAACATTTAATTTTACTAGAATTAGTTTACATATTAAACTGATAAAATGGATTCGGAAATTCTTAAATCACAGGGATTTATTAAAAATTTATATAAAATATATTAATTAATATATTAGTGTGTTTTTCAAAATATAAAATATAATGTCATGTGATCGCAGATATGCATGTTGGGCACTGCGCATAGGCCAACCCAAAGCCGATGAGGATTAGGTTTTTTTTTTTTTAAACCTCTTGGGCATTCGAGGCACTGCTTGGATAGATAGTTACTTAACTTTGATCTCTTGTTCACAAGGGGCCCAAAAAAGGCCTTAAATATGAGCTTTGTGTGCATTTTTGAGTTTTTGACTTGCGAGCCTAGAATGGATAGCTCCCAATTTTATTACTGAATCATCGTTTGAAAGAGCGTGTGTGTTTTGCCAGAATCGCCGTTTATGCTTTGAATTAGAGGATTAAGAGACAAATTCAACGTAGCTTCCCTATAAATAAATATACAGGTCAGTTGGCGGCAAAAAAATAATAAAGATACAAGTCAATGAAAAAATACCCATCCTTTCACACTGCAATCCAATAACACGAATAAAATGTAACCATTTACAAGTTGAAACTCGTGAAGAAAATTCAGAAGCTTCACATTCTAATTTTGAAAACAAAACGCGCACAATGGATTGAACTGAGAGGTATGAGAAGCAGGATATTACTTGGATGCTGCTTTTTCATTCTCATGATCATTATCATCAGTAAGAACAGTTTTGACAAGAGAATCATCAATCCTTGCGGATTCTTGCTTCACCCATGAAATTATCTTCTCTGCTTCTTTGCTCGCCCTATCTTCGTCCTTCTTCGCCTTCTTCAGCCTCTTTTCTTGCTCTTCAACACTGAAAGTACTCATATCAGACAGCATCTCTTCCTTCTTCCCCCAGTCTCTCTGCTGATTTGAGGAACTCTGAATTCCGCTCATGCTTTTGCTCCTTTGGTCACTGCTCTTCTTCACGCTGAAGCAAAAGCAACATCCTCCTTTGAACTCTGTCTCCATCACTTTATCGGTTTACTGCTGCAATTTTGGGTTCGGGATGATCCTGTTAATCAGTTTGGTCTTATCTTCAGGCAAAGTTATGAAGAATTTGTTTGACTTATGGTTGCTGAGGTGGTGGGTGGGACCCCTTTACAGCCAACGAATTTGCTGGTTTTTTGAGTTGTTGGGAGAATTGCGTCAAGGCTTATGTGGAGATGCCATGGCTATTTGTTGGAGCGGCGGCTTTGAATTTTGAAGTTTCACCCATTGCTCTCGGAGACTTTAGCTGATCATCACAGCAATATGTCGGCAAAAAAAAAATAATAATAATAAATAAATAAAGTGATTTCTTTTTTAATAATAATTAATAAATAAAGCGATTTCTTTTTTTTCCCCAGAATAAATAAAGCGATTTCGCTAATAATGATGATTTTTATCATTAATAAAAATCAATTACACTCTCGTGCGTGCTAACGGCTTGTAATAATGCCTATTTTTACTAGAATTTCAATATTATTGCGAATATCATTCTCCACAAGACTCATATAACTTTTTTAAAAAAATTAATATATTCTGTTAGATAAATGGCAGGGCTGATTGCCTAATTAGCTATTTTTAAATGTCTAAATGAAAATCGTCACATTATAAGTTGGGGTTTGGCCAGTAAATAGCCAAGCCAAGCAAAGCATTTAAGATTTTCTTTCTTTCTTTTGGGGGAAAAAAAGCATTCCAGAATCTTGAAAAACCAGCTGGAACTGGAAGGTTTCCTGTCACCATCGTGGATGGATCCCACAAGTCGAAAAAGGTGCTCAAAGCATGAGCTAGCCGTTAAGCGTTTCGTCCCACGCATTCCAACACGCCCCTATTCCCATTAGCTTTAAAAAGACTGATACTCCCACAGTTCGCGACTCACAGTCTCACACTCACACGCCGACTCATTCCTTTCCTCTCGCAGTTCGCAGAAATGGTTGGATTTCCAGACGTCTACGATACGGACGACGAGTCGGCCATCGATGAAATCATCTCTCAAGCCCAAGACGCCTGCGTTTTGGAGCAAGTTTCCGCCATCAACTGCGCTTCCCTCACCGATTCCGTCCTCCCCACCGACCTTGAATCCCGGTTCCGCAAACTCAAATCGTTTCCGGTGACTAAATCAAAGCAGCTTTCGAAGACCTCTTCGGCGAAGGGAAAAGAAGGATCAAGTTCTTTATCTAATGAGCAAACTCCTCAGTTTTCACCCTCCAAGGAGGGTAAGATGGGTTTGGACAGCAAGCCACGGTCTGGGTGCATGTCGGATCATTCGGATATTTCGAAGGACGAGAAAGTGGAATTCTCCCCGTTTAAAGGGAATTCCAGCAGGAAAGAGGAGGTGTTAGCGAAATCTAAACACGGTTCTGTTTCTTCTCCTTCTAATTCTTCAAATTCTTCGGAGGAAAGTTCAATGTCTTCGCTGTTCAAACAAAAACTGGGTTCGAAACAAAAATCAAAAGGTGGGTCGCAGTCTGCTCCTCGGAGCTTTTCAAATTCGCTGATGGATCGTTCACCATCTCCTCCTCGAAAGGCTGGTTGTTTCTGGTGCTCTCCGAAGAAGGATTCTAAGAAGAAAAGCAAGGAAAATTGGGATTCGATGAATATTTTAGGATGGGACAAAGACAGTGATTTTTTGTCAGATATAGGCAGTTTCTCCAGTAAGAACCAGCAGAAAATGCTGAAGAAGGCTATTAAGGAAGAACAGAAGATAAACCGCGAGGCTGAGAAAATCGTCCGGTGGGCTAAGCAGGCATCTGCAAGGATGAGCGCTCCGGCCATCGAGGATGATCTAAGTGATGATTAGGGTACAGGTAAGTATACCTTGGGTCCTTCGTGTTCTTTCTTCCGATCAGTTTACTCTTCATGAAAAATAGAGTTGTTATACTGGCTAGTTATTCTACATTTGCATGCATATATTACCTATCAAATTTATACAATGGGGGCTGATGCTTGTCTTGTTGAGATTCTTCAGGCGTTTTGGGGATAGTATTTTGAAATGGTGATCATAATGTTTTCATTATACTTAAACAGGGGAGGGTGTATCATCGCAATGTTTTACTGTATATTGCAGATTCCCATAAGTATAAGCAGTTTTATATCCTAAACTGTAACTTTGATAATCTTTCCATTTTGTTTTGCTCGATTTGGTGGGTATTTTGGTGTTTCATCTAATGTAAATTGGGTTGAGCTAATCAACCTTCGCATAAGTTTTGCGGTGGAAATTGAAAATGCTGTCTAGAGAGTTCCATTGAACGTTGGCCCGTGGCATTATTATTTGGTGAAATTCTTGCATTCACTGTGTTCTGACCAATCAAGATAAGATAGCTCATGTACTTTTAATCCTTCAATTTATTTACATAATTGTAAGGGAAAATCGGAAAAAAAAAACCACCGAAATAGAAAAATTATATACAACAACAAATAGGTGAGATTGTTGTCAAAACTTATTGTTATGAGTTTTTATTTGTAATTTTTTTTATTTTGGTGGTTTTTATTAGGATTTGCCCTAATTATTATAAATTATTTCAATTAGTGATCTTTTGTCAAAAAGTGCATTTCCTCTTCTTTCTCTGTCTCTCCTCGCTTACCCCCCCCCCTTTTTTTCTCGAATGCACCTCTGTCAGGCTATACCAGGCCCAATCAAGCTAGGATATAGGCTCCTGAACCTATTTTTATCTCTAGGTAGACTGGTCTTCAACCCCAGAGATCAAATCTGATTTACTGAGCTGTTGGCAATTGCTTAAAGCATTTTTTAAAATTATTTTTCTGTAAATAGAAGTAAATTTTTCTGTATATTTACTTTATATATTATAAAATTATTTTTAAAACTATAATTTTATTTTCATTCAAACACTTTTTTGGTTTACCATGGAGTTTATCCTAGACCAGAGCAAGGGCAACACGGTGTAGCCTGGAATGATTTCAAATCATACCTGAGCTCAGGCTGAACTGGTCTTTGTGGAGCCCTATTCAAAATGACTTAGGATATGAGTTTCAGTGAAAAATGGATTTGGAGGATGGGATCATGGGGACGATTTGTAGCAAGGTTTGTTAGAGCACGCAAGAGAGTCTAACCTTTTTACTCCAAAACAGTGTTTAAAGCCAAACAATCCCGTAAAAAAAAAAAAAGGCGAAAAAAGTTGCACTCTGAAAGATGACGGCAAGGTTAGATCTTATAATCCAAAACTCCATTTGATGTCTCCTTCCTTGTTCAGATTTGTTAAATCTCTATTTTAACTCGTCAGGAGATGAGTTATTCAAGGGGTGAAAAAAGGACAGAGATATAAAGGAAAGAATAAAAAATTAATAAAAAGATTTTAAAGGATGATAAAAGATATTTGGTTATTAATTAGACAATATGCCAATATTTTGATTTATTGTTAGTTTGTTATTTGCATTTAATTTTAGAATTTTAAGATGTTCTCTCTTTAATTCTTTAGATTTGAGTTGAAGCTATAGCCCTCTATATTTTATTTTGTAAACGTCTTTTGAGTATTGAGCTTCTTCCTAAGCTTTCTCTTTTTCCTGTCTGTTTATATAGTCCCCCCCCCCCCCCCCGGTCTTCCTTTTCTTTAGTCTGTCTCTATTTCTCTTTTCCCTTTCTATTCTCCCTCCTCTCTCTTTCACCTTCTTGGTCTTGGTCTTACATTAGGAAGTCTCTTAACCAGTCACAAAGTGTAGTCATCACACAGAAATGGAAAGCACTCCAGGTAAGGGAGATCGGTCAGTCAAAGAAACGGGAAATTATCAACAAGATTCCATGCGTGCTGCATAATGTTTGAAGAATTGGCATGGCCAACCAAAGATTCCAGGTTTCCTCTTATTTTTTATGGTGAAAAAATGACATTAGCAACCAAAGAGCACAGTGGATTTAAACAAAAGAAAAAAAGAGCACGCACTGGATTTGAATTGATATGTAATATACTCTTTTGCTCCTTAATATAAGAAATAATTAAAGAGTTCTATAATTTATGTTTATTAAAATTGACGTTTTACATATCCTCCAATTGTCAATAAAATGAAATATTTAGTCCTTAATTTTTTTTCCAGTTATTGATTTAGTATGTATTTTCAAATTTGATTAATAACAGTTTTTACATACTTATGGACTCAAATTTAAAATCTAAGTTCAAAACTTTACGTTTAAATAATTATAACTCTCTTCGTTAGCACTAGCATCTATTGACTATTAACTTATGCCTTTTGCCCCAAAAAACAACTAAGGGGGTGTTTTTTTTTTAATCGAAATAAATTTTTTCATATATTTATTTTGTGTATCATAAAAGTATTTTTAAAACTATGATTTTAATTCCATCCAAACACTTACTAAAGTTTAGGGCATTAATTTCCATACTACTATCATTTAAACTTGGTTGGTAGTGTTTTTTCTTCTTTTTTTTTTTTACTTAAAATTTGCGCACTAGTACTTTAGTTAAATCCAAATAACTAAATAATTACGGATCGTCTTATGTATCTTTTCTTTTTCTTTTTGTTTTACCAACCCTTACCCATCCTTTCGCAGCAACTGAAACATGAAATCTCATCCAATGTATCATCTGGATTGATTTATTAGATATTAATAGTACTTTAATGCTCCAAAGTACATGACAAAAATTAATTGAATATGGTGATCGATCATTAAAAGAAAATGACCCATCAACCTCAATGTCATTAACAACAATTAATTTCATTTGTTTTTTTTTTAATTCTTTGACTCAGCATTTGTTATTTATCTTCAGTTATAGAAGAACACGAAATTCGTTTGGGACGATTGAGAGCATGAAATTCTTATTAAGATGGCACATGGATCAATTAGTAACTGTGAACTGGCACTTCTTTTTCTTATTGCCGTTTTTAATTTCCAGCGGTAAATTGGCACTATATATCTTCTAAATTTCAAATACTTGAAATATTACGGTTATATTATGCGAGCAACTTTTCAGATCCTGGTCGATCACTATTCATTCCACCAAATATTCCCTTTTAAAGACTTAACAATTGGTTCTCAGAAGCGAAGCAATCTATGCAATTATGGTATTAATTAAAATAGTAACGTAAAGATCGTGAATCTGCACTTCATAAAAATCGCAAAAGAAGCAAAGACTATGAGTCACCAAATTACCATCAACATCCGTAACGTTTCTTTTGAAACGAAAGATTAAGCAATTTCACGCTTGAGCTTCCAAATTTTTTAACTCACATTCACACCTTAATAAAAGCCAACAAAAACTTCATTTCCATAAGTTCACAGACACATCAACACTTTTTTTTTATTGTCTACCTCCTTCAACAATGGCCTTCACCACCAAAATCTCTTTCACCATCATCATCCTTCACCTCCTTATTCTCTATCCTTTGAATTCTACTGGTTTCACAATTAATCTCATACCTCGTGACTCTCCTTCATCTCCGTTCTATAATCCCTCAAAGACTCATTTCAATCGCTTGCACGATGCTTTTGAACGCTCGTTTAAGCGTATCCACCATTTCAAGTCCATACTTTCACCACCAGAAAGCAAAATCGAGACACAGATTTTGCCAGGTGGTGGAGAATTTGTCATGAACATATCCATTGGAACGCCACCTTTTGAGGTTCTTGGAATAGCAGACACGGGCAGTGACCTGACATGGACACAGTGTTTGCCATGCACCCAATGTTTCAAACAAGACATTCCTCTCTTTGATCCTCACAAGTCCTCCACTTTCAAAAGACTAACATGCCGATCCAGATCTTGTCAAGCCCTAGATAGGCCCCCTCAATGTGTTGGAGAACACAACACCTGTGTGTATAGTTATTCTTATGGAGATGGGTCCCACACTACCGGGGATCTATCCTCTGAAACATTCACGCTTGGCATCGACAAAAACAAAGTTTCACTTAAAAACATGGTCTTCGGGTGTGGACATGTTAATGCTGGCACATTTGATGCGTCTCAGTCTGGTCTTATAGGTCTAGGAGGTGGAACACTCTCGTTTGTTTCTCAGTTAGATGAGTCTGTGGGCAAGAAATTCTCGTACTGCTTAGTTCCTTCGACTTCGACGACCTCAACCACCGGAAACACTGTCTCCGGCAAAATAAGCTTCGGGGACGACGCTGTGGTTTCTGGTTCAGGTACAGCAACGACCCCAATGGTAACAAGAGATCCAAGCACTTTCTACTACCTGACATTGGAAGCCATTAGTGTAGGAAACGAGAGAATTCCATATAAGGGTTCGACAGCTCTGGTTCCTGAAAATACCATTATTATCGATTCAGGGACAACCTTAACCTTTCTTCCTACTGAGTTTTATGATGATATAGAGAAGGCTGTGGTGAGAGCTGTGAACGAGACAGTGACGAATGATCCAAACAATGTTTTCGGGCTTTGTTATAATGCACCTGCTGGGGAGAATCATCTTAGGTTTCCTGTTCTAACGGCGCATTTTAGTGGAGGCGATGTGAAGTTGCAGCCATTGAATACGTTTGTTCAGGTGGATGAAGATCTGATATGCTTTACGATAGTTGGAACCCCAGATGTTGCTATATATGGAAACTTGGCTCAGATTAATTTCTTGGTAGGCTATGACCTTGAGGCCCGGACGGTGTCGTTTTCTCCAACGGATTGCACACAACAGTAATTGCTTAGCTATAGTTTGTGTGGATGTTAGTTTGCTAAATAAAAGGTTTGGTCGTTTGTGTTTAATTTCTATCTTTTTGTTTCTTCTTGTTTTTTTTCCCCCTTTTGTGACAATTAATGCGTTCTCTGTGTTTATCTTTGTTTTCGACTTTGCCGTGCCTTTCCTTTTTCTGTCAGAATAAAATCGTTTTGTATTCTCTTACATCACAAAATTAAGCTATTCGATCATATTAAATGATTGTCACCAAGTGAACTTAATTTATCTTTAATTTACATTATGTAGTTTTCCTACTTTAAAATTAGGGGCTAAGTACATTAATTATCTCAACCTCCATTCTAATAACTTTCTTTCTATCCCAACACAAACGCACTACTCTGCCTTTAAAAATTATCCTCAATTACATGAGTCTAACCTATTTGTATACGTGTGTAATTCTATGTCCGTTGGCAAACCAAAAAAAAAATCGTGTATATATAAATATACACACACACACACAGTACTGGAAACGCCTTTGAAGGTATATGTGAATTCGATTCAGGAATTAGTTGAGTTATAAATTGTACGTTTTCCATCCGTGTTATACATCATAAGCAAGATTTGTTGATCACACGTTTTTTCCAAAGCAATGATTACGCACGGACCATCCTTTGGTGTGTGCTACGTGCTGTAGATTTGATTCTAATTAATGACTTATTTATAAAATTTATAAAAACTTCTTTATCCAATGTGATAAATCACATTGATGAATTTAATTTCAATTATTTGGATTTGAAATGTATTTGAATGAAATTGCTGGCATTTTTTATATTTATATTATTTAATTAAACACTTTTAATAACTATTCATTGATAAAAATAAATTATTACGAGTTTACAATTCAAGTTTGCCACATGAATTTATATCTCTATTATTAGTTTGTTTGGACTCGTAAGTTTGACAACATTTGTCATCAAAACATCCATTGATATTATAAATATATATAAATTAAATATCCATTATTTTTATCTTTTAAAAGATATATATTCGAACAAAATATAACATTTACCATGCATGCTTTTATTCAATACAAAAAAAAAATCAGAAAAAGATGTACGTCAACATCTAGTCAATGATTTATTGGATGCTTATACATGGTACTTACCATATTCAAACATGGTTATCAAAGTATAAATATTGATACAAAAGAAACATATCTGGACAAAATTATTGAATATGTAAGATCTCATGTAATCAGTAATCACCAAGGAAGAGATAAAGTCAAATTACTTTATAGAGAGATCCTAAATTCATTTATTAATATGGATTCATTGATTCGCACACGCCTGTAACTTTCATATACAATGAATCAAATTTAATAAAATTACAGAACAATCCGATTTTCTATATATTCTGCAACTGCGACACTCTTTCTTCACCTCCCTTCAACAATATGGCTTTCACAATCGTCCTTCATCTCCTTCTTGTTCTCTTTCCTTTGAAATATACTGCTAACGATAATGTTGGAATCACAGTTGATCTCATACCTCGTAATTCTCCTTTATCTCCTTTCTACAATGCCTCGGTGACACATTTCGATCGCTTGCACGATGCCTTCGAACGCTCATTAAAGCGTGTCAATAATTTCAAGCGAGTACTGGAAAATCGTGCAAGATCGAGCAAATTCCAAACCCAGATTATACCAAGTGAAGGTGAGGGAGAATTCCTAATGAACATATCAATAGGAACTCCACCGTTCCAGGTTCTCGGGATCGTTGACACTGGTAGTGATCTTACTTGGACACAGTGCTTGCCATGCAGAGAATGTTTCAAACAGAAACTACCTTTCTTTAATCCTAAACATTCCTCATCGTACCAGACAGTTTCGTGCGAATCTAGTGCCTGTAACCACTTGTACCTATCAACATGTAGTGGCGACCGGAAAACCTGCGAGTTTGGCTACTCATACGGAGATGGCTCTGAAACTTCTGGAGTTCTTTCCTCTGATACGTTCACGATGGGCATCAAAAACCCAGTTTCTCTTCGGAATATCTCCTTTGGGTGTGCACATGACACTACTGGGAAATTTGATGAGTCCATGTCTGGTCTTGTGGGGCTAGGAGGTGGGAAAATCTCGTTTATTTCTCAGATCGGGGAGTCTGTGGGCAGAAGATTCTCGTACTGTAATCCACGAGTTGAAGCATCCTCAACCTCCTCGAAAGTTGTCTCCGGCATTATGAGCTTTGGGAAAGATGCTGTCGTGTCTGGTTCTGGTGTAGTAACGACTCCTATTATATCAAAAGAACTCGACACTTTCTACTACCTTACACTGAAAGGTATCAGTGTAGGAAACAAGAGAGTCTCATATAAAGGTTCAAAAGTTACAGAAAATGAGAATGAAGGTAATATTATTATCGATTCAGGAACAACGTTGACTTTTCTGCCGGCTGGGTTTTTTGATGATTTGGTAAAGGCTTTGGAAGAAGCAATCGATGGTGAGAAGGTGGATGACCCAGGCAATGTTTTGAGACTTTGTTATAAATCTACAGTCGACAACCTTAATATCCCAATTCTGACAGCTCATTTTGAAGGTGGCGATGTTGAGTTACAGCCCTTTAATACGTTTGTTCAGGTGGCTGATGGTGTGGTTTGCTTGTCCATGCTAGAGGGAGATACTCCAGTATATGGGAACTTGGCTCAGAGAAACTTTTTGATTGGATATGACCTTGAGGCTAGTAAGGTTTCCCTTGTATCAAGAGATTGCTCTAAACATTAATTACATCATATATACGTTGTTGGGATTTATGTTAACATTAATTACATCATATATATGTTGTTGGGATTTATGTTAATATGAGTAAGTTGGTAAGAGATACCGGCTTCCTCCATTAATCTTGAAATGAATTACAGAGACCAAAATTATCAAACTCACGAATTTAAACAAACTTGTGATAATGATATAAACTCAGATCGTAAACTCGTGAGAGTTTATTTTTATTAATAAACTAACATTAAAAGTATATAATTAAATAATTAATATATATAAAAAATAAGAACAATTTCATTTAAATATATTTTAAATTTAAATAATTAAAATTATATCCATCGATGTTCATAATTTATCACATTCAACAAAAAAATTTCTATAAAATTCATATATAAAGTTATTAAATATAATCAAATCCAAAAATTTAGCATGAGTTTAAGAGTGAGTTGACATGATTTTGTAAAATAAAAATGTAAAAATAATAAACTCGGTAAATAAACTCGTAAGTTTAACCGAGTTTACAGTTATTATGAGTTTAAGAGTGAGTCAACACGATTTTATTAGCTGAAAATGTAAAAACGTTAAACTCGAAGAGTTAACTCACGAGTTTGACAACAATGATGGAGACCAAGGAATACGATTAAAATTATTCAAAATTTTTAAATACTCCCTCAGATCTTCTGTGTAAGAAAAAGTTTTTGGATAGTCATCATCCTATTTATAAAATATACTTAAAAAGTATCCGAAGTTTTAAACAATTTATTTTCAAAATTTTATCCTCATTTACTCTCTTGATACACACTCTCTCTCACTTCTTCCTAGTACTCATCTTCTCTCCTGCTCATTCACACTTTTCCCGGAGATAAGTGCATTTTTTAAATATATTTATTGCATTTGATCAATTTTAATCAGCTTTTTAATTTATGTAATTCAATTATATGTATCTAATCTTATATATAGAATCCGAGATAATATTACAAATTTAAAATTCTTTTCAGCAATGTCCATATTAAATGTTTGACACGGTCGCTAATTAATGACATTAACTTAACTATTTCATATATTTATTAGTAGGAATATAATGAAAATAATACAATAAATGCGCAAGACTTATTGACTTTATTTGTCATTGTGCGGACTGAATCATTAATTGTGTTTTATCGCTGAAGTTGGTCATTACAATTGGTTGGAAGAGCCAGCTCACGGGCTTTCTGATTTGTTATATTGGAACTGTTTGGGCTCCTCATGGGCTTTAGTGTAGTTTCTTTGTTCCCTGGATTTGGGCTTAGACCCAGTTTTATAAAATGAAATATTACCAACAACACTTAATAGAAGAGTTAGATAATTAATTTAACGATACTCCTCCGGTCCTTAATATAAGGCTCATTTAACTAATTTGATTAGATTAAGGAAGTTAGGTAAATTAGTTAATTATAAGAAAAGTGACACATTTTTCCTAAAACATCATAATCATCTTTTTTAATACCCCTCTCTCTCTTCTACTTGGTTATAGCTGAGAGAATATCCATAGGGGTAATTTAGAGAAAATTGATAAATATGAGAAATGAGTCTTATATTTAGGACCAAAATCAAATCAAGAATTAGGTCCTATATTAAGGACCGGAGGAGTATTAGTTATGTTAGTTATTTATTACAAATATATGTTGATCTCCCTAGTATCCTCTTCAATTGGATTATTATAATATCCCTTGGTGGGTAATAGGGATATTTTGAGAAAATATGAGAAACAAAATGGATCAAGATATTATATTTAGGACCAAATCTAATTTACAACTTACTCTTATATTAAAGATTAAAGATAATATTTTTATAACACGAAACCTTACAATTCATAGCTTTGTGTGTGCGTGTGTCTGGTTACAGGTCTAATATTTTTTGAATCTCCAACATAAGAAAAAATTCAATGCAAACAGTGTATATATGGCCAAAATGAAGAGGGATATCTACGTCATTACTCATTGCCGACTCGGGAAATTGGTTCGAGTTTAACGCCTTGGTATTTTACAAAGAAATAGGAAATTTAAATTCAATGTACTCTTCATAAATTGGAAATACATTGCCCCCAGTGTGCACTATTATTTGTTTACTGGGTGCATATATATGTGTAATATACTAATATTCTACTTATGACATTCACGCGGACCTTTATATAGTTTTATCAGAATATGGAGTCAAATATAAATAACAAAGCAACTGAATAAAAGAAATGTACATGAATGAATGATTATTGAATGAGATATTATCCCATATTCATCATATTTAATAACACGGTAAAAAATGCACAACTTAATATTATTGGTAAAAAAATAATTTTATTAATTCCTCACATTAGCTCGTGGGGCCATCGAGATTTTTTTGGCATAAATTTCCTCTCTTTTTTCATAGCATCATTTTTTTTAACATATCTATACAGAGTTTGTTATACAAAAAAAAGGATTAATTATTTGCTGTGGTCGTATGATGAGATGGTTAGATTTATTAATATAAATTAGTTTAATTTCGGGTAATAATTTTCTATTAAGTAAATTATGTTGTTATGAAAGAAAACATATTTTTATTACATTTTCAAAGTGAAATGATATTCTGTATAATTTTTATATCTATACAAATATAAAATCGACTATTATAAAGCTGGCAAAAAAATCTACTATTATAAAAAAATATTGAATTCATTGTATCGTTTATCATTAAAAAAAAATATGAGGCCACCGCATACATAGTTACGTTGAAATAAACTTGTTTTCTGAGAAGCGAGTTAAAATAAACTTAACAAAATTAAAGAATGAAACCAAATGCTCTTGCAACTTCTTTAACATTGCACCTTGTCAATTACACTTATAGTATTCTTTTATTAGAAGTTTCTAAAATTCAAATATTAATGTGTAACAACAAATATTCCGTTACCTATAACTTAGCTTCCTTTCTGTCAATAAATTCTGCACCCGCAAACACTCTTTGGATGTGTACGTCTTCCTTCAAACATGGCATCCTCTAGCTATCAATGAATGAGAGATATTATCCCATGAATCGTTTCTTTAAAAGAGTTGATTCAAAAAAGGCACAAGTTCATATCACCGGGGTAACAAATAATTTCGTTCATTATATTAACCTTTGCACCTCCATATGTACTTGATTTCATTTTAAGGCCCTGCAATTTCCGTCTATAAATTCTGCAACAAAGTCTTTATCTCCATCATCCTCATTTCCTTCAACCATGGCGTTATTCACAAAGAAATCCCAACCTCTTTTGTCTGCTTTCTCCTTCACCTTCATTTTCCTCCTCCTTGTTCTCCATCCTCTGGAATCTACTGGGGTCACAGTTGATCTCATACCCCGTGATGCCTCAAAGACCTATTTCGATCGCTTGCATGATGCTCTTGAACGATCCTCAAAACGTTTGAATCATTTCAAGTCAGTACTTTCGAACCTCGGAGGAAGCAAAATCCAGACCCAGATCGTATCTGGTGGTGGATCCTACCTCATGGACGCATCCATAGGAACCCCACCAGCTAGGTTTCGGGGAATTGCAGATACAGGTAGTGACCTTGTTTGGACACAGTGCTTACCTTGTACACAATGTTACAAACAAGACCTTCCCATCTTTGATCCTAGGAAATCCTCAACGTACAAGAAAGTTTCATGCAAATCTAGTTCTTGTACGGCCCTTGAAGAAGCCTCATCATGCAGTGAAGATGGATCAACATGTGGATATAGCTACGCTTATGGAGATGGCTCACAAACTTCGGGAGATCTTTCCACTGAAACAGTGACGATAGGCAGCAATAAGTCAGGGTCGTCTTTCAAGAACATCGCGTTCGGATGTGCACATGACAGTTCTGGGACATTCGATTCGTCTTCGTCTGGTCTTGTCGGGCTCGGAGGAGGAGCACTCTCGCTTGTTTCTCAGTTGGACGAGAAGAAATTCTCGTATTGTTTAGTTCCCATCTTCTCGAACTCGTCGGGTAAAATAAGCTTCGGTCGTGATGCTGTCGTGTCTGGTTCTGGCGCAGTGAAGACTCCTCTGATATCAAAAGGCTTCTACTTTCTTACGTTGGAAAGTATCAGTGTGGGAGACGAGAGAATTACATACAAAGGTTCAACAATTATAGCTCCTGATGCAAACGATGATACTGAAGGGAACATTATTATCGATTCAGGGACAACCTTAACTTATCTGCCGGCTGAGATGTACAGTGAAGTGTCGTCGGCGGTGGAGAAAGCCATCGGCGGTAAGAAGATGGATCGGAGCGATTTGGGTTTGAGTCCATGTTATTCTTCTAGTGATGACCTTAATATTCCAGATCTTACAGTACATTTCAAAGGTGGTGATGTGAAGTTGGGTCCTTTGAGTTCATTTGTCCGAGTAGATGAAGATGCAGTCTGTTTCACATTCTCTGATGCTGGGAGGAACGCTCCTGTTCCTATATATGGGAACTTGGCCCAGATGAATTTCCTGGTGGCATATGACCTTGACGCCGGTACGGTGTCGTTTTCACCAAAAGACTGCACAAAATCCTAGTTTGTGTGGAATATTGGATCTATGTGAAATAATCAGGGATTATATGTAATTTCGCTGAATAATATGAGCTTTTTAAGTTTCGTTTAACTAGTTGAATTTTATTTGTTGGCAAAAAAAAAAAACTAGTTGAATTTTATTAGAAAAATGACCGAAAAAGCATCGTTGAAATTTAAAATGACAAAATAAACATACGAATATATAAAATGACCAAATGGGCATAAAGTATCAATTTGGAATCTTGACAATTCGGTTGAAAGACTAAAATGCCCCTGACACATATTTGGAGCCAATTTCATTACTCTAGTAGTGATAATGACAGCATTTGTAATGTGAATTACAATTTTCGTAATGAGAGTTATCATCTCGCTATTATTATTTACAACTCGTTTCTTTCAAACACAAATAACATGTATTTGGAACCAATTTCACTACCCTAGTAATGATAATGACAACATTTATAATGTGAATTACGATTTTTTTAATAAGAGTTACTATCTTGTTATTGCTATTTGCAACTCGTTTATTTCAAACCCAAGTAACATATATCTGGAGCCAATTTCACTATTCCGATAATGATAATGACAACATTTTATAATGTGAATTACAACTTTCATTATGAGAGTTACAATTTCGCTATTGCTATTTACAACTTGTTTCTTTCAAATCCAAGTAACATGTATTTAGAGCCAATTTCACTACTTCGGTAATAATAATGACAATATTTGTAATATGAATTGCAACTTTTGTATTGAGAGTAACCACTTATTCATGTCTTCAAAGAGGTTCAGAAGCATTTTAGTCTTTCTATCGAATTGTTAAAATTCCAAATTGATACCTTATATCTATTTGGTCATTTCATATATCCGCGTGCCTATTTTGTCATTTCAAATTTCAATAGTCATTTTCTAATTATTTTCCCAATTTTATTTAACTCAAAATTTGAAATGAGACGCAGGCTTGTAAGGTTGACAGGCCTTGCAGTAATATTTAACGTCTCGAGCTAGAGCTAATTATGATATTTACTAACAACCTAAAATAATGGCTCATACCAGCTAACTTATATAATTCATCATAATTTGTATAAATAATTCATCATAACTTGTATAAATAAATTTATATAAATTAAATTAAAAATAAAATTCTGATCGCATAAATTAAAATTCCGAAACATTAGGCATTTTATGTTTAAATGTCTGAGAGAATGAGAGCGTTCGAAGGGCGTCCGTCTATGGCTGCTTTGGTTCCAACACGGTTCCCGCTATCTGTTGGTTCACCGCTTCGCTTTTATCGTTTGCGGAAACCTGAACCTCCCTTCCTTCTCATCTCCTGCTCCGTGAAGACGCTATTTCGGTTTAGTGGTACAATTGTATTCTCCGGTTGCCGGAATGTGATCCCTCTTTCGCCGGCCGCTACTGGTGACGATGAGTATCAAGCGTGTTCAAGAAAGCCTCTCAACTTACCTCAGATTTTCGCGCGCCTCGTGGTCTCTGTGGCGCTTGGTATTGGCTTTGGATTTTGCATTGGCATTCATGTAAGTTCGGCTTCTGCGACCACTCTTCCCGCCTCTTCATCGCTTCAAGATAAGCAGACAACGGAAGGTATCAAACGACTGACCATATGTATTAACTGATGTCTTCTTCTTCTTGTTAATTGATATTGCGTTTCTAGCTTTATTTCGAGCTTCATATTTATGCGTAAGAGTTCTCTTTAGTGGTACTGATAACTAATAAATTTATTTTCATACTTTTCTTGAGCTTAATCCTTATTCACTTCACTTGTCAGCTAAGATGCGCGCATAGATCGGGATCAATAATGTTATCAATAGATTGAAGGGCACCGAGAGAACCGACGCTATAATATGTACTTTAAAGATCCTAAAGAGAGAATATTGGTCCTTTAATAGTTTCATAAACTCTCTGAAGCTTCGGATGCGTATTCACTATTTGATTGATTTCTTCGAAGATAGGTGGAATTTAAATCCGAAAGAATATTGGATAAACTATGGTTCTTCAATACCTTATTTTTAGATTTGCATTGAAGCTTCTCGGGCGACCATGCTCATTGTCTTCCATTCACAATGAAGAGGAACAAAATGAATACAGAAAGAGCTCAAGGCTTGGTTTGTGTTCATACCTACCTTCATCCTTTATCATAGAAGAGCAAAATGTATATGTTAGCGGAGATTACTAAAAAGCAATTTGATAGGGCTGGAGGTCTTAAAGTATCAAATTTGTCTCTAGATGTATATGATTTGGAAAAAAAAGCATATAGAGAATTCTAGTACTATAGATGGAGATGAGGATTGGTTGAAACTCTCTTATTAGTTTGTTTATCATTTCTGCTTTACTTTGATATGTCTTTTTGATATGCAGTTTACATTGAACACTCCGTGGTTACTGATATCTTAAAGTTGTTGCTTCTTGCATTTTGTGGCACACTCAATATGTGTACCCTGTCAGTTCTAGCTTGTCAGTTAAGGATTGGTCCTGCATTTTGTTCACTGTACTGATTTTTGTTTGTGGATCGCATGCCATTGCTGTTAAGAAATAAACTCTGAAAGACTTGGCCGTTGACATGATTCATGGTTTTATGGTTGTAGATGAAAATGAAGGAAGAAAACACGATAATGACACAGAAAATGTTTTAGACAAGGATTTAGAAGCAGCTTTTAATGCTTGGAAATCTAAAACATATGCATTGACTGTGCCTCTCAAAATTGTTGCTCTACGTGGTTCTGTGCCTCCATCATGGATCAAGGTGTGTGATATATTGCTTAACTTTCTTCTTTATTTTAATTCTCTAACTTTGCTTATTAAATTTCTCACTTCTGCTCTCTCTCTTTTCTGTTTTCTTTCTCAGCACTTGTGAGGTTCTCGCTTGAAATTTGCCTAAAATCCTACTGCTATTGTCTTTGTTTATCCAGTTTACGTCACCGATTCTTTTATTTTTCCATTTCATATTTGAGTTAAATTTGCAATAATTTCTTCTTTCATAGCTTCTCATGCTGATGTTTCTTTACTTTTAGGACTTCATAAAATCTCAAGGGAGAAGGTTAAAATTTAATGTGAAGTATAATACAAGTCTTGAGAGTATTTTCTCAGATCTGTCAATTCCCTTCACTAAAGGAAATATTGGGCCTGCATCTGCTTTGGCGGCAGATATTGTTAGTATTGGGGACTCCTGGCTTAAATTTGCCATCAACAAAGCTATAATTGAGCCAATACGTGATGTTGAAGACCAGGATTGGTTTAAAGGCCTAGATGAGAGATGGAAGGTAATCGTTTATTTTGTATCTCTTCCTAAAAATTGTGTCTTGTCAGAAGTCTTTTCTGGATTCTTAGTTCATATGCAAAATTAGTTGGCTCACCTTTTAGTCCTGTATCTGTAATGAAGAATTGTTCTTCTGAATGTAGTTTCCTTTACATTTGATGAGTCCGCCTTGACTGCTAGGCATGTAGGAATATTTGAGATCTGAGTAGAGGAAAACAAAGGGATAATTAATACTGGGTAGTTCTGTGTATGGGTGCACTTGTTAGTGAGACATATTTGTACGCACTTGCATCCTTTGCAAGATCATAAGATGATGACCAACCACATAAATCTGATGGATTCTCACATTGGAGGAGCCATGTATGGTCCACGGGGCAAGAGGTCTGGTTTTAAGGTTGAGTACATCCTGCTTACTAAAGTCTTCATCAAATTCATCAAGATGGTGTCTTTTAAGAATTTTCATCAAACAAAAACAGGTTGGCGCAACCGACATAGGATAATGGGAAGGAGGGAACCGAAATGCATGCAGGGAGAGGGGAGAGGGACATTATGTTAGTCAAATAAAAACTATGCAAAGTAAAAATTGCTGTTAATAATGTTTGACAATGAAATGTGTCCCTTATAATATGGCTTCATGGGGAAAAAGGGTTATGAAATGACAAAAGAACACGAGATGATGGCTTCTGCTTAATGGTACCTTGCCAAACCTGTTATTATAATGTGTTAGTATAATTTTTGGTGGGGCAGTTATCCTAGTCAGCATAGGCCATTTATTTTAGCATAATGTTATTACTTATCCTGTTGGAATATCTTTTTATAGCATAATGCATTCACTGAATAAGTTCCAGGTATACCTGCGCAGGAATAGGGAGGGAGAAATAGATCCCAACGGTGACGTATGGGCTGCTCCATATCGATTGGGCTGCATGGTTATAGCCTACAAGAAAAACAAATTTCAAAAGTATAATTTGGCTCCTATGGAGGTAATTTTTGTTTTTTTTTGTTTTGGTTGGAACCAATGTTATTTTTTATACATCTTTTGTGAAAGTATATAATCTGTAAACGCAGGATTGGGCAGATTTGTGGCGGCCAGAGCTTGCGGGAAGGATCTCAATGGTTGATTCCCCCAGAGAGGTCGTTGGTGCAGTTTTGAAGTATATGGGAGCCTCATACAATACCAACAACATTAATTTGCAAGTTGATGGTGGGAGAGATGCTGTTGAGCACAATTTAGCCTTGCTTGCAAAGCAGGTACTGATATGAAGGCAATCTCTTAACTGCTGTTGTTGCTTTTGCTATGTGCAGGATAGAATGAAACCAATGCTTCTAAGATATGAAAATTACTTACTAAGAAAAGAATATCTCTCTCCTTTTTCTCTTTGTCCAAATTACATATTTCAACATCACGATCCAGTTGGCTTTGTTTAGGTTCGACTGTTTGACGGTGTCCACTATTTGAAAGCTTTTGGAGTTGGAGATGTGTGGGTAACTGTTGGATGGAGTAGCGACATCATTCCTGTTGCCAAGCGCATGTCTAATGTTACAGTAGTTGTTCCAAAATCTGGAGCTAGCTTATGGGCAGATCTTTGGGTATGGTACTTATATTTTGCTGCCTTGTGTCCTGTTTGGTAATGTAAGAGGAAAAGGGTTCCTTCCGCAGTTTGCATTGTCTTATTTCTAGTTTATGATTCCAATATTGAATTCATAGATTATTTCTTATTCCTTCTTAGTAGACATTTTTCTCACCCATCGTCTTATTCCTTTTGCAGGCAATTCCAGCTGCCTCTAGGATTCAAACAAACCGGATTGGTGGCCGAATCCGGGGCCCATCCCCACTAATCCATCAGTGGATCGAGTTCTGTCTGCAAGGTGCAAGAGCACTGCCCTTTAAACAAGAGGTTGTTCCGGGGACCTCTCCCAATGCTCTTCATGTTCCCTCAGCCAAGGCTCCCACGGAGCTCTCAAAGGGTAAGCCAAGACTAGATACCAATCTCATTGCTGGAGCCCCACCACCTGAAATACTAGATCGGTGCGAATTTCTTGAGCCATTGTCTGATTCAACGATATCAGATTACGGCTGGTTGCTCGCAGCCATCCAAGAACCTAAACGTGGATTGTTACATAAAGCGCGTGAGTATATTTCATTGATGATTAAATTTTCTGGAAAATCTGATCCAAAACTAGCTTGAAAATTCGTTTATTAGGATGTGGAATACTGATCAGGGATCCTGTCAGTTTGAAATATTATAGGTTTAATGTTAGAAGGAATAGAAGGAACTATAGAATTGCCACGATGTGGTTTAAGTGCCTCATTAGGCTTGACATGGATGAGCAGAACTGTTTGGACCTAGATGGGTACTTTAATGAGATGGAACATCAAAAGTCAGAAATTGGCTGATGAGATGGGAGAACCATGGCACTTGTATTTTTTCTTGCCTAATGTGAGACATAGTGTTATCAAATCTCTATTAATTGGCTCCCATGGAATATTGATATTGTGATGGCTATGCTTTTCTTGGCTTTTTGTCGGCCAGAATCTGCAATCTTATTTGACTGCAGGATACTAAACGTGAACAACTCTTTTATTGGGAATTCAAATATTAGTTTGTTATATTATGAGAAGTCAGTTCTTTCTATTAAACTCAGTCTCTATTAGTAAGAGATATACTAGCTCCGATCCTAATTATAAAAGTCAGTTGACTAATTTGAGGAGATTAAGGAAATAAGTTGAATTAGTTATTTGTCCTAAATAAGTTGTTTTTCCTAAAATATCTTTACTAATCAAATGTATTGATTAGAACTATTATTGTTAGAATAGCTACTTTGAGAAGAAAAAAAGTATAAATATAAGAGATAAAATGGATTGAATCTTATATTCAGGACTAAAATAAAAGTGAAACAGGATCTTATATTTGTACCGGAAACAGATCACAAAATCTACAATGAAATGTCAGAACCATCTCTAGCAGAGGAGGGCGTTTTCAATTCATGCAGATTAATATACACTTGCACTCTAGTGAATAAATGCAACCATTACAAATTACGTTACAAATTATAACCCAAAAAAAAAAAAAGAGGGGAGGAGGCCAGATTCAATAAATAACCAATTTTCAAATTAAATTCGCAAAGACACAGAAAGACACAACACATGGTAACAGGTCATGAACCCGAATTCCCAGTCTTGAAGAGGTTGTGGGGCAAGGGATCGATCATAAATCTGCTTTGAGAATCCTGAGCCCCTTTCACTCAGCATCACATTTCTGAGCAATGATACAAGCTATGACGGGCCTGGGCTCTATTCAGAGTTGGAGTCATAAAAGTCACTTGGGCATGGGGTCATCACCTCTGATTCAATCAATTGGACCACTCTGTGCATTGTGGGTCGATCCTCCGGACTCGAGCATACACACAGTATAGCTACAGAAAGCAACGCATCCAGGCTCTCTAGCTGCACTCCTTCACATTGCTGATCAACTATATCTCTTGCTCTGTTCTCCGTTATTAAATGATTTAACTGCCACAATTTATTTTAAAAAGAAAAAGGAAAAAAAAACCCAACATAAGATTTGATTTCAATCTCATAAGTGATCAAAGAAATCAAAGCTATGAATACTACAGGGTACAGAACTAGGAAAGAAATGAGAGCCCAACTTCGAAACATACAGAGTATGTACAAAGAGGGCTGCATAATCATTAACATCAGAGAGGAAAACCAAGTAGCAGAACAAAAGTGCTCAAAGGAAGAACAATAATTTGACTTGAGAGGAAAGCTGGAGTTCTCTGTAAAACACCAAGATGATTATCATGCAATCCTTGTTCATATTGCATATGATATGTGGATCTAATGTTGGCGGCAACCAGAAGGGTGTTGCGTACGTCCTAAATAATTTTTTTAATAAATCAATCAAATTTGCTCCAAAAATAACCTTCCTAAAACATCAAATTTAAATATCCGCATTCGAAATGCTACCTAAGATTTTGGGGCAGGACAATGTAGCTTCAATGCAATAAAAAGGGGGGGGGGGACTGTAATAAGCAGTATATTTTTAAAGAGGAAACTAGTATTTCTACTACAAGCAGCAGACGAAAAGCAAGTTCAACTTAAAGCTAATGTACGGGATGTATGGTATTACCCAACCAACAATATTGAGGCCCTTCTCAATGAAAGATGCATCTGTTGGTCGCTTTCCACTCAACACTTCAAGTACCAGGACACCGAAACTATAAACATCAGTCTTTTCAGTTGCTCTACCACTTAGCATATATTCTGCCATGGAGCAACAGTGCTTCATCAGACAGTGGAATTAGAAAGCAAAACCAAAACTCTAAAACCTTCAGCAAAATCCAAAAGGAGCCACCCCATCTTAGTGTCACAAATTTGTTAAATACGTAATATAGTTGTAAACACGTATAGATTGTCAGTATTAACACCCTTATGTCAAGAGCGAAAACTTTCAACTTCTAATCATAGCCTTCATTTTTGCCTGCGGATGACATGCACAAACGGTGCAAAAGTGAAGAGAAATGATATTATAATAATGTTAGCAAAAGTGAAGAGAGGAAAACGTAACAAACAGGGATTAGCGATTCTCTTAAAAGATAAAATCAGAATAGATGCTGAGGTCCTGCAAACATCATAATAACTCTTGACTCTTGACCAAAATCTAGTAACCCTTTTCACCCTAAATCTGCCTTCGCTGAACCACACCCCCCCCAAAAAAAAAAAAAAAAAAACACACACACACACACAAAAATTTCCCAGGGAAGACACGTGAGATATTCCTTGAGATTATTATGTAATCTACAATCTTTCTCATCATCCTTAAGTATGCAACACTATAGAACAAGAGATAAACAAAGTAAACATCCATGCACCGGAATCAACAAGAGAAATTCATTGATAGTTCAAATGCTCAATGCATTGCCCATGACTCATCCTGTGAATTATCTATCTGGCTAACAGTATATCCATTCTATATTGCTTACCTGGAGCTAGATAACCAAATGTTCCAGCAACAATGGTAGTGATGTGAGATTCCTCATCCTTCAGAAGTTTGGCGAGTCCAAAGTCAGAGACTCGAGCATCCAAGTTTCCATCAAGCAAAATATTGCTTGATTTTATGTCACGGTGTATGATCCTAGGCGAACAATCATGATGCAGGTAGGCAAGCCCTTTTGCAGCTCCCAAGATGATATTCAAGCGTGAATCCCAATCAAGTTGCTCAGATCTTTCTGTTTAATGCATCATAAAGTATCATTATCCCCCAACATTTTTATCCACTAACCAGTGAAGATGCTTATTCCAAAATGAGATTTGCATGTGGGAAAACAGTTACAACTGAGACCTCTATCTCAAGGTGCACTAAGTAATAAAACCATGAATTGTATTAAGGCAATTTGTTGAAAAGCCTATAAAATGCTATTATGTTGAAAAGATCCACCCACATTTTAGCTGGCCTGGAATATTTATCAATATCATAGTCAAACATGCTATTATATTCTTGAGATTACTAAGAATTCCAAACAGATCCCAAAAAAATTACCACATACTAGAATTGATAACCAAATATTAACCTTTAATAGTGCACAGAATATCCCACATTATAGCAGCAGCATGCATCAATGTTCTGATGAAAAGAATAGTGATAATTTAAATACGCATCTTACCATGAAGAGCTTCATCAAGACTACCACCAGGTAGGTAATCATATATTAACAACTTTGATGTAGGTGAATTGCAATAGCCTCTTAGGTTCACAAGATATCTGTGTTTTATGCTTCCAAGAATTTCAAGCTCTCTCTCAAAAAATCGATCAAAGCCCTCATTTAACTTTACAATCCTTTTCAAAGCAAATACATTCCCATCATCCATTGCAACCCTGTAAACTGTTCCAAATCCTCCACAACCAATTATGTGTTCCTCATTTAAACTCTCTAGTTTTTTAATAATATCTTTTGAAGAATATGGGAGATCTCCATGAAACATCACAATTGATGCCCCTGCAAGATTTAAAGAGAGATCAAATTTAGAGTACTTATGATTTCAGAAAGATAAGATAGCTCAAAAGGGCCAAGTAGCTAGCATGAAGCTTAGGTAGTTACCTCCGCAGACATCCATTGCTAGACTTTCTCTGTGATTTTTACCAAACTTCTTATAAAGAAAGCAACCCCAGAAGCACATCAGTGCCACTAAAAGTAGTGCACCCACAGTTGCTAGTGCACTAATAAGCAGCCGGCCAGAATCTTTCCTTTTTCCATTTTGATTTTGGTCTGTAGAAAGTAACATTATCAAAGTCAAAACAGTAAGAATGCGGTCCAGTTAAGCATACAAAACTGCTCCAAACAAAAATTGCATAAAAAAGAATATTTAGTCCATTCAGAGGGGCGCCTTTGTGAACACTACACAAATGTTATGGACCTGCTTGCTTGCAGTGTTTGGAATTAAAAATTGGAAAAAAGAAAAAGGATCCTGGGTAATTCTATATTGTAAAAGCACTCATTTCACTACATTTATGACACAAAACCAGATCGAGAAAGTATCCTCTTGGTTCATCTGAAGCTGCCCCATGACTTTCCCAATAAGTAAAAACTTGTAGTAGTGGCTCTAAAAATGATGCTTAATTACTTTTACACTACCCAGCAGCCAGGTACATTTCAGGTAAAATTATAGCGTCTATAGAGAATCAGGGTTTGTAGGATAAAATCAATTGCGTAGGAAGGAGTATGTTGGGAAAGGTTCTATGGATAAGTGCACTCACATGTATTTTGCCATTTAAAGTCTCTGGCTGAAATGCAATGCTAAAAACTTCTAGAAAAAAGAGGGTTAACGCATTCATATGCATGAAGTCAATGGGTGAAAATAGATGATTCATTTAAATGGTTTCAACTTTACCTGATGTCGGAGATTGAGGGTTGGAATTAGGTGAACCATCATTCTTACATGCTGTATTGATTTGCACTCCACACAAACCAAGATTTCCAAGAAAGCTGCATCAAAGCATATTTGTTACGCTATTGAGAAGTATAAATTTGCATCTTATAAGTTGGCTGCTACATTAGGACAGACAATCTAATATCACTAATCAACAGGGGAGGGAGGACAGTACTTACGATCTTTCAGTGAAGTTGGCAAGCACACCATCCAAAGGTATCGGTCCTACCAGAAAATTGAACGACACATTGCTAAAAAGTATCAAATATGAACACAGTAAGAAAGAGTCATTTTCCATTCAAATAATAGATTAACACAAGAATGAATAAAAAAGTGAAGATAAACAAGGCTACTTACAAATTTTTTAGGGTATATAATTTCCCAAGTGATGGAGGAATACTCCCACTAAGGGAGTTACTTGATATATCCCTGCAGAATAGGGAGACGTGTTGAATGAATGTGATCTGTTTTAAGACAGTAATGTAGAATTTGGATGAGAGGAACCAGAAACTACGTTAAACTATTGCACAGTCCCCTAACCCTCTTTACAAGCATGCCTGTCAGCCTTCCACACATGAAACACACCACAGCAGTTTGGCCCTGCCTCATTTATTCCTTTTCCCCCACCCAACCAGAGGTCACTTCTTCATCATGCAGCACCACAATATTTGCGATGCTTCATCCAGATAAATGCAAGTGATAATGAAACACAAAGGGAGCATATAACGGGAGAAACTCACAAATTTTGAAGTTGTGAAAGATTTCCGATTTCATTGGGGATCACTCCACTAAGGTAGTTACTATGCAAATATCTGCAAGAGGAAAAAATAAAAATTTCCCAACAAATCAATATTTTAGTAACACAAAACGCAATGAAGGATGATATCAATGGTTTCTTATAACTTTCTTCCTCTATCAATGATTCTCTAGTCCCAAGCAGATTGTACAAATTCATGCAAAATGCTGTGCAAAACAATAATGTAACAAATAGTAATACAACAGGCAAATACCATGCTTCAATTAATACCATAGAAGTGAGGTACGTGCTTGGGCACACTTAACAAAAATGCAATAGTAAATATATTTCCTGATCAATTTCCAAACGTAAGCATCAAGGTTAACAAGGAGAGGCTGCATCGTTGGATCGTTATTCCTAAAATCAGTCAGGACAAATGTACATAATTTTCCAATTTAAAAGGGAGAACAGAAGTTGTGGAAAAGATTGAGGAACCAAAGGTGGTACTTATTACTTACATCTCTTGCAATTCAGTGCAGTTTCCTAATTCTGAAGGAATAGTCCCATATAAGTTGTTGTTGTTAAGAGCACTATAATATAGATGAGTTATCTACATCAGATGCAGAAGACCAGCAAAAAATCAACAGAATCAAATAACTTCAAAAAGAAAAAGGCAGAATACATACAGAATCCTCAGATGCTCTAGCTTCCCAAGGTCAGCTGAAATAGACCCACTTAACTTAAAATGATCAAGAAACCTATATTATCAGCCATGAAAGCAAAGTGAGATATGAAAGGCCCGACAAACTTGTCAGCAAAGCTCCTGTCTCGTTTAAAATCCCAGTATTTCTTTTACCATAATATAGAGTTCAATTTCTCAAACCAACATGATATAATCTTATGAGACCAAAAATAGCATGATATAACCATTTCACTCTCCAGATAATCAATGTTACATTAATAATCATCGCTATACAAGAGGGGTGGAGATGATATATACTTTCAGTCCTAATCCAAACTGATTCTGTAACAATGCAAAATAGTTTAAAATAAGCCGACATAAAAAGTAAGCAAAAATGACGTGATCAATTTTTATAAAGACAAAATGTAAACAAAACAGAGAACATGAAAAAAAAAAATCATACAGATTTGTCACTCTCTTGGTTTTGGGATCACATTTTACTCCTTTCCATTTACACGGATCAGGATCCTCAGGCCTCCAAGGTAACAGGTCACTATTGGGGCTAGCTGCCGTCCTGAAGCTGAGAAGTGCCTCTCCTGCAAAGACAAAATGAAATTACTAAAACATTTATATAGGAAGAAGATATCTGAACAGAAAGCCAACTAAATCACAAATTCATCATGATCATAAAAAAATCCTACATGCTCAGATGAAAAGATATATAAATTATAAAATTAACATTATTTTCTTTTTTGTATATTGCATCAGAAAGCATGCAAATCTTTGTAACATAAAAACGTGGATTTGATCGCATGAGAATCAAAACTTACAGACAATACTGAATGACTAAATAGTAACAAATTTACGGGATCAAGAAGAAATGCATGATCATACCATCAGGACTAATTGCTTCATTCCGATTGATCACATGACATATCAGCAGAACATAAAGAAGCCATGGCCATTGCCATTTCATCAGACAAACGCCCATAGCAACAATGTTTAAGCATAATATAGCCACTAAGAGTCATCTGAGACAACCGTATGAAAAATGCCTGCTTCGAACATGTGTCTATCTAGTAAGTAGTTACATCAGCAGCTGCAGCAGAATCAAGCCACTGAATTCCACAGAATGCTACTAGCCTGAAATAACAACAGACAATAATGTTATAAGAAAATGATTTAATCAAAAATAAAGGGGAAAATCTTGCTTTGACACTTATACAGGTCAATAGTAGCAGGGTGGTTAAAATATTTTCAGCTAACAAAGCATAAGCACAAGCAAAGCAAGCTTTGTTTACTTTACGTCGGAGATCACATTATCTAAGCATGATTTTATGTGTAATCAGCATCAGTTATTGATTCCCTATATTTCAATACCATAACATTCAATCAGTGTTGGAGACAATTAGGCATGTTTGGCAATATTATCAAGATGAATTAAAGTTTAACAAATTCCAAGAACAAGGATAGAATGTCTACGTTTTTATCAAGTCTCACGAAGGATCTGGATAAAACCAGAGGAAGGACTCTTAAGGCCAAGCCTTACCAACCATGCCTTCTCTAAAATTCGAAGAGGAGAGAGCCAAAAGAAAAAATAATGGCTGATCGGACTTCTGCTTACACAGAAGAGTACGCTCATATGACTCGCGGTCAGACCACTAATTTTATTACACACGCAAGGAAAGGGGCCATGTAAATGCAGTGGATTACAAAATCATCTAACAGACGTGCAGCCTACATTTTCGTATTATATTTAGTAAAAATTATAAGTAATATTTCAAAATCTAAGCCGTCAAGAAAATGGCGCTTTGATGATGGCGAATAATGAGTAAAATGATAAAGCAAACCTAATATCCGCCTGGTAAAGCCCGAAAGAACCACTACTGAGAATTCAGCAAAAAATACAAAAGCATCTTAGACAAAGCTGTGCAAGCGAATTTCATGAACTACTTCTGAAGAAAACTGAAATTATTTGAAGAAGAAGAAGATGATGATGATGATGGAACGGATCCCGCACAGCTTCATCAGCATCATGAGCTAGCAATGCATCCTCTCATAAAAAATATGACAAAAAAGTTCAGCTTAATTAATCAATCTGATGCCAATTGTACCAATGCTGCGAAACATTGAGCGGGTAAATTTACTGAGTTGCACAGATGATTCAATTCTTTTACTTAAAAAATAAAAAATAAAAAAAAGAAGCAAAGAGAAAATAAACACTCACTTCGATTCGATCTAGGATGCAAAAGCGTGAGAGAAACGGAGATTGAGCTGTAAAGGAACTAGTACAAAACCTCCTCGCCCTCCGAACTGCTTGAGATTTGTTTGAGAATCTGCAGTGAATGTGAGTGCAAGTAGAAGAGTGTGCGTGAATTGATGCCTTTGCTTTGGAATTTAAGAGCATCCGTACAACCAATGAGAGCTGCATCGCTTGGCACGTGAGAACTGAGAACATACATGCGCCGCACGTGTGACCGACGCGCTCGTTCTACAAACCTGCCACGGCTTTGACGCCTGTACTTCATATCCATTACATTACAGGATTTTTGAAGAGTATCCTCCAAGATACTTCACGGCGCATTTTACAGTGAAATTATAAAAAACAAGAAAATGGGAGTAGGTGTCACTCTTGTTGTGAAAGCCACGTGCACAAAAGCTACGAAACTAGACTCACCATTTTAATTTTTAATTTTTCCTTAATTCTACATATTTAGAAGAATAACTTTGGTCTAATCTAAGAAAAATAAAAATGGAACGAACAATCTAACATCAATTTTAAAACAAAAAAGTAACTAAATTATCAAACTTCTTGCAATTTTGTGTAAAAGGAAAAAAGAATTAGTATCCAAGAGAAATAGTATTTTCATTTGAATTTAAATGCCAGAATGCAGAAAGAGCATATAGAAAAGATTATCAAAGCTCATATGATAAAAAAAAAGATCATATATTTATCAAAGTGATAGCAGTAATACCATTTGTTTCTCGAAATACATGTACTGTAACCAAGTTGTTAGTTAAAGAGGAGCGATACTTTCACTGAAATGCCAGAATATGCAGAAGAACAAAGATGCTGAATCATATTTCAAAGGGTAGATCTGGGAGTCACACAGGGCTTCACAGGATTCTTCATCACAATAGTGAAGGCTTGCTTCTCAGTCATATCAACTTCACACCCATCTTCCATCGTCCACTTAAAATCCCTCACTAAATTGGCCACAAAATACTCAACATGAAGCAGAGCCATGCTTATGGCAGGGCAGATCCTCTTTCCTGCGCCAAACGGCATCATTTTGATCTCTGAATATCCTTTTATATCAAACTCACAGTACTCTTTTTCTCCTAATTCACTTTGACCTTTCCTCAGGAACCTTTCAGGCTTGAACTCCATTGGATCTTCCCACACATTTGGGTCCCACCCTAATTCAGCCACCAGAAAATTCACAATCGCGTTTCTGGGTATGAAGTAACCTTCCATTTCAGTGTCTTGTGTTACTGCTCTGGGCAGTATAAAGTGTCCGGGTGGGTGTCTTCGTATCGTCTCTAAAACTGTAGCCTGCAGATATGGCATCTTCTTCAAGTGCTTCTCTTCGATTTCTTCTCCTGGTTCCACAACTTGATTTATTTCATTCAGCAGTTTCTCTTGTACGGTTTGATTCTTCACGAGATTCGCCATTGCCCATAACCACGTGGTGGCCGTCGTGTCTGTTCCAGCTAACATGAACTCGGAACACAAGCTCACTAGTTCTTCGTCTGTTAGCTTCCTTCCACTATCAGGCAGTTTCATATCGAAAAGAGTATCAATATAAGCAGTGAACCCTTGTTTTTCTTCCTCGTACTGTTCTTCACCCAACTTGCTTTTTGTTAATTCATGGCGAGATTTTATGATTGGGAGGAGGAAATTAACTTGATTTTCACGAATCTGCAGAAGCTCTTTCCATAGTTTTCTAAACACAATCTTGGACAGAAATGGAAGGAAATTCAGCACATTGAACCTAATGAAGTTGTGAAGCACGTTATGGAGAACTTTTTGAATCTCCCTAACAGTAAGCTCATCAAATTTTGATCCAAAACACATATGCGACAGCAAAGCAAACATGGAAAGCTCGATATGATCATAAATAGGTATAGCCTTATTATTACCCAATTCAATATCAGCCAGAATATTCTTCTTGAGTAGATCCAAAGCACCCTTACGACACTGAGAATATGAATGTAATCGAGAAGGATGTATGATCTGCATGAGGTTTTGACGCAGAAGCCGCCACGTAGGACCATATTGAGAAGTACTAACGCCATGTTGGTTAGGGAAGAAGACAGTGGTGGTTGGAAGAGCCCAAGGACGACCGGCGAAAACGGAGCCGTTTTTCACAAGAGCTCGGTGAGCTGTTTCGTGGGCTGTTATGAAAATGGCGGGAGTGGACCCCATGTAAATGGTGACGATGTTGCCATATTTGGAACGTAAGTATCGAAGCAAGGGTTCCATGTCGGCGAAGTTTTTAGAGGATTTTAGGAGCCAAAAGATGTTTCCTAGGATGGGTATGGCAGGGGGACTAGGTGGTAGCTTCTTATTGCGTGTGAAACTAAGGGCAAGAGCAAGAATGAAAGCATATAGAGAAATCGCAGTTACAACGCAGAACCAGAATCCCATAATGGAGGAAAAAGGTTAATGAGATCAAACTTCGTCTTGTTCTTGGGTTCTGGATTTACGTGCATGTTGATTGGCTTGGGGTTTAAATAGGGTAGTGGTAATGTTTCAGTCCAAAAAAAAAAAAAAAACCAATAGGGTAGTGGCAATGAAGAAGAATTGATGAATGAAACCGTAAGAGAAGTTGTGTGTTTTTATGGAAATTGAACGATTGCGTTTAGCTGTGTCACTTTTTGTAACATTATACTGCCTCTAATCATTAATGTAAGGCTGAGGGGTTATTTGGGTTAGTTTTTCAGAAATAATTTTGTAAAAATTAAGATAAATATGTGAGAAAAATGTTGCCTTAATTTACATTTAAGTGCTTTTGAGGCATCAAATACCCTTTCAATAGACTAATTTAAAAAGATTAAAAAAATTACTAGATTACTTAAAAGTATGTATACTATTGTTTTTTTCGAAACTAATTTGTCTCAATATAATAATACTTATAAATATTTTAAAATGATCATGTAACTTGTTATAATTAAATAATTTAATCATTTCCTTAATCTTTTCAAAATAACCGTTGAGTCTTATACTACGGATATATTTGTGCATAATTTTAATGTGATGTGAAGATTGAACTGAAGGATCTGATGTTAGAAAATTAATAAATTTATCATCATGGAATAGGTTCATTTGATCGTTACAATCAAATAAAAATGCTTAACATCGACAAAAGAATAAAGTTTTTGGCGTTAAATTAGTGCTAAATTAATTTTTGAAATAATCTATCCAGTCTAGTAAATCGTTAAAATCACTATTAAGTGAAACACCAAAATCATGATTTTTGTCATTTGCAACCTGAAACCAAACAAGCAATGGAAACGGTGAGTGATTTATTATCTTATAAGTTTTGAAACATTATAAGTCGTGAATATCCAAACCTTCACAACTTGAATGGGTGTTAGTAATGAGAAAGAATGATGAAACCGTTTAAAGGGTTTAAACTTTAAAGGGATTATGTGTTTGTGGCATAGTTTTACATTTAATTGTCACTTTTTGTAACGTTATATCTGTGCTTGGCTTGAATGCGATGTGAAGATTGAACTGAAATGCCTGATGGAACCAGCAAATTAATAAACTGATCATTATGGAGTAGGTTCATAGCAAATTAAATCACATATTTTTCAGTGATATTGACATTAATGATATTAATAATCAATGTAAAAGTCAATTTCAAAATCACATTTTTAAAAAAGTTTGGATAATGAGAATTTTTTTTTATCTATGATTTGAGATAAAAAATAATAGATATAAGATTTAGGAAAAATAGCAAAAAAAGACTTCTGAAATAGAAAAATTATAAATAAAGACCCATAATAACATTAACATAGGTTTTGATAACAATAATATAGGTTTTGAGAACAATTTTTTATAAATCAATCCCCATGTGTGATTTTTTTATTTTAATGGTTTTTTTTTGGTTATTTTAACTTTAATTTAAAAAGTAAAAACACAATTATCGAACATGGATCTTCACCTCGTCTCGAAAGTCAGGACAGCCTCGATGCAGAAACGCGCGGCCGTGCCAAAAAAGGTGGTTAAATTGCGCACTCGGCGTATCTTAAGTTCATAAGCTAGAGTGCGCCGGCATTCCGATTTGGCCCACTTTTTGTCAATTCCTTGGCTGACGACGATCGCGTTCGATCGCGCACACTGATAGCCAACGCCGAAGGACAGAGGAGAGACGCAGAGAGCGAGAAAGAGACGATCTAAGCGGGATGACACGGGGGAAGCAGAAGATCGAGGCACAGAGAAGAAACGCAGAGAGGAATCAGAAGCCAAAGGGGTCGCAGCTTGAGGCCCGAGCTGTAGGGCTTAAAGTCATCTGTCCTGTCTGCAAGGTTACTTTCCATCACCTGTTCCCACCCTCTTTCGTTGACTTGAACACGATCAAAATTAATTTGAAGATTATCTGTTCATAGATTTTGATCAAGTCGTGATATTGACGGCTTTTTTTTTTTCCCCCCTTTTTGGTTGGATATCGATCGTTCCGTATCACTCTTCTTGTCTGTCGTTGCTGGCTTTTGTCATTGGTCATCATTTGTCGTTGGATTTTTGTTTTTAACGTCGAATCAGTTGATCTGGCTAGTAGTTGAATTCTTCATTTTCCTCCTTCCTTCTCGATTTACCTTTCTGAAGGTTACAGATTCGTACTAGGAAGGGAACATTCGGTGAAAGACTTTTTATATGGGGAAGGGGAGGGTGGGGATTGCAAGGGTTAAATTATTTTTAAAATATTTGGAAAGGCTCAAGAAATGCCCTCGGATGACGGAGAATCCCCAAATCTAAATCCAATTTCCTCTCTTTTAATGTTTGTGGTCCTCTGATATAGAGAGAAGTATAAGAGTAAAGGTGGAATTTTTTGTGTTCTACATAATTTGAGGTTATTTTCTGGTTCTCTGTAGTTGTTTGGAATTATTGACTAACCTCAGCTTGCCATGTGTCATTGTATACGTGCAATGGAGTTTAAGCATCTAATGGGTATCGACCGAAAGGTCTATCCAAGTGTGCTATAGTACAGGAGTAATGGCATGGGTGCTGTTTGCAAAAGGGTCAAAGTTCCGGGGGTGGCATCTGGTTTCTTTCCATTCGCCTTCTTTACCGCACCTCTGCTTTCTTTCAAAATGATGCTGTTCTCTTCTTCCCGCCTCAAGTTTTATACAAAGCTTCGACCTCAGCAAATATGTTTATAGCTTTTCCAGTCACACCCCCCCCCCCCAAAAAAAAAATTCTTGATGTCTTCTATCTTGTTCACACAATTTCAGCCCTTTTTTTCTATTTTTTCCCCCGCAGCCCCTGAATTCCAAAATATTAACTCCCAGGCAGGTTGGGATGTTCTTCTCACAGAATAGGACACAAAGCTGTGACAAAAACTACTTTGATGCAGCGAAGGAGTTTCACCTTATCAAAGCAACTTGGTCACCAATCCGTCTCTCATCAAAACACATACCTTCTTCATGGTGGTTGTTGCCACCAGTGTAAATACCGGAAAATCCATGGTGGTTGCACAACTTTTCTTTCTTCATACTTACCAGTGTCAATAGAAGACATCTCCATTAATTTTGATTGGCAAATTTAGACAAAATGCATGCGAAAGGAGAGCGGGTTAAAAGTAATTCAGAAAATGGGGAATGAGGGGTTTGCTGGTGCAGAAAGGAAGGGGAAAGCTTTGCAAGCCACAAACCCGCACAAGCTATTGTGCAAATCATCCACAGCATAGTTTGAGGGGTGAGGGTGAGAAAGGAGAGAAACCGATTGCACATGGATGTTTGTGTATTTTTCCCTTTTAACAAGTATATCACTCATGCTTCTTATACTTGAGTTTATCGCTGCCTCAACCATTGTTAATTTTAATTTTAAATTGAGCTTGAACATCAATTTATAAAGGAGCTGTTCCCAAACCCTATTGTGCTTCTATCATTATATATGTAGGTTGGATAGAAAACCTCTTGGTTGCATTGGACTGAAAAAAAAAAAAAAAAATCATGTGTGTTCTGGTACTTGATAAATCTTCATTTTGCTATTCAGGCGGGAGTACTAGATGCTTAGTTTGAGATTTAAATGGCCATCAGCTGCCCCCCTAGCTCACCCTGGGGGCCCAATACGAGTTGCCAGAAGTCCACCACCACATGTTTCTTTAAGAAAGAATATATTGGAATCAGGAAATTAAAATAACTAATTTCAGAGTGGTTTAAGAATTGGATTCCATTTTTTGTAAATGTGATGCTTTATGAAGAGGAAATATATTAGACAGTAGAAGAGAAAGTAATGAGAATGCCTATTTTAAGAAAGATTTTAATCTGCATATATTGAGTTTCAGATGTTAATATGGCAATGTACAAGACAGGTATACAACTGTGGATCTTGGGGAACAGCATGCTGGATATGTTATTGTGCATTTGTATCTGGGTGTTTCTTACGCAGTTTTGTATATTCTCTTTTCAGGTCCAACTTGCGAATGAAAAGCAGCTTGGGGATCATTATGGCTCCAAACATCCGAAGGAAAAACCTCCTTCGGTGTCTAGCTAAGTTACATGTCTTTTGTCTTCGGAGCATTTCCTACGAAAGTTCGAATAACTACAAGTGCTTTCTAGGTGTGCTTCCCATGTTTATGTATAAGTCTGTGTCATTTAAGCTAAATTACAACTTGTTCTATATGATTTTGTCAGTACATACTGTTTGATGATCATCAAAGGTGAAGAGAACTGCTCCTATGCTCTGAATGCTGTCTGAATGGTGCCAGTGCAGACCCAAATTCTGAAGGTCTGCGACATTTCAGGAGGTAATTCTCCTTTCCGAAGCCTCCCCAAGATGGAGAGCTTCTTTCCTGGAGCCTTTTAAATTGACTGTTAGAAATATTGGTCCGACAAAAATTTTTTTGTTAAGCCAGGAATGGGGAATGTCCAATTGTTGTCTTGTGATAGTAATCCACAGATGATCAATAAATAGGATTGTCGATTTAGTTCTCTCCTTTCTTTTCACTTGTCTTGCTTTATCTTCATCCCTTTATTATTTTTCCCGCTTGCTTTGTGGTTGTGTTTGCAACATTGGATCTCGTCCTTGCTACTCTCACCTCGTTGTGATTGGGGAGTAAGATGGGTACGATATAATGGTCCGCGTTCCTTCACGGATTATGTTCACAACTCACAAATCCTCGAACTTTCTCCAGGTGCGCCCCTGTATGTTGCGAGCGAGCTGTGGATATGGATTGAAAACAGCTTCGAACCCCTTATTAAATAAAGTTTAAACAGAATCGTAGTCCCTGGACCCTGTTCCAAAAAACACAGTTGTAGTTTTTTTTTTTTTTGGAACGGGAAGTCGCTTGTAACCGGTATAAAGGGTGGGTTTTATTTCAAATAATAAAAATTGTGGCTCTACTTGAAATAAAAGAAAAGAAAAGGGGAATTAAGAAGCACGGGGCAATTGACGGAACCATTTCCCTGCATTGCCAACCCCTGATTTCTTTCTGAGTGTTCCCTTTCCATTTTTTTTTTTTTGGGGGGGGGGGGATCCCCGAGTTAAAATTATGCCCTGCATAGAATTGTGGAGAGATAATTAGTTTTGTGTATCTTAGATTTTTACTTTCAATTTAATCAAAGCAGGCTCCCCTGCCATTTCTCCCGCGTTTGAATCACGACGATATCATCTCCATATGTCATTTTGAGCCATATTCTATTCTGAGTTTGGCAATTCTTACAAGCACTTTAAAAAACTGTTTTAATGCAAGTTGAAATGTTTTTTTGTTAATTTTGTAAAATCATCAAAAAGCTAATCCGAACATTGCTCAAGTAATCTTCAATGTCCGGCTTGATACTAATTATTGTTAGGCTAAGGTGCTACAAGTATTGACATTTAACCCGTAAACTATACTCCCTTGGAAGAAATATTTGATCAAGGATCAAAAAGTTACTTAACATTTAAAATTAATAAAAGATAATATGTAAAAATTATATTTTTTTTAAAAAATATAGTTAAAATTGGTTAAACAGTTAATATAATAAATATATAAAAATTATATAATTTTTTTCAAAAATGCCTTTTTTTTTTCAAAAAATAAGGATGAGAGTATGAGGAAGAATTAAAAAAATAAAATAATAAATATATTGAGTATCAAAATAAGTAATTAATGTGATAAAATAGAACACTAGTCAAGAAAATTTAAGAAATTTTACAAATATTTCTCATAAATAAATAGCAACAAAATAGAAATGGCACTTGTTTCTTATAAAAACTAAAAAAGAAAAAAAGGGGGAGTAATGTATTCGCACTTTAAACTTCCATGTCAAAATGGATACTTGGAAAGAGAAATTGAAAGGAACAAAGTTTAGATGCATGAAGGAGGAAGCATACTTCTACAAAGTGTTCACGTGCCAGTAAGAAACTGCAAAATTTACGTATTCATTCATAAGTCAATTTTATCAAGAGAATTTGATGTTTTTAATTTGAAATACTACAAGTTGTATAAATTTAGTCGTACAAATTCACCGATTTTTTGGGCACCGGATTAAATTTATATTCAATAAAAAAGACCTGAAAAATTTCAGAACTCATCTGGCTTCCACGCGTCCAGAAAGCTAGATGTAACAGTTCAGGAAGTAACTGAACCGTAAATTTCAACTGCACATGAAAGCTAATGAGAATCTATCACTCCAAAATAATCTGTATAAAGGCTTAAACGATAAAATTTCCAACTACGAGTATGATATTCTTACATGAATCTCTTACAGAGGAAAGACATGTATTATGTACATTAACCCAAAAAAAAAAAAATTCATACAAAGTTCAACTAGAACCCATACCTTCTTCAGTTAGAGCAGCGTCCAGAACTTAATGACAATCAAATGTATTTGCAACCTGTCCATTAAAAGCCTCTTTCTACATCAAAGGAATTGTGCATATATTCCCATAAGAATCATATCATCTTCTTCCTCCATTAGCCCAATTCTCATCCACAAACTCTTCAATAACAAGCTAAATGATATTTGATTCATCAATACTTAAAATTAGAACCATATGAAATCAAATTTAAACAAAGAATAAATTAGCTATAAGGAATCTCAAACCAATTGCTTCGGCTAATTAGATTCATGGATGAGCTTGTTCAGAAGGGTCGTCAACAGTACATCTCTCCTTTCTGCTCGGCTCTCTTCTCTCATTCTTCTCTGTTCTTCTCTATCCCTCCATGCCTGCTCAATAATCAATCTCTCCCTCTCAAGCTTCTCCATTGACTGCCGCCATTCCTGCTCAAACAGCTGTCTTTCTTGAGCACGCCTTTCCATCATCTCCCTCCACTGCATCTCCATCCTCAGCTGTTGCTGGAAAAATTCCTTGAGCATATCCTGAATGCTATTGGCAGTATTACTGATAGCATCTGATGCAATGTTCGCCCTTGAAGACTTCTCCATTGCGACCTTGTCTGCTTTCCTTTTGCGAGAGTTGCTTCTTACAGGTCTTTCCTCTTCACTGTCATCTTCAACCTCATCATCATCTTCTGAGAATTCCTCAGAGGACCGATCTCCAAGTCTTTTCATCCCCTTCTTTGTCTGAGTTGAGCGGGCCTCAGATTCAAGAAGTAATCGCCGCATGCTCTGTGCTCTTTGAGCAAAGATGGCATGCAATTCTTCAAAAAAGGGGCATTGTCTCCCATGCTCGGGATCTGATGTCTCTTTCCCCTGCACAAACATTATTGTCATGTAATTTTTACAGGGCACGAAAGTAAAATATGCGCTTTGAGTTCTTCTCACAAGGAAAGCCATCATACATAAAACTAATTTTTCCCCTACATCTCCTTATATTATATGCACAACCAATAATATGAAGCCTTAGATAAAGAAATCTAGATATAACGAAATTAGAGATAACAACCTTTTATTATTACTCGTAGACGAATTTAGCAAATCCCAACTTCAATCACGACAATGAGGGATGAGTAACCCCAGCTACATTAGTCATAGCATTGCAAACACGTTCGCCTATGAATTAGAGTGAAAGAATGATATGAATTATGAATTCCCTAGAAAGCTTCAAATACATGCCATTAACTACTGAGTGCTCACTGCTCAGATCGGCCTTGCCCCAAAACTTCATGTGCCGATCCAATTATTTTCCAAGAAAACAGGCACCTATGGCTATCATTACTTTCGCAAAGGATAACGTTGAGTAAGTTTCTTTCAGGAAACCCCGCAATTAACTAAATGAAATCCAAAAAATCTCTAGATGCATGGAATCGCACGAAAACGCACACAAGCGAGTAAAGAGTGACACCTTATAACGATTAACGAGGTTTTTCCACTTGCATTTACACTGTTCAGGACTCCTCCTGAAGCCTCTCTCCCTCATCTTGGCACTGACAACCTCCCAGAGGGTCTTATTTCGCTTAGACGCAGTGAAGTCCCGTTCCAGCTCCGCACGGATCGCAATGAACTCCCTCGTCTCCTGCTGGCTCCACTGCGGCTGCGCTGGAACCCTGTCATCCCTCACCGGCGCAGCTGCCGTCGACGGTGACATCTCACCGGAAATTACCGACGACGTGGCGGGTTTAAGGAGGGACGGCGTCACGATGCCCAAGCGGGCCAAGGCCTCGCCTTCTCCTCCTCCGAACATCGTAAGGACGTCGTATGAATGTTGGAGAGAAGCTGGAATTAGGGTTTGTACTTGCAAGAAGCGTCGAGGCAGTATTTCGATTTGGTGATGCTTGAACCTAGAAAGTAGAAAAGGCTTCTTTCTGCGCCGCTTTTGGATTTTTCACTTTGCCGAGTTTTCTTTGTGGACAAGACAGGAATCGTTGACTATGCACTTTCTCTGAATTGACCTCTCAAACATGCCAACGCGTTTTCTCGTTTGTGGTTCGAGAAAGAATCGCTGTATACGTGGACCAAGTTGGAGCCTTTTTTCCCCCACTGCATTAAATTGGGTTATTCCCCAAAAGAAAAAAAAGATCTCAACCTCTGCCGCCAAATAGATTTTTTTTTTTTGAATTTTTTTAATAACAGATCAAAGTTGCCCCTTTTCAAAATCTGACAAATGAAGCCACAGTCCGGCAATAAATCAAAACATTAATTCTTTTTGGGTTAAGGTGCGCCCAACACCCCGAACTATTTATCCCAGGTGCGTCCAGTGACCTAAAATAATTTTGGGTGCATCCAGTGTCCTAAACTAATTAAAATGGTGCGTCCATATCCTAAGCTAACATAAATGTTATGTTTAACCGTTACTTTCCTGACTCAACTTAAAGTTGACCCAGATATTCTACATGGTAGACACATGGGCACCCGATGTGTATTATTCTTACTCAAAAGTCAATTTATTTAGAAGAAGATGAAGGAAATAAATTCAATTTTGAGTAAGTATAATACACATCAAATGTCCATGTGTCTACCATTTAGAATATCTGGGGTCAACTTTAAACTGAGTCAGGAAATTAACGGTTAAACATAACATTTCTGTTAGCCTGGGATATGGACGCACCATTTTAATTAGTTTAGGACACTGGATGCACCCAAAATTACTTTAGACCACTAGACGCACCTGGGTAAATAGTTCGGAGTGTTGGGCGCACCTTAACCCATTCTTTTTTAGTTCACCGCAATTTGATGATGTAGGGGGTGTTTGGGTGATAACCCAAACCATGGTTTGGCGACCCAAACCATGACTTGGGAAAAAATCACCCAAATACCTTTAAAAAAACCAAAACATGATTTTGAGAAAAGCAAAAATTTTTGCTTTTGGAAAAAAAAGAGAGAGTGTAAGAGCCTATAGGATATGTATCTTGTTGTTTTTTTTATAAACATATTTTTTATAAATATATTTAATCTTATATCTTATAAATATATATACATATTAATTATTTATTAATTATATTATCTTATGTATTATTAATTATGTTAATAAAAAATATATTATTAACAATTTTATTCCTTCAAATTAAAATATATCATAAAATATATTTTTTCTGTAATTATCATATTAAATTATGCCTTTTTTAGTAATTCGTACATGTAAAAAGTGCTTCTGGTAACAACTATCTAAACACTCTCACTTCTCAGAATCACTTTTTCACAAAATCTATTCTTCAAAAAATATTCTCCCCAAAATCTATTCTCCAGAAGTTATTCTCCAAACACTGGTTTGATTATATCCAAACACTGATTTGATTATATCCAAACACCCCCGTAATCTCTTGCATAACAGCATCTAGAAAATAAGATCCTTAACCATTTATATATACAACAAATTACTGTTATCAATTTGAGTTCAAACTGTCTTAACGCATGAGCCATCCTATTTCAAGCTCGAAACATTTGAGATTACTGAACATTGGAAAGGCGGAGTGCCTTCGGACTCAATGATTTTATATTTTATGTTAATTTGTTTTGATGATATTGATATATTATATTGATCTTATTTATTACAATTCCTTTTCGTTCCAAAGGTGCTCTCAAATTCACTGTGGCAGAGGTGTGATTCCCTCTGTTTTGTTAGTTATTTACTTATTTAATGTTGGAGAATTATTGCGCTTTAATTGTCCAGTTACGTATTCCAGAGTCAATGGTAGGTCAAAACTCAACTTGGTTATGACTTCGCAAGTCAAGGTCGAGACTGGAGCCGAGATGGGTTTGGTATTTCCTTTTGAATGAAGTGGTCGTCATCCATTTTTCTTCAGTCAGCAATAGACAAGATTGTTTGATTTCGTCGAGAAGAATAGTTTTACTGTACTGAGTTTCGCTGGTAGGTTCCATCTAGGCGATACTGAGATTTGCTAGTATGTTACATGGTTCTCCTGTGAGCTTTGAAATGCTTACCCATTTGTTCAGGCAGCATATTGGCTGGCGTGAACATGATTATCAATCTCTAGGGGCTCAAACAGTTAAGGGAGATCCCAAGTTTTTGTTCAATTCCTGATTCCAATCCCGCGCAAGCCCCTCCCTCGATTTCCCAATCCACCGTCTCGTCATCACTCATCGCCTTCCCCTTAATCTCTCAGAATCTTCGTGTTTCCGGTCATGGATTGAATCCTTTTGCACCATATTGTGTTGTTCTAGCTGATTCGTTGCCCGTAGATTTTATTGATGATCTCTCTGTGATTTCTTTCTCAAAGCATGTGATTAGGGGAGTATGCCATCGTCCTTGGTAGATCTTAGTTTTCAGAAACTCAATATTCTTTGGGTTTGGACGGTTCTGTCATCCTTATCAATTTACAAGCTTTAACATTGCTCGTTTAGATTACTGAATGATATGCCTCACTCCCCAGGAGGAACAGGTTTCGTTTTGAAGGAGCACAAGAAGTCGCTCGTTAAGACCTCGGGCAGCTACAGATACGGGGGTTGAACATCACGTGGGGGCTCGGAAAGGGATCTCAAAGTGGTGAGTTCAATTCCCAGGTCCTTAATGATGAAAAACATTTTTACATTTCGTTTGCATTCTTTTTAATTGTAGAGATGAACTCATTATACTAACCAAGCTCCCAATAAACATTAGTAAATAAAAAAACAGGGCAAACTTATGACTTATTTGAAGGTAAAATTATGCTAGGCACCAAGGGAAAGAGAGAAAACAAATTAAAAACAAAAAGGGATTTCGGGCCTTGTTGACTGCTTTCTTCATTTTCTGAAACTTAGAATCTTGTCTAGGTATCCAATATCCATCATCTCGTTTCTTGAATATTCATGTTAGTCTCAAATATATGGGAGCTTGAGAGATGACCTGGAGTTGGAGATCTTAAGTAGAGGCCTGTGAGGGCTAACAACTGGTTAGGCTCCAATATGAGCCAAGCGCCCAAACAAAAAAAAAAAAAATCATTGTTGGTGTTTACATTTCTGATTGTCATGCTCCAAGAAGCTGCTTACCTGAACTCCTGATGTTGCTGGGTTGAGTGGTGGGAGATAAATGGACTGACCTGTATAACACTATCCAATTTTTACTTGTGTTCAAGCCCCACTGAGGATCCCATTTTGGGGAGTTTTGCTTTCTGTCATTGAAGGAGTAGCAGACTCTGAAGAGCTGGACACTAAAAATTGCAAAACAACAATATAAACTAACTGGAAAATGGAAATTTTGCTTTCTTATAGCACCTTTATGTGGGAAACATCGTTCAGAATTAACTAATAGGATTATTTCTCACTGTTTGAAGTTTGAAATGCGATCTGTTTTGGTTCCCCTTTTCTCTTCTCAAGCGTTATCTGCCGATGGAAAAGAACTATTACTTGTGTTGATAAAATCTAGTAGAACAGGGATGGGAATTGATCTGGAGCAACACTTTCCTGAATATGTTAATTTGAAGTTGTACAGGAAGTGCTGAGTCTTCTTACAGCACCTCTATGAGGTAGGCATTCTTCAGAATTAACCAATAGGAACATCAAATCTTTTGCCCACTGTATGAAATGAAAATCTACTTCTGTTCCGCTTCCCTTCTGTGAAGCATTATCTTTAAGAATGCAAGTAGATTTATGTAGGTTGTCAAATTATATTACCAGCAGATTGGAAATTGATCGGGAGCAACACTGTTTTGATAGATGTGAATTGGCTGCATTTTGGGCTGGGTTTAGTAACATTCCTGTGGAACAGATAGAAACTGAGGTGCTAATTTTGCTTGGTTCCTGTGGTATTTATATGCAAATTTTTCACATTTTGGATTGTCAGCTGGTGTCAGCTCATATTGCTTTGTATTGGTCAGGATCTAAATGTAGTGCTGATAACGTTTGATATGTATGCTTGGCTGATAAGATATGACAATGATTATGTGCAAGCACGAGAGCCACTTGATTCCCTCAAGTGGAATTGAGACTGTCGTTTATTTATGTTTGAATGCTGGCTCTGATCTGTTATATTCCCTGTTCTCATGCATTCAGTAACTTGAAAGTTCAAAATGAGGTTTTCAAAATGTTGGTTCCATTTAGATATTGCCATCTGGATCAAATTGGCTTTTGTCTCGGGCAATTGCTAACACTCTTGCTGAACAGGTAAGAAAACTTCTCAATGAAGGAATGGGTGAAAATGTCGCTGCATTGGGCCCAAAATCAATAAATGTTCTATAGGGATTTTTGTCCATTCTTAATCTTGTTTCATTCCATCTATCAGGTGTGAACTAATTCAAGAGTGAAATAAACAAGCCACTTACATGTAATGTGTAAGTTTATGGATTGATTTGTCATCTGGGAAGGCAGTATTTCAATATGTCAAAAGCACATGGAGAGCTGTGGTGGGAACAGGGCTTGCCACCATCTTGACCATATAAGATTATTGATTAATTTGTCCCCTGTGTCCGGACTATTTATTGCTCCCCTGGCCATATATGGTTCCATGATACGAAGGAATCAAAAGTTTGTGGTAGAGGCTTGTTTGGTTCTGATCGATTTTTTTTTTCTCGGGGACAAAAAAATTAACTACAGTTTTGAAAAACTATGCAGGTACAAAAATCTTGTGTTCACCCTAAGACGACGAGTTTGATGTTTGAAGGCGACATTACTTTGCAATATCAACTCAAGAATTTGAAAGTGTACTCTCTTGGATCGTTAACCCAACATAGTAATGCCAAATTGTTATATCCATGCCTGTCTTGTGACGTTTCTACTTTTGACGAAACCCAAAGCGCAATTTAGACAAGACTTTTAACACACAGGCGTGTATATTCTGTTGTACTTGTCCATGGGGAAAGTTTATCCCGAAAAAGGGAAAAGTGGATTCTTAAGCTTTTCTTGTAAATTTTGTCACGTTTGATCAGAACTTGCGTGCATATCAACCACTGTTGATATTGCTTATCAGAAAAATGGAAACATGAAACTGTTGAACTTACATAGAAGTCATTCGGATCAGTTAAAAAACATCTTTGCTTTTTTATGAACAAAACTCTTTTTACTAGTACAAAATAAATTTTATTTTCCACAATTAATCCCAGTGACACTTAAAATAATCAGATAAAAAATCGAGATTTTAAATATTAAAAAACTGCTATTGTATATTTTGTCACTTTTCTCGAATCGTATCTTATATATTTACTTCCTACCCTTTAGGTGCTACAAACTTGAGAGAAGTGTCTGTACATATATAAGTTTTATTTCATTATATTATTTATAAATAAAAAATAATTAATCTATTTTTCATGCTTGAGCTCCACACACTAGATGTGAATACAAATGAATTGTTAGGAAATTTTTAAATTTTTATTAGTCCTTGAATCATATTAATGCTCAGTGGATTTCATCTTCTCAAGCGGTGGTGGAAAAAGTTGTCACTTGTGACTTACGATGAACTACAGCTAATCTGAAAACAAAGTGAGCATAAATTAACTAAAAATCTATGAAAGGTGTCAATTAATCAGATTTTTAATGCATTACAAGAGTTGACATTCCACCGAAAAAATGAAAATCAAATTCTCTATCATTTCGTCTCCTCCAGAATAAATCCAAGTTGAAACTTTTTAGACAAACACGGGCCAGTCAAGTGTCAACCACTTGCGCAGGCGGAGGCACGTGAATTTCCCCGTTTCAACCTCTCGTTGCCGGCATTGTTCATCACCACCGATTCATATTATATTATCTTCGTTCTCATTCAACCCATCCCTTTGGTCGCACTTCAATTATAATCATTTTCCCACTAAACGACAAATTTTCACTTTCAGCATCCAAGTCCAAGATAACTACCCCATAAAAAAATAATAATCTATTTATAAAGTACAATCAGCCAGGGAAAAAAAACAAGAAACAGAAAAGAAAAGTTAGGTTTCTATGAAAAAAAAATTAGAAAAAACCATTCCAGAAGGATCTATTTTTTTATTTTTAATTTAACATCCTCACGTTTTTTTAATTAAATTTTTAATTTTGTTCTATTAATATTATTAACCCATGTATAAAATTAAAAATGAGAACAAAGTTATAAGAGCTAAAATTATTAAAAAGATAAAATTAAATGATTTAATTAAGAAAACACATGATATCAAATTAAAAATTGAGGATTTTTTTCAAAAAATTAAAAAAAGAAAAAGAAAATCAATCTATGTCGGATGACTCCGGCGGTTCAGGAATCGGCATTCTGGGTAATATATGAACGGCAGCTGCTTCAAAACCTGCCGGCAAATCCACCTCCCAGAGTCGCGCCGGCGATGATACCACGTCCACCACTGATATCCCTACGCCGCCGGCGGAAACCACACAAATTCTTCCGCCTTGAGCGGCGAGTTGCTCCGCTCCTCTGAGCCTCTCGGATTGCATAACCTCTTCCCAAGCATCATTCTTCGCATTGTACTTGCTCAGAGCGCTCTTCGCTTCGTCCACCGCGTACATCACTTCCTCATCCATGGCGGCCACAGGCCCTCGCCATCCTGATAACATCCCCTCCGGCATGTCGTTCCACTCATCGTTCTCAACGTCGTACATAATTCCTTCCTTCGCCGCATTCCCTTTCACGTTTACCATACAGATCTTCCCTCTCCATCCCACCGCATCGATTGCGTCTCTGCTAAACCTTCCGTCCTTCAGACCCGTTTTCTTCTCCCAAACCTCGCCGGATTTCCCATTTAAATCCCATTTCTCAAGCGATCGAGCGACGTCGATGGAGAATTGCGTTCCGATTCCGCTAGCTACGTAGACCGAGCCGCGAGCGGTACCCAGGGCGCACCACCGGCGAGGGTTGGGGAGCAAGGGGCCGACGTTCCAGTCCCGGCGAAGGGGGTTGAAGATGAGAGGACGGGAGAGGGCAGGGTAGAGGTTGTGTGCCGTGGCAGCGAGGAGCACAAGATTGCCGGAGACGGCGATGGACTGGATTGGGAGGTTACGAGAGAGGAAGGAGGGGTGGCGGAGGAGGATGCGGAGGGGAGGATCCGGCCGAGGAGGAGGAAGGGAGCGCCAATGGGACGAGATGGGATCGAAGCTATAGAAGTGAATTGAATCGGAATAGGCTTTGCAAGTCAAAACGGCGTAGAGAGAGAGAAAAGGAGGGAAGGAAGAGGAGTATATAAGGCGACGCCATGAGTGGCAAACGGAGAAGAGGATGGAAGGGTGAATCAGAGAGAGACACAACTGGGCTATATGATCGGGAAGACCAGGTATCAGCGGCGGCGCGTGGTGCTCAAGAAGAATCTTTCGGCGTTTGGAGGGAGGGACCCAGAAAGAGTTAGTATTGGCAGCCATGGAAGTTGCCGGCTCTGTGCTGTGTTACAGAAATTTCGAAGGTCAAAGGAGGAAGAAACATTGATGTGCTTGGATATCTATATAAACAGCTTAACAAGAGGCCCGAGTTAGAAGCGCAATTTGTTTCAGACAGGACTTGCGTTAATTGAAAACGTAAAGTTACATTTTTTTACCTCAATTATTTAATTCATTCAATGGACATCTATTGCTACGTGCTCCTTTTCCAGCTACCGGTTCTTCGACATTAAATGTGGAGATCGTCGTCTACTAAAGTTTCACTTCAAAAAATTTGGCTGTATAAAGATATACTACTGATTGCATGACCTCAGCCATGGATAACATAATAAATTTTTAGAAAGACTTGTCATATTTGATAACTTAAAAAAAATAAATAAATAAAGAACTAAAAGAAGTTTAAAAATGTAATATTTCAAATCAGGCATCTAAGATTTCAAAATTCCAGAAGAGAAAGTGGTGCCTAATTTGATATTTCGCAAATATAATTAAATCATTAAAATGCTCTTATATTAAAAAGCTTATTAACGCTGGTAAAAAAAACTTATTAACGAATTGTAAACTGATATTTGATACTCCCTCAATCCTAAATATAAGACTCTTATACTAGTATGTATAACCGTCTTATATTTAGAACCGGAAGAGTAACTTCAAAGAGAAAAAATGATAAATAAAGGAGTTAAAAAAATGTGATATTTTAAATCAGACATCTAAGACTTTAAAATTATAGGAGAGAAAGCGGTGCCTAATTTAATATTTCGTAAATATAGTAAAATGGTTAAAATACTCTTATACTAAAAAATTTATTAATAAGTTGTAAACTGATAACGACAAATGCTGAACAACAAATGACAAGAAATATTCTAGTAATGACAGGTTATTTGTTAACAAATTATGAACTGATAATGACAGGTGTGGAACAACCAATAACAAGAATGTATTGGTAAAAACAGGGTTGATAGCTTTTCTTTTTTCAAATATAATATAAGAGCATTTTAGTCATTTAACTACATTTACAAAATATAAGATCGGACATAACTTTATTCTCTATCATTTCCAACTTTTATGTACTTAAATTGAGAAATGATAATTTTAGGGTTTTTTTTTTCAATTTTTTCTCTTGAAAAAATATAAATTTTATATTAAATTTTTATGCGAAAAATAATTTTATACACCCTCTTTAAAAGTTGTTGCTCTTAGAGTTTTGGTTTTCTTTTAAAAAGTAGGGAAGGATTTTTATCCGTCTTAAACTTTATAAACTTAAACTTGACTTATCCTAGTTCTTATAATCTTGATTCGATAAAAATTCAACCCAAACTACAATGTTTTAAAATGTTAAAACGGTTGTGTCACAACAAATTAGAGTTTATGAAATGAGTTCTAATTAAGTCAAAATATATATATACCAAATGATTAGTTTTATTTTTTAAAAAAAGTAATTTCCACCGTTGCTTCCAGTGTCTAATGGAATACTCTGTGCTAACTAGTGATTCATCTAAAAGAGATACAGATTTGAACAGAAACACTCTTCATTTACTTAGAAAAAAAGAACATTAATTAAGGATATTTTGGTAAAAAAATTAATGCAGCATATAAAACGAATGGGATTATATATATATATATATGAAATTAAAATAAAATATCGAAAAAGGTCTTGTACTTGGAATTAAAGGGGTATATGTATGGGCTTGTTTTGCCGCTATCATCTATCTCTGTCTTTGTCTCCAAGCTATAACTGATGGCGTCGTCGTCCAATATAACTGAAGAAACTAGCTTTGCTCCAAAATGCTTGCACGCTTGGAGTGCCACATGGCCCAGAGTTGAAAAGAGAGGACAATTATGATAAAGATGTGCCATTATAATGAAAGGTCGAAGAAAAAAGTTAATAAAAAGATTAATATTACTAATGTTCCAAAAAAGAAAAAAATAATAATAAAACGTATGGACTTATAAAAAGGTCCTCCAAAAGTTTATGATGGGATATTTTGGCCCCTCTACAAAAGAATGTGAAAAAATATAAATTCAATTTGTAAGTGGATTGTGGTGGGGTATAGTGTCCAAGCCTTCTTGATTTAACACACACACACACACACAGAAAGTGACCTAATTAAGTGCTGCACAACAAAGTGGATATTTGGCCAAACCAAAACAAAAAAGCGGATATAAATATAATTTAAAAACTGCAGGAAAAAGTTCAGCAAAAAAAAAGAAGTAAAAACTACGGGAAAAATGATGTATTACCTCTGGTCTTATTTATAAGATCTTATTTGTAGTTTACAAACGATGTTTTATAAATAAAACCGGAGGTAATAATGTATTCTACCCATGAATAGCACTGTGACTTAAGATATAAGACCTGTATTAAAGCTGAACTTTGGTTATATTTTAGCATAATATTTGTTTTTTAATTTCAGAATCAACAGTTCTTTGGCCAAAAAATGTTTTCAGAATTAGCAGTTCACATTAGATGATTTTATCATAAATACATCTTCTCGTGCCAAGTTATGGTTGAGACAAATTCAAAATTACTTAATCATCTCAAAATTAAACCATTAACATGGAAACAGAAACAAAATATTGCAAGCTGAGAAATTAGATGCAATATTTTGAAGAGTCTTCTGCTGACATGAAACAAGCCTCTCGAGGGATGAAACAGGAACCAAGTAAACGAAACAAGCACAAAACATTACTTATATATATAAGAATGATCCTAAGCGATCGAATACTACTTACTCTCTGATTGTTATTATAAGGTAGTTTCAGTTAATTAATACGAATTAAAAAATAATATTACTTTTCGTCTTAATTATAAGACTTCGTTTATAGTCTATAAATGAGACTCTATAATTAGGATCATAGGTAACAGTAAAGACATACTTTTAATGAGGTTTTGAGTTAGAGAGAGAAACACACTTTTGAACATGAATTGTAGAACTAAAATTATATTGAAGAAAAAAAATCCTTCTAAAATATAGCTTATAATAAAGAAAAGAGGAAGCAAATAGTACTGGTGGAGGTATATCTCTGCCAACAGGAGGAACATAGTTTCAATATATATATATATATATATATATATATATTAAAAGAGGATGTAAATAGTACTAGTGGAGGTATATCTTTGCCAAACATGGTATTTATCTATAAGTCATTTGTATGATAATTAACGATTTTTTTTTAATTTTATCCTTATTAGCTTGATAAATGTAGAGAAAAATAAGGTAAATAGTTGAGTAAAATATAAAACATATTTTTAATACTCTTTTTTTAGTAGGAACAACCGAACAAGTATGAAAAAAAAAATTAATTTAATACATTTTTTAATTTGTAAATTTAGATATAAGTAACTTATTAAAAAAAAAAAAAGAGCTGGAACACAAGCTTTGACGATAGTTCACCTCTTTAAGGGAAGGCTCTCGGGGTATGAGAAACCGGTGAAGTGGAATGTAAAAGAGAAGTATTCCCACGGATTTGGGAAGGGAGGGCACGTGGATTGACTAGGATACATCATATGCCCTCTGACATTTCCAAAAAGTTGGCGCCTTTCGGGCTTAATTAAATACCTAAAAAGTCGTTGGGAGTGGGGGCAATATAGCAGTGTCTTCAATTCTCATTGTAATTTCTAAATAATTAACTTATAAATAATAAATAAATAGTTAAAAATATAGTTTTATTTTGAAATATATATTTATAATAAATAAAAAAATTATGAAAGAGAATGTATGAAAAAATGTGATAAAAAGTACTCCTCCGGTCCTTATTATAAGACCCAATTTGACTTTTTATTTGGTCTTAATTATAAGACCCAATCCATTTTCTCTCTTATATTTATGCATTTTTTTCCAAGATAATCCTTCTAATAATGATAGTTTTAGCCAATATACTTAATTAGCAAGGATATTTTAGAATAACAACACTTATTTATTATAAATAACCAACTTAACTTACTTCCTTAATCTCCTCAAATAAGTCAATTGGGTCTTATAATTAGGACCGGAGGAGTATAACAAAAAAAGAGAATAAATAATTAAAATTAAAATTAAAATTTTTCTTAAAAGAGTGCATCAAATATTTTAAAAAATTTAAAATTTAGAAATAATCAAGTCCCACCCCACCCCAACGCTACCGCCATTAATGAGTGGTTCCTCACACTTGCCTCCCCACTACGCATTCCTCCCTATTCTCTTCTTATCAGGGCCGCCCAAAAAACAAAAAAAAAGAATATGACTTGTGAACATCCTAAAATCTTTTAAAAATTAAATATATGCCAATTCTGATTCTAAATACGGAGAATCTTATTTAAATTCAATTAAAGTAATGAAATTTAAAATCACATCTTCATTTTGAATAAATTTCTAATTAGGTCAAAAGGCCTAATTAAAAATTTATGAATATTATTAAAAAAACTAAAATACCCCTATATAATTAAAATACGAGCTATTAATTTTATAATTTTCTCACTTATGAATTCTTTTCTTAAAATATAAAAATAATAAATTATAATACTGTCTTCAATCCGAAATTTGTTAAAAAAAAATCGTTGTCTGAATAAGTTTTCTACTCTTAAAAGAAATTGTATGTGTGTGTATATTATTAAGTATGTGGAGGATGGATTAATATTAAAACTAAGTAGAGATTAAACCCATCCAAAATTAAAATCTATCAATGACCTACACTGTTACATTGATGATAGTGTTAGAGTAATTATTAATATAAATTAAGGATTGTGTTGTAATTTTCCATCGTCTACTAAAGATTTACTATTTTCAAATTTCAGAAAAATCCAACAAAATAATTTAGAAGAATCTGTGAAGAAGAAAAATATAAAAATAACAAGTCGTATTATAATTATAGAGATGTATTCTGGACTTTTACCAACATTTATAAATTTCTAATTAGCCCTTTAGCCTGGTTAAGGATTTATTCAAAGTGTAGGCCTAATTTTAAATTTTAGTATTTTAGTTAAATTTAAATGGGGTTCTTCTTTTTTAAATATAAGAGTTAGTGTGCGTATATATATTTAATTTTGTTATGAGCGCAAGATTTTAATCCAACATGTCTTTTAAATTTATAATTTTTCCCACTTTTTTTTTATTTACTGCATATATTAAGGGAATTCTTTTATCAAGAGAGTGATTTTTAATGCAAATGATGCAAAATGGGTGTTTAAAAAATGAGCACAAATTTATAAATAATCAATTTAGTTAATTTATTCAATTTTTATAAATTAATTATTTGACTCTTATATTTAGATGAAAGCAGTATATATTCGTGCATAATAACGATCTTAATGAGGCAAAAGAATGAATTTTTAGAATGGGGATCAATGGATTCAACTTGGCTTTCATATGACCGATAAAAAGAAAAAATGCGTAGCTAAGCGGGAACCACAGAATTGTCAATTATTTCTTATTTGTGAACTAATATTCACAAAGATATTTTAAAAGTTTTAAATTCTAAGGATTTTTAATCTTATTTAATCGATGAATTAATTTTTTTTAATCACAAATATTTTTTCACTAAAAATAATTCTATTTGAGGTATGTGGACACCAATATACTGTGTCAAAGGCTAGCATCAGCGCTCATCTATAACTGGGCAGGCAAAGTCCAAAACTAGCGCGTCGCTGTGGGGCTGAGTGAGTTTGAGCAGACGCCACCTGTTTGTTACGCTTAATTGACAATTTTGTGGTTTCTTTTAAACGCCCAAATAGCCCTCATTAAGGGTAAGGAGAATTCAGGTAACGATAAACTGATGATGCCATCCAGTTGAACAAATTTTCTCTATATATATGTCTTGGTTTGAAAAACCAAATTATATTAATCATAAATTTTGGATACAACTAAATAATTAAGCTGGTAACTATATTTTTGGATTATATCAGGGCGGATCAAACCCGCAACACATACATCTAACACACACCCACGCCACTCGGCCAAACGGCCAGTGGCAAGCTGGCAACTATATTAGTAATGAACTTGTGAGTCTTTCTGGTTTTGATTAAATGTATGTTGGGGGCAATTTTTCAACGCAAAAGTAACACCACCCCAAGCTCCCAACTATGTTGTAAGATTGTGGGCTATGCTTGTAATAAAGGATTTTAATTCTAAAAGGAAATGATTAGAATATAAATTTAAGTTTATATATCGATACAATCATTTTAGTAATAAATTCATATAAAGTATTTTTTGACCTCTATCCCTATCCTATTGCCGTCCACATGTTATTTGAGCAAGTGTGAGGTGGCAAAAGCCTCCATTTTCAATTTTTATGAGCCATGAGTATGATTCCGAATTCGATTCTCCCTCTGCTCCCTTTTATAAACTCTAATTAATTATTTCACAGAAACTAAAAAAATAGTTAAAATTCTTATTTCATATAAAATCTCAGAGTCATCTCCAATGGGAATCATCGGTTACAGAAATTAGAGTGATTAGTTAAGAAGTTTTATAATTACTTAGGAGCATTAGATGGAAAAATTAATATTTTAAACAAAAGATATTATTTTATGAACCATATAAAAACTATTTTAATAAGGATTAGAGACTTAATTTTCCCCAACAAAAAAAAGAGACTTAATTTTGATAAGATAGAAATCAAGTGAATAGTGGAGTTGGACCAACCGACAGAGCCGGCGTTTGGTCTCAAAAAGGCTGGTCTGTCTGTTTCTCACACTGTTAAGGCTATCATTTCAATTTCAAAAGGCTGTAGATGTACTTTGCACAGTTTTGAATGTTGTCATTAATGTGCTTTTTGTTTTTGACAGCGCGGCACCGCCCTCGGTTTGGTGAGGGGATTCAACTACATTTTTAAAATTAATTGATTACATAATTAAAAAGAATAATTATATTGCAATATTAATGGACAAATAATAATAATAATAAATTATTAATCATAACTAATTTTGACCTCAGTTGAAGGAATTGATTCCCCGTGTTCTTCATTTATATTTATAGCCCTCCTTGGCTTTTAAATTCATCCGGAAAGAAAAAATGCAACATATTTTAAAGAAAATCTCAGCTTTTGTTTTGAAAGGACTACAGCATCCTGAACCTATCTTAAATAATACATGGTCTTGTACACACAAAAAAAAAATCGCCAACCTTCAAATAAAAATATACTTAAAAGCGATAATTAAGGACTTTATAAAAATGTTAAGTTCTCATATTAAGATCTCATAACAACTTAAGTTCTCAAATTCATTATTCATTTCCTGTATTTCACTACTGAAAATTTTCAAAAAATCTTAATATGGTATTAAATCTCCTTTTAATTTAATAAATAGCATGTAAACAATTAATAATTTGTCCCCAACAAAAGTTGAATTTCATGGACTACGATATTTTTACCCCACTTTATCCGTAAATCTTCTGAAATCTAAGCTTCCCACAATGTTTGGTCATTCAGCTTCCTTTCCCTATTAACCTCGTAGAAAACACACAGAAGACCATCCATCTTATGATATCATGCTTCATCTTCTTCACTACTCTCGACAAGCACAATAGGTTTCTTGGTCTTGGACCTCTTTGCAGCTCTAAATTCGGAGCCTTGTTCATTTTTCTCATCAGGAGGCTTAAAATCAGAATACATTTCAATTTGAGCAAGGATTCTATCTCCATACTTTTCTGTCTTCAGTTTTCCAATTATCTTCTCTAACTGCGAGTGGGAAAAAGATGCAAATCTCACGGTCACAACTCCAGTTACAGCTACAATGTTCAATCGGCAATGCAATGCAGTAATAGCAGCAGGCTGAAAGTTTTGCACTGGGCCCCATGTTTCTCGAAAATTAAATATTTCTTTTCTTAGTTCGCTGGGGTATTTTATGATAGACTTCAGCTTAAATATAATGGTCAATTATCTCTTCTACAAATCCTATATTTTAACTGAATTAGTGAATTCTGAACCATTTCGACATTCTTGATGCCTTTTTCGGCTCTTCTATGTTCGTAAAGATACTAGCTCTAGTTTTAAATATAAGATCTAGTTAGTAGCGTAAATTTGCACCACAAACTAGATCTTATATCTAAGACTGGAGATAGTACCTTTTGTCCTCAACCATCCAACTACAAGCAACGAGGACGCTTCCTTTTCTGTCTAAGATGCATGCGAAACTCGTCAAACCAGTATGAAATGAATAATAGAGGAATGTACGGTATTATTCTGTGTTGTGTTTCAGCAAGATAACAGTTAATTAAGATGAAAGATCTAAACAAAAAGAGAAAAAGACCATAGCTCCAAGAACCAGTGCAAAATGAGATTATGTGCTTTAAATAAGTTACCTGTTCTAGTGAGTTTGGTCTTTGAGAACTGATGAGGCTAATTTGTTGAGTGGATAAAACAGAGTGTGGGAGTATTCCTCCATGAATGGAAGACAATTCTTTCCTCAACTCATCAAGCTTTACCTCCAGACCAGAGGAACCAGGGCTACGTTTAACTGATCTGACACCAGCCTTAGTTCTCTGATCATTAGGAATTTCAATCTTGACTGTCTTCTTTCCTGCACGTAAGAACAACAGTCTTGAGAATAGCGAAATGTCAATCTGGAGGTGAAGCAGACAGAAAAGATATGTCTTTTGAAGAAGAAAATGCCATGGATGAACATCTTAGATCACAGCAAAACAAGATGAAATAGCATCTGTCCTTGAGTTTTTGTTATTGTGACCAAGTGGGTGCCTCTACGAGATCTTGGGCGCAGAAATAGAAGACAGACCGAATACTAGATGAATAAGGGTAGGTTTGGCCATAAAACCAGAATTTCTCAGGAACTGAAAACTACTTGAACCCGATTTGGAAGAATTCAGAAAAAACAACTACTTATTAGTTGCCACGATAGATTAGGTTGCAAGAATAAGGAAAACTCGTAAAATATTGCCTACCTAGCAATATTTGCTTGGCCAATGGTCCCACAGCAACATAAGCATTTGTTGAATATGCCGTATGCTGAAATTCTTCTTTCTGCATCAAGAAACATCGTCTCCAAATCACCCAGTGAAAAAAAATACACATATATATATTTACATTTATAACATGTGCCCATTGGATCAACTAAAAAACGCTTGTGCCTTAAAAATATGTTTAATATCTGATTCTAAAGAAAAAATTGCTGCCTATCCATCTTCCCCAATCTCTACAAGCATCAGATTCAAATAGTATATGATGTTGTAATCTGGCTCATTTTATGCCACTCAATATCTTCAACTAAATAGTATACGATGTTTTAATTATATTATAGTGAACCAGAGAATGATCTAGCTTCAATATATGTGGGCCACAAAATGCTTCAATATAACAGTTCTTGATATCAGATAAATAAGATAATCATCTAGGATGTCGTTGAATTCTCCGGAAACTGACTCATGGAAAAATCTTAACAGCTAATACTTTGCACAATCGTGGCTTTACAATTGTAAAACTGGTTTGGCGTGTGTGCAAGTCCAACTATAGTTGAGGGAATTCTGGCTTTCAATTATCTCACCAAAACCCGCTCTAGCAAAAGCTGCAAGATGATCTGCTCCATTTCCTCTTTCTTCAACTCAAAATCTGGATAAATGATTGGCAGCAAAATTTAATACAACATATTACTGTACATCGCCTAGAAAAAGATTAGACTGACAAAAGGAGAAATTATATTCATACAAAGGGGAATGCGAGAAAAGGCCATGGGAAAGAGCTTTTTCTTTTGTGGGGGTTTTTTTGGGGGGGGGGGTCTTTAGGCATTAAAGAGAGAGCACAACCTAGTTCCTTCTGCTTAATTTTCATTTTGTCAACCAACTGTAACATTGTTAATCGCTGATCATTTTCTTGCATATCTTGCAACAAAGAAACCATCAGCTTTGCATGGCCTGCAATTCATCCATATTACATGAATTAATAACAGTCAGTGATGAGTATAATTAGTACCTTAAAATATATAATATTTGCTTAATCTGCACTACTCTAAAGTATAGTTCGGGCTACCACCCCCAAAAACCAACCAATTGACAAAGGTGGTGAACTGCAGTTTGGAAACCTATTTGAGGTGCTTTGGCAGAGAAAACCCAAAATGTAGGGCAAAGATGCTTCTGTGGATTTAGAATTGATTTAATACCACCTACAGCCGTTTGAGGATGACCCCTTTCATGGCCATTTATGGTAGGGATTCCCCTACCTTGTTCAAGGGTAGAGATGATAATTCCAAGATAAATGAGCAACTAGAGGTGAGGAATGAGATATTGGATCTGCTTGAGCAAGCACAAAGCAAGATAAAAGAACAATCTGGCAGGATGCAAAGAGAGGCAGAATTTCCAGCCAGAGATCTGGTTTACTAGTACATTTAGCCTTGTAAATTGAAGATATCATTCAGGAAGAAGAATGAAAAGCTAGCATCTAGATTCTATGATTGGACAGGCTGCTTGCAAGCTGAATTGCCTAAAATAGCCAAGGATTCACCCAGTTTTCAATGTGTCTCAGCTTAAGAAGTCCTTAGTTCCATCTGCAGAGGCTTAACCCTACCTAGCTTCTTGTTATAAGAGTGTGAATTGCAAGTTCAGCTAGAAGATGACTGATGGCAGCAAGCAGGTCATGATAAAATGGAGAAACTTTCCCAATTGTGACAGCGCTTGGGAGCTGGGTGGATTATGACACTTTCGGCAATCCAATTCCGAGAATTTCACCTCTGGGACAAGGTGAGGCTTGCCGCGGCCCCCCCCCGGGTGACAGCAGAACCAAGAGGGAGAGGATCCAATGTCACAAACACTTCTGTTAGGGGTAGGAAATGCGTTTTGTAGGGCTGCATGCAGCATTATTACTTAGGCAAGCTTTCTGTTTCAAGTGGGGAGAGAGTGGAAAGTCAGTGCAATAGGTCCTGCCTGTTCTAGGAAGCAACCACTGGTAGATCACCATAGGTAGGTGAATTTTTTTTTTAAGTTGACCTTATTAAGTGGGATAAGGGTATCGTCTTATAAACACAAAGCAAGGTTAATTAGTCGAAGTGATCGAACATTGCGTAAAAAGGGTGAAAAGAGACCAAAGAGGAGAAACAAAAATAAATTTTTACAATCACAATAGCTATTAAAATGGGTTAAAAAAATAATATCTAATCGAACACATGACAAAACAACATGACTTACTGGAGACGTCCACTTCTTTCACCTCACTTGGGAATGCGCAATTGTCACACATCCCTGTAAAAATGAGTTTATCATTCAAATTTATGCCAAATGACCTCAAAGAGGAGGGAATTAAAAGCAAAAGACAACCATGAAAATGTACCATTGCAGTCTTGCAGTGGCTCAGCAAAGTGCCGGAAAATGGCACCGCGGCGACATTTTCTTTTGGACTGGATGAAAATGAATTACAGTCTTAAAAATTCAAGTTCAGGTAACCAAGTATACAATTCAAATGGTCATGTGTAACAATCATTAATCAGGAGATAGAAGTTCAATCAGTGAATATTGGCAACTATCAGTTCCAAATGGCTGATGCACATTATCTCCATCAGCACGTGTGTGAAATGAAAATGGGTGAACAGATACGATCATAAAATTGTCAAAAGATGAGAAAATTTTGATTCTCATTTCTGTAATCTCAACACCCCGTTGGGGGGGGGGGGAAGGAACGAAATGTTTAAAAAAATAGGAAGTACCTGACAATATCGTACTATGTCATACAAATTCTGCAGTCCTGTGTTTTCGTAGAAAACCATTGAACTCTGTCAGAAAATCATGATAATAATTATATAGTCCATGAATCAAACACAGGCACACAAATAGAAATGCAGAAGAAATTAACGAACACCCAAGCATGTAAAAATGTGCTTGGGCTTGAGAATAAAAAATTCTGGAAGGTTAATCACATGCTCCTCATCTAAAGGGGAAGCTGAAGATCATAGGCCAAAATCTATGGGTTAATATTTGAGTTCAGCAAAAAAAAAAAAAAGGGTCCTATCGGCTGCAAGCTTCAGATCTCATGGAAAATGATATACATACAAAGATTTGAGAAAATGGATTTGCCAATCTTTACCTGTCGGGGCACATCACCAGGTCTAAAGTAGAGAACACATTCAGATGGGAGTCCATCTCTGCCAGCTCGACCACTTTCCTGTAGGAAGGGTTTGATGACAGGGGAAAAATGCGACATGAAAAAACTATAGCAGGGATGGCTCAAACCTGGTAGTATGTTTCCATTGATTTGCTCAAGCTGTGATGGATGACGAATCTGACTACAAGCAAAAACCTCCCATTGAATATTCTCATCGTATATGAATGAAAAAGCAAAAACAACAAGCATGTTCAGCCTATTCCCAAAGTGTTGCTGACTTGTAAAAAATATGATATTCATACCCCCTTTCTTACATGCATAAAATGTCACATCACTAATGACTGTACACCAAACAAACACCCCTCAAGGGCAAAAGAGAAAATTGGTTTTTGCAAGCACATAAGAATCATTGTCCAGATTACCAAAAAGAGCAGGATGGCAATTTTGAAATACTAACCATCTGGTTTGTTGATTCCCATGCCAAATGCCACCTGAAATGCACATTCAAATAGATTTAAAAGATATCAGGCTAAGACTTGGGGGGGGGGAATTCAGGAACAAAAGAAATCGAACATGTGTTTGACCTAAACAGGAAGAGAAAACAGATATCAAACATGTAACAAAACAACAATTTCAATTCCAGAGATACATACCGTACCAACAATGACCTGCAACTTGCCATTGCTCCACCTATGCAATCAAACATAAATAATAGGCTCCATTAATTCAGTCTGTCCTAAGATGTTACACCACAAAAATCAATAAAGTAATCTTTTAAATCCTTGTCAGGATAGCGAACTGGAAGGGAATTGGGTCATTGGTCAATGGGTGAACCAGGTCTAACTAAAGGTCATATAAGATAACATAGCAATTATGTGACTGAAAGGCATACTTCTTTACCACCATAAAAATTAAAAAAAGGAAAATAATGATATAAAAGTAGCAATAGATATTGCAAGGGGAAAAATTTTATATGCCCAACCAGCCCTCCATGTGCATGAGAACTTCGGGGTTAGTTGCCAATAGCTGCCCAAATTTCTAAAACTGAGTACAGATCCCTCAACTTTTACACTAACAGAGATAGATACTTATGTCAATATTCCCCTAAACAATGGTAATTCAAATGCCACATATAACTTCCCTATAATTGATGTGACATGGCATGAGTGGTGGCTTTTGTGACAAAAGGACACTCACCACGTCAATTATGGGAAAGCATGATATGGCAATTGAGTCAATGCTTTTGAAGGGAAAACTGACAAAACGTGGTATTTCCCGAGCATGAAAGTTGAGGGACCAAAATTCTGATTTTGCAAGTTCTGGGGCGTTTTGCAAGAAACTTGAGGCTCTAGGTTTAAGACATAAGAGCCAGATGTGATTTCACTCGTTGCTTTAAACTGGGCCCAAGACTGGTTGATCAGAATCCATACCCAAGTTCACTAAAGATCTTCTGGGAAATAGACACAGTTCAGGAGGGCTTAATGGGTCAGATAAAGCTCACAAACAATCACTACTAAAGCTCTATAAGTAACAGTGCATTCAAACAGCAAGGCTCATCTAACAGAGCTAAAAATAGCAAGCCACTTAGTTATTTAGTTCCCAAAGCACCAGCAAGAACAATACAAAACATCCACAATTTTTTAACGAACTACAGCTGATTTTGTGATCACTACTTTACCGCATATGTACTTTTTCCCGAGCATGTACATCCATATCTGCATGGTAATAGTCTGCTGAAATTCCCCTCTCCCTTAATTCCGTTGCAACCTATAGTATTTGAATATAAAAGAATAGGTATTTATTCTACTTTATAAGATGGCAATTCACGTATTAGCAAAATAGCCAGAACATTGGACATAAGTATTCATGTCCATGCCGGATGTGCTTTCCAAAGTTGCAACCTTAACATGGGCTATGAAACAGTGAAAGAGAGAATTTTTTTTCAGACTCTATTTTAGGGCTCATTTAGCTTCTTTTCTTATCATTAGCATTTTTTTCACATTAATCTTTGCAAAAGAAAGCTCTGCTTTTTATTTTTTATTAATTTCTTGGTTTTGGCCATAAAAAACTAAGTTCTGTTTATGCAGCACTATAGGGTACAGTTCGCAATCCATGAAATTGATGATATAAGAACAAAAGTTACATCAAGGCATGCTACAATCATATCTAAAATAATAAATTACAATTAACCTGATGAGGCAATCAAAATATAGATGATGACAGTAATATTAGAAGCATACTCTTCAACGTAGCTAATCATTATCCTTGTTATACTAATACAAAAAGACACCATAATGCCATAAATTTTGTTGAATCTTGTAATGACTATGGGCTCATTCATTCTCCGATTGTCCCTTCTCTCCATCACACGGTAATTTAGAATCACAGTCAACTTATTTCTTTCCTTTCCTTTCCTTTCCCTTTTTTTTTATTTTCATCCATCATGCTAATCATGTATTTATTTCTTGTTTTCCTCCTCAGTTTTTGAGATTGGCTGGCTGTTTCTTGGATCAGCTATCCCTTTTAGATAATGCTCCAACTTCAAAATAACATGAGTAATAATTGACTTCTGAATTCCAAGATTTCACACGAAGAAAATTAGAAAAATATGTTTTAATTTTGGAATTGTTTAGAGAAGAAGAAGCTACATAAACATAAGAGACCCGAAGCAACAAGTCAGCCCATAGATGTCAGACTCCAAGTCTCGTTGGAGTTAAGTATGTCCACATTAGGTCTTAAGTAGCAAACACGAAGGCCTTGTTAGGAATTAAACCCAAAATTTGGTGAGTTAGTCTGCTGCCTCATCGTTAGTGTGTAGTTTCCATTCATACTCTAACTTGGTCTTGTCATAGAGTCAAAGCTTGTCATTGTTTCCTCAGTTTTCAATTAGATTTTCATGGAGTCATAAGTTTCCCACAAACAATCCTCTTATCTCACGTACTATGTGGAAGACCTCCCCTCAGTCTTGAGGGAAAAATTTTACCACTTGTGAAATATGCATGCATAATGTAAGAGAGATGTCCCAATCAAACATACCTGTTCACATTCTTTCCTGGAGAAACAATAAACTATCCCAGATTCCTCATTTGGATAAGATTCTTGAATGAATCCAGCAATTTCATCAATAACCGCCTTACCAACAGATGACTTTTCCTTTACCTTCAGCAAAAAGTAATATAAGTAATTTTACTTGGACATTGAAATAATGTTTGTAATTATATCTTCTTAGTCTGCTTTTCCTTTTTATGAAAGAAAAAACACAAAGAATGCAATGAAAAAGACTATTCTTATAAACATACCATATAAAACAGGTTTGGTCTGTTGACTGTGCTGACGAATTTGACACATCTTGGAATGTGCAACATTTCCATCAGATCATTTTGGACTCTATGAGTAGCAGTTGCCTGACCAATAGATGACATAGCAGAAATCAAAACTATTTTATTAATTTTATTCCCGATAATAAAAGAAGGGGGAAGAAGAAGACTCACAGTCAAAGCAACTAATGGAACATTAGGAAATTGAGTCTTGAGAATACCAAGGTTCTTGTAGTCAGGTCTAAAGTCATGACCCCATTGGCTACAGCAATGTGCCTCCTGCAAGGCAGCCAAAAACCATAACCCAACTAGTCACACACATAATTAAAATTGTCATGAAAATTTGTGTCCTGTGCAAGACAGCATCGTAACAGAGGGTTGAGACGTGTAGAATAACCAAGCAATGAATCACCAATGGTTCAGTAAATGAACAAAATACTAATACTGGAAAACGCTGAAACAAACAAATATGCTAGATTCCAAACATGGAACATACAAAACAGGCACTTATATTATATACCATCTGACTATTAACACCCAACAGTTTTTCACTTTGAAGAAGCAATAAGTTAAGCAACTCAAAAATGTCCCTGGATTTGAGCAAGGGCCATGACTCTGGGCATGACTTTCAACTTAATATGACTGCATGGCATAGGGATAGATAATCACCTTTATAGAAAAGAGAGTTTCCTACAGTACGATGATGAAAACATGTACTACCAATAATATCAGTCCATAGAAAGTTCATTAGCATCTTCTTCTAGTACACAACAGAAATGTCCTAGAGCGGCCTGAATCAGAGCATTTCCTCCTCATGGGAGATGGTCCGAAGCCAAGTCACATATTCACAACCTTATGGATAAATATGTTATTGCATTTAGTTGAAGCAGGGCATTAAGTAAAACAGAAAATCAAGCAAGGAAGAATGTGTGTCCATGGAACACATCTGCATGCAGCCTTAGAATCAAAAAGTACTGACAATCTTTTGCTTTTTTTTTTTTTTCCTTTTTGTTATTGAAAGCAAGGATATTAACAAGTAAATTGCAGAGCAAGTGTAAGAAAAATGTTACTATGCACTCACATCTACTGAAATTAGAGAGAGACGACCCATGTGATGACACTTTTCTAGTTTCGACATAAATCTCTTGCTCTTTGATATCTTTTCTGGTGTGACGTACAATACTTTAAGATCTCCCTCACCCTTATCCAGAGCCTTGTATATGAACTTCTCATCTTCCTTACTTGTTGTTGAGGTCAACATGTATGCTGGGATCCCTAGAGCAGTCAAACCCATAACCTAAAGCGGTCAACAACCCCCATTCCCCCCACCCAAGATTAAAAGAAAAAAAAAGGAAAAACACAATTAAAAAGAAGGATAATAGGAAAGCAGTAACTCAAGGAAAGGTCATAAAGAAAAATTGGAATAAGATTTTGATGTAACTAAGCACTGCAAACCTGATCCTGAATTAAAGAAAGCAAAGGACTGACAACAAGAGCAATTCCATCACGGAGAACAGCGGGAAGCTGGTAGCAGAGACTCTTGCCACCACCTGCAGCCATAATCACCAGAACATCCCTTCCACTCATGATGGCATTAATTATCTATCATCATCAACATGCTACTTATTGATAAGCTATATGCACAAGAAAATCATCAAAAAGAAGAAAACTAAAGTACACCAACTTAAATCCTCAAATTATGTCCATAGTCTACACGCATCAATAGCTTCTTAGAAGTATCAGAAAACAGAGATAACAACCCAGAATTTGAATGCAAACTTCAGAAGCTAAAAATGATTAAGAGTAGACATTAAACCACTTGCCATGATAATACAAGGTAAGAGAAAGCTTTTTACATAATTTTCACATGTTAACTTAAAGGAGTACAGTGTAAACACGCACCAAAGGGCTCGCACATGATATTAATAAATAATTTATCACATTGTTTCAGATCAAACAAAACATTATTCTCTTTCAGTTGCCTAAGAAGCATGGATACTGGTACAGACATATAGATCTGACAAGTGTCCTCCTGGATTTAAGTTGTCGTGTATTGTTCGGTTGAGTCTAATACAACCCACTGGACATAAACATGGTTTTGTATTTTAAGTTTCCATGCTTCAATATTGTGCCGACTTCTTTCTTCCAGATTTTTAGTGTGAAGTAATTAGAGTTTTGGTGAACATGGATTCCCCAAGGACCAGGAAGCAAGTTCTAATGGATAGTTTGGAGGCATAAGGAAAGAAAGGACTTGTGAAGCGGTGTTCTATTTGCAGCTATTTGGCGCATAATCTCTACACTTAAAGAGAAGTATATGCCTGCATTGGAATGAACGGGATCTTTTTTGTAGCTTCAGTCTGGCATCCAACTCTCGATTATTTTCAATGAATCTCCTTATCATCCTGAAGGGATTTAATGTGTTCATGTGTCTTTCTTCATTCTTTTATTTGTTCTGTTCGATTTGTGAAGAATAATGCCATGTTCTTCTTCAATATATTCCTCCTTTCACTACTTCCCTGGGAAGGAAACCGGGAACAGTCACCATCAAATTCAAAGCCTTCCGCTTAAAGGAGACGGAGAAGGATAGGATATTTATTTATATATCTGAATTTCAAGAGAACTTCAGAACAAAGAAATAAGTAGCGGCTTTTGTGGAATGGTACCATATTTTTACTTCTGAGCTGCACTAAAGAATATTTATCTCATTTTTTTCCTGTTCGAGTTAAATAGTTTACCTCTCTTTGATTTGCACGATATGTAGAAATGCCAAAAATATTCAGCCTGACATCATCTGCTTCAGAATCCCATTCAAATGGCCCAGACCAATTTTCCACGGCGGCACTTGGAGCACCGTCACTGACCTGGTTCCCAGATTCCTCACATGCTTCCAGTATAGCCTTGAGCTCCGATTTTCTCTCATGCAACTGCTCTTGTCTTTCAATCAATGCCCTTATTTGATCTGCACAAAGATCAACCCAGTAGGAAACGATAAATAAAAAAATAGTGCATAATTAACGCCACTTCCAACCACCCTTTAGGGGTTCGCATATGGCACATTACAGCGCGCTCCCATTATGCTACGAAACCATCACAACTCACTAATGTTCAATGACTCAGAGAACACACTAAATTTACATCACTTGTTTGAAAAATGTATATTAGCTGTGAAAGATAAATGTGTGGGAAGAAGCACCTTCAACATCTTGAATCTCAACCTCTACATTTAGAAGTTCCTGTAACAAGTCGTTGGGCTCCATCCTCACGTACAAAAATTATAACAGTATAGTGGCGACCCCAAGGATCGTAGTAGCAAGTCGCCGCACAAATATACCAGCACGCTATCTACGCTTAAACCTAAGAAACGACACTCGAAAAAGTAGAGCAACGTCGCATAGTTGAAGTTGCTCTGCAAAATCGCAGTAGTGGTGGTGATATTTTTCAGCCATTACGCTTGAGTTTTCCTTTTTATACGCCTAACATCGGACGCGGGCAGCGGGACCCCTGCCCGCGCAGAAATTATTAACAATAATAATAGAAGTATTAAACACAAACATCGCGTTCGCGTCCTATAGGATACAACATAGTTTCACGTTCAATGTGAATTTAACTACAAAACTTAATTTATTTTATTTCTTATATTTATTTATTTAAAATAATTTTTATAATAATTATACATGTTAAATATTTTATCAAATAATAATTATAACTAATACATATTATTAGCAATAGTATTTTAAGAAAAATAATATATATTTATTTTAATTAACTAATTTAACTAATTTTTAAATTTATTTAAATTAGTAATCTAGTTTTTATATTAAAGACTGAATGGTATTTCCTAAATTTTATTTTAATAGGAATATATCCTAATAAATTTAATATTTTTAACTTGGATTTCAATATTTACTACTTAATTTATAAATATTAAATTTTTGGAACTTACTAATATTAAGTAAAATTGGAGGAGTTATAATTAATTTTTTTACATAGAAATTATGAGTGAAATCACTCATAATATTAATAATAGGGTTAGGGTGCATCCAGTAATCAGAATTAGTTTATGATGTATCCAGCACTCTTAAATATTTTTTAGGTGCTTCCAGTACTCTGAGTTTTTTTTGTTTTGGTGTTAGATACATTAAAAAATATAAAAAAATACTGAGGTACTGGACGCATCAAAAAAATAATACAAGGTGATGGATACATCTAAAAAAATATTTTAGAATATTAGATGAATCACAAAATATTTTAGAGTGTTGAATGCACTGGAGAAAATATTTCAGAGTGTTGGATGCAACTTAACCTTGAAGAATATCATGATACGTTCTTTGTGGGCTAGACAGGCCCTCTTGTTTTTGGACAACTAAGCCCAAAACTATGGGGCCCCAGAAAGCCTTCGGCGCCGCCAACTGATCCCGTGCTCGTCTTTCCCATGGTACCAACGTTGATTAAAGAAAGTGAAGCCCAGAGTAGGGAAGGCCTGGCACTTGAAATTTTTTTATTTTGGTTAAACACGACAATTTTAGTCAAGATATTATCGGGCATCACCGTATGCGTCTCTAAATTTTCAGGCACTTAGCTCGATTTACACTTGATCAGACCACTTAACCTAGGCCTTGTTTCTAGATTAAAACGGGCGAACAGGAAGCGAACAACAATGGCGGGCAGAACATGGTTACAAGCCGAATGCCAAACACTGAAAGGTGAACTTGCTGGTACCAAGGGGAAAAGCAAATCATGGTTCACCCAAGGGGGTGTTGCAAATGCTTTTGAAAAATATTTTTTTATTACTTTATATTTATTTCATATGTTAGAAAAGAATATTTTTTTAATATTTATTTTATATATTATAAAATTATTTTTAAAATCATGATTTTGTTTCTATTTAAACACTCTAAATTAAAAAAAGGATATGGACCTGCTTAATGTCAAAAACAGTGAAAATAGGGAAAAGTTATATATTCATCCAATGTTGTAATTTCTAACCGCATTCAATGCGCTTCATGGTATCTCCCTCGTTTTGATTGAGACTTGAAAAGGCTTCTTTTTTATCCTCTCTCCGGATGAATGAGGATCCACTTGAAACAATTTATAAATAATTTTTAATAAGAATTTGTGAAATATAAAATAATTATATGAAAAAAACTTTATCTCAATTTATGTCAAACGTATTTATAAAAGATTTTTTAAATCTTTCCAGATAAGCCCTAAATTAAAAATCTTCCAAGAAGTCCTTCGATTTTGCGAGCATCCATCGACCATCACAAGCACGTGGCCATTAGGGGGAAATTGCGCCAAGGGCTTGTGGGGCCCGCCTCTGGCCCCCGAACTCCTTGCTTATTGCAATTTGCACGTCAGATCCTGCGAAAGAAACCGTACATGATGATCTGGGCGATCTGATTGCATATAATTTAGATTCTCTATACTTATCTTTGTGAACATGGTGGATTGTATGAGCAGTAAAAGCAAAAATAAACAAATAGAGTTACTACATGTGAGTTATAAATACGTTATACGATATTTTATTAGCGGGCGATTATCAAATGCGCTATGTAATTTTCAAAATCTTTTTAATCAATATCAGAAAATTGTGGAGTTAATACCTGTAAATTTGACGGTTAGCAATAAATTCACGCAAACTAGTCTAGTCCCCGTGAAAAATGAGCTGTTACTGATGATAATTCACAGAATCACAGTTAGTGCGGTTAATTATACTCGTTATGACGAATCACAGATAAAATGAACATTTTTTTAGCTGATATTTTCAACTTTCATTTCAATTACATTTATTTATGGTAAGGATTTGGAGGAGCATCTGGATAACAGTCTGTGGTGACTCAGTACTCAATTCTAAAATACACCTATTATAATTATAATAAATTATAAGTTATAAATTCAGTATAAAGAGCCATGATCGAAGCAGGACGAGTCATTGGCGCAAACAAACTGAGTAACTCCGCGGTAGCATTCGGGTTGACGACGCCCAGGCATCATCATCTACGTCGTGTTGGAGGTGCTCAAGCTGGAAGTCTCATTGTTTCAACTGTGAGTTTATGCAGGCTTGATTATCGGAGGCATGATCTAACGGGATCAAAATCCTCGCATTTTGAGCCCATCCTCAGGTTCCTCCATGCTTCTTTAATTATCAGATTGAGTTCTACATTACCTGAGTGGTATATATCACACTGCGCGGGCTTGAAATGCTGATGGAAGTGCAGATTCTTTGATTCTAATTTCTCTGAATTTTCTGAACAATGTTGCTGTTGTCTTTAATGGGTTTATCTCGCTTTTATGGAGCATAATTGGTAATCAGCAGTTGAGCTTTTTTTTTTTTTGGTAATTCCAATTGCTAGTTGGTTCTTGCTGCAAAATTGCATGAAGAAGAATTTTGAAGGGGGCTGTGAATTGAAGTGTCTTATTTAACAATGTGACAGAAATTTGGCCCAGATGTGTATTTCGTTTTTATGGGAGCTAGATTCATATTCTTATAAATGTAGTTTGCTATTGCTAGAGTTTGAATCTTTCTTTGTGAATTTGCTTGCTTCAGTCTATCTGATGCATAGGTATATGTTCCTGTTGACTATTCCGGTCCTGATTTTAGATTAATCCTAATCATGGCATTTTACAATTTTCTTCTGATTTTTATTTCATCCCAGGGAACTATTTTCATGATCATTTTTCACAAATAATTTCTCTTGGGTTTACTTTTATTGGACGCCTAATTTAAAGATGTTTTTTTTGGGCCGTAGAAAGAAGAGATTTTGCAAGAAGCTTCTTACTAAAAGGTTTATGCTTAGAATGGCTTACTCTCAAGGAGAGAAAGTCACTTGCAAAGTCAGCTCAGGGAATATGATTTTTCAGCCTATACTGGAAGATGGTGTCTTCCGATTTGATTGTTCTGTAAATGATAGAGATGCAGCATATCCAAGTATTTCTTTTGCAAATAGCAGAGATAGAGAGATGGCAATCACAAGTGACAAAGTTCCTTCATATATTCCTAAATTTGAATGTCTTCTGGGGCAGCAGATTATCAAACTCGAGGTTAGCTACTCTCATTTTTGGCATTGGATCTCATGGCTGTTGTCTTACATATTTTTGGCATCGTATTGTGGTTTAGTTACCTTCCTTACATTGTGCTAGGTCCCTCTTTCTTCTGTTAGGTTCTTTTTCTTTTGCATGATATGCTTCTTATCCATTTCCTCTACCTTCAGAAATAGACTGAATTTGCTTCTGATACAGCTGCCTCTAGGTACCTCCCTCTATGGCACTGGAGAAGTCAGTGGACAGCTTGAGAGGACTGGGAAGAGAGTACGTCATGTCCCTTTTTTGTTTTTCAAGTTATTAGAATTTAACTTGCCATCTTGGTGCTTATATATTAAATTTCATTCACAGGTTTTTACATGGAACACAGATGCATGGGGTTTTGGTCCTGGAACTACATCCTTGTACCAATCACATCCATGGGTGTTAGCTGTCTTTCCAAATGGAGAGGCACTGGGAATTCTTGCTGACACTACAAGGCGCTGTGAGGTGCTCTCATACCTGACTTTATGTCATTTATGCTTGTCAACCTTTAAGAGACTTTTATATTTACGTGTTTAATATTAATGTGTTCTGTTCATGAGCAGATTGATCTGAGGAAAGAATCAACAATACAATTTAATGCTCCCTCCTCTTACCCTGTCATTACGTTTGGTCCATTTGCTTCACCAACTGCTGTTTTGATATCTTTATCTCATGCTATCGGTAATTTTCTGACAAATTATACTGTGATCCATAGCGCTTCAGACCCCAGAATGTCTCAATGATGAGCAATATCTCTTATATGACAATTGTAACACTATATCATTGTATAGGGAATTGACCTAAGATGAATTTTCGTGACTTCTTTATTTGAAAGGGACAAGGTCTTTCCTGTCTTGTGCATCATTGGGAGGAATTCCATATTGATAAAAGAAATAGTACCCATTTTATCATGTCTTGTAAACATCTTAGGCGTATAGAGCATCATTTATTAAGGTAGGAGTTCATCAAAATCCTTGTTTGAAAGTGAAGACAATATTTATGTATAGTTAAATCCAGAAAGTGTGCAGTTTGTTGTTTCATGTTATGTTATACGTACTATTATTTTCTTTGTTAGAGTTGCTGCATGTTTAGTTTCATATTGGATACTACCAGTTCGATGCTTCCCACCAAAATCATGATTTTGGTTATTTTTAAGATGAAACTACATAAGCACCTGATCATCGGTTATTTATGTTTTAGTTATTTAGGATGATAACCCGCGTTTAATATTTAGAGTTATATGCATATGCTAGAGGTAAATTGGAATCTTTA